ATAGCAATTTGCTGCGACATGGCCACGTCTGGACTGTCTTGAGAAAGTGGACACCTCCAATTTATGTGCAAGACAGTCGGCTACGAGATATTACCAGTGTTAGTATCGAGCAATCCCAATCACGCTTGGCACACGCACGACAACGACAAGAAACAGCGGGTTTTCTCTTCGCGAGGCTCTGGGGGCCCCGAAACCTCGTGCTGACAGTAAGAAACATGTGAGCATATATATCGGCAGTGATTATCATGACGTGGTCATCCTGATCCGCGATTGGGATCAATTTTAACGCACGATTGATTCAACTTAAAATGCGCTGACCTGATTTAGCTTCCATTATTATACTATCTCGTACTGTTGTTATAAATGAACAAAGAGACTGGGTTACCTCATCTGCAACAATCTGATCCGTACATCCATCTAGATATCCATGTCAATAATGCGATAGCTGTCGTGGAAATTCTACTATCTTCAACTCAATGAAAGGTGAGCAAGGATTTAATTTATCACTAATGCTAGTACTTACTTCTATCGAACTTCGACAATCTGAATAGATTTAACCCATTTTTGCAACCATATAAAACCCATCATATTAATCACTAAGCAGCCTCTTCATGTATGTACATACACCAGTGAACGCGCACAATTCTTCGAAGATTTAACGACCAGCGCGAAGAGTCAGAGTCACCGGCAAAGCCCCCCTGCGAGTTACAAGAAGGTCCTGCAACTGCTCCTCGTATACCCTTGGCTCGAAACCGCTTACAAAGCGTATGTCGAATGTTTGGAGCATATAAGCCAAGACCATGCGAATCTCAATGAGTGCGAGCGGCCTCCCTACACAGTTTGCAGGTCCCATTGAGAAAGGAATGAACGCACTCGTGTTCAGTACAACATCCGCATCTGCGCGTGACAACCAGCGCTCGGGCCAGAACCGATCAGGGTCTGGGGAAAAGTATCGAGGGTCACGATGGTAGAGGAACGGTGGTACGTGGATAGCTGTGCCTTCCGGGACGAAGATGCTAGAAGAGTGGAATTTGAGTCTTATATATAATATTATGAGTATAAGGCATGCCTGTCGCCCAGTAGATGTCCACCACTTCCGGCGGCTGGCGCACGTTGCAAAGATGTATGCACCGGAGGATGGAGTCGTATAGACTCATTGCTAGTGGAAGAATAAGCACTTCTCGGCAAGGAAAATAGCACACTAACTGACATCACAGCATCGAGATACTCCATTTGTGCGAGCTTGGCTGAGTCTGTTGGTTCTCCATTTTCGATCGGAAATGTAGCATTCACTTCAGCTTGTAGACGCGCATAACAAGGTGGATGAGAAAGTATGTAATACAAGGCATTGCTGAGCGCAGATGCCGTAGTATCGGAGCCCGCAACGATAGCTGTCACTGAGTTGGACACTGTGACAGACAAGGGAGGTGGACCTGCACCGTCCTGTTGGGTTTCAGCATTCTAACACATGTGTTTCAGTGTAGGACATTACCAGATTGCGAAAAAACGCCTTACAAGGTGGTAGAATAGGTCGTCACGAATGGAACCTTCTCGCAGTCGCTTTGAAACCTGATGGAAGGAAAATTCGCCCAAGCGTCTCATCTGCTTCCCAAAGAAGGGAAACATTACAAATGCTTCACTACACCATGGGATATGCTGCATGAGTGATGGGAGGCTGATCGTGCTGATCAGACAACATATTTATGTGAACTATCAATGGAGAATTACTACAGGCCCTCCTCCATCATGTGTACCAGACCACTCTTATCTCCATTTTGTAACAAATCAAATGATTCGCCGAATCTACCAAGGACAAAGTGTTCAGAGTGTTATCGCCCGCTCAAAGCGAATATCACGTACGCAAAATCGCCCATGAAGTCAAAACTGGTCATGACGTGAGCATATCACTATCCACTATACTAAAATGGAACCACTAACGAAAAAAAAACTCAGCCATTGAGATAAATCCACTTGCATGCTGTCTTCCTCAGCCAAGTCACACTTCTTCTTCAGTTCATCAACAAGCTGAGCAGTGTGTCGAATCACGATGGGTTCATAAGTCTTGATAGAGGCACTGCCGAACGCGCGGTTCCAGACGCGCCGTGCTTCAGCATGCTGCTGCTTATCACGGGCACCGATGAGGTTTCCCTTGGCGTTCTTCAGGCCGGTGCCTCTCTTGCCTGAAATTTTGCGTCCATCCCATACTGAAAGGACATATATTTCCAAGCTTTCAGACTGAAAATGACTTACAAGGACCCTTGGGCATCCCGTCAACACCAAGTATGGACGGAAGTAAAGAAATGTCCACGATCGACAACTCATTCGGACCTGGTGGCGCCATCTCTTGTCATCAAGACAGCCGTGAGGCACCGAACAACGTACCTATACGGACAATAGGACCGCGCTTCTTGTGAATTTTCCTGAAGTATAGGTATTGCTGGCCTCGAAACGCTACAAGCACAGACCAAAGCTTTGAGATCTTACATGGAAGTGGACCAGGATACTTAGATAGAGGATGAAGCGGCGAGACACGATAGGCTACGATAGAGCATACGAGGACAAGAAAGTAGGTGGGACATGTGAATAGAATGGCAGCGAGTGTCGAATCCAAAGGGGTTCGCAGGAGCAGAACTGGGATTGCAGGAATGGCGGCGAGTAGAATAGCTAAAGAGGTTGCATCATTTGGTTCGAATCGCTTGAACCAGACGTATGAGCACTACAAATACACGCATGGCTAGAGTTATATCTTTGAACGAATAGAGAGCCTGACAAAACTAAACGTGCAGGTGAGGAGCAATCCGCCGTCGAGTGACATAGTAGATCGATCCACAGTAACCCGGTGGAATGAAGTGAAAGTCAAACTCTGCAACGAGAATCCAAGTCGAGAGCGAGACTAAATCAGGAATAGCAGCTTGCGATATAAATTTCTATCAGGATTGCTGGCTCTTGAGTCTCGACGGTGACTTCACACCGATGCCCCGAGTCACGGTGGGAAACGCTTAAGTCAGTGTTGTCGGTGTCGCAGCCAGTAGTAGTAAGAGGCCAAGAGGTACCACGAGAGCGAACTTCGAAGAGCCACCGTGGGTTTAGGACTCGACACTGATACTTGGATATGATATGTTGAACCACGTCTCGCACATGCTGCTGCTTTCCCACTGGAGAGGGATAAGGTGCCCAAACGCATCTTGCCGCGGGATATTGTTTGTTTGTTTATTGCAGAAGTACGACCGGAGATGGAAGAGAACAAAACAGTGGGATAAAATGGAGTCGAAAGCAAATCGACCGGAGAGAGGACTTCGGGCGCGGGGTTAGGGCAGGTTAGGGTCACTCTCGCCCTTCCGCCGCGTGTCTATTTCCCCCGGCTCCGCCTGACGTCGACGACTCCTCATCGATTCATCATTGGCCAGTTTTAGGTCTACGGCAATGCCATTGTCAGTGTCAAGCGTTGGAAATGCTTGTTCCCCCTCGCTCGCAGCTTTCAACACGTCTGTGTAAACGACTTTGTTTTGGCCTCGGACCATTCGCACAGCCTCTCAACTGGACCAATAGTCGAAAACCTGCGCCAGCTATTGCACAATTCATCCGTATCATGTCTGTTCACACACTGATCCAGCGTAGCGAAAAGCCTTCCCATTTGAATCGTCTTTCTCATGCAAAAAGTCCATACTTGCTTCAGCATGCAGAAAATCCAGTGCGTTGGCTTTTGTGGCGTGCACTCCACTATCGCAGACTAGTTGTTTGTCGTAGGTTGACTGGTACGAATGGGGACCAGAGGCATTTGAGAAGGCTAGGCAGGAAGATAAACCCATTTTCCTGTCCGTGAGTTGATTCACGACCCATATACACCGAACGCCACTAAATGAGTATGCATCTCGATAGGTTGGGTACTCTGCTTGCCACTGTACGCTATCTCATGCACTCATTATAGCCATTTTCACATGGGGAAACTGTGTAGGGTGCCACGTCCTTGCGCACGAGTCGTTTGAGGACAAAGTCACTGCAAACCTCATGAACGAGCACTATATCAACATTAAGGTCCGGTTACCTCTATATATACGGCCTATATAAGGGCTCGCTCATGCTGTGCGCATTCAGGTGGATCGAGAAGAACGCCCAGATGTCGATCGACTGTACATGACCTTCCTGCAAGCATCCAGTGGCGGTGGGGGATGGCCAATGTCAATTTGTAAGGCTAGCTACGTTGTGGCTACACTGCTTTCTTTGACGAATTCGTGTTCTAGGGCTCACACCGGAATTGCACCCATTCTTTGCGGGGGTATGTTACTCATTTCTGTTAGCTCATACTGATTTAGCCTTCTCTCCCCGTTCCGCAGACCTACTTTCCTCCCGGGCGGTTCAGACAGGTTCTCTACAAGCTGGCCGATATGTATGTTATTATCTGTATTCTTGTTTGGCTACCTGATCTGAATCATGTATGGCTTATGTAGTTGGGAGAGCGACCCTGATCGATGCCGGGCATCAGGAAAGCAGATCATCGAATCGCTACGTGATGCTACAAATGTCTGAATACTCACTAGTGCATTATGTCAACTGTGCGAATCTGACAGCCTTGACAGGTCAAATCGGGAACAGACGAGCTTCCTGTCGTGTCACTAGCTCTTACTGTGTATGCGCGTCTTGCAAAGCGCTTCGACACACGTTACGGTGGGTTCAGTAGTGCTCCGAAATTTCCTCAACCTTCGCAGACGACCCAGTTCCTCGCTCGGTATGCCGCACTACGCATGCATTCCAAGGATAGCGGCGCCGGGGAGCAAAAGAATGCAGACGAAGTGCTAAAACATCTCGACGCCGAGAGTCTAGGAGAGGATGGCAAGGATAGCAAGTTGAGTGAACCTTCCAGCAAGCCTAAGAGTAAACAGGAAGAGGCGGAACATGCGCGCGATATGGCAGCGGAGACTCTCGTGCAGATTTACAAGGGTGGCATACACGACGTCGTAGAGGGTGGCTTTGCGCGATATTCGGTGGATGAACGATGGCATGTACCGCACTGTGAGTGCTTGCTTGGGTCACAGAATCACGCAAATTAAAAAGTGGTTCGGTCGTATAGTCGAGAAGATGCTGTACGTATGCTCTGATCTGGCGTCAGTATGTGAGCGTACACACTAACACTGTTCTTACGTTTGTTAGCTACGATCAGGCGCAACTCCTCACGTCCGCACTTGAACTTGCGTCCTTACTCCCTCATTCGTCAGATGGGCCTCCCTTATCTTCTACTCGCACTACTCTCCTGGCTCTCGCTCGCTCGATCCTCATTTACCTTCCTCGACACCTTACCAGCCCAGAAGGAGGATTCTATAGTGCGGAGGATGCGGACTCACTCCCGGCGGCAGACAGCACGAAGACAAAAGAAGGTGCTTTCTACACGTGGACCGCAAACCAATTCAGCAGGATCCTTGGAGAAGATGCGGAGGTGGCTGTGTGGGCGTACGGGGTCAAGGAGGACGGTAATTGCGATCCGATGCATGATATTCAAGGGGAACTTAAGGGTCAGGTGAGGGCCTTCTGCCGTGATGCCGAGTACAATTTCACATGTTCACCCCCGTCGGTTTAATAGAATGTGCTTTTTATGGCACACACACCTGAAGAGGCTGCGGAGAAATTCGGAAGGCCGGTCGAAGAAGTACGGTGTGCGCTGCAGCACAGTTTGGACAAACTCAGAGCATTCAGAGATGAAAATCGACCAAGACCACATCTCGATGACAAGATATTGACTTGTTGGAATGGTCTAATGGTGAGTTCCGCACATTCGAAATCACATCTGTGACAACCAGTTTCATCACTTTCATGCAGATATCGGGGCTCGCTAGAGCTACCGAGACGTTTGAGGGGGAAGAGGCTGTACAGGCTCTTACGCTAGCGGAACGCTCTGCTGCATTCCTTAGGGCCCAGCTGTACAACGAGGCGAGCGGAGAATTGACGAGAAGCTGGCGGGAAGGTGCGGGCCCGAAAGGACAAGCAGATGATTACGCGTTCTTGATCCAAGGTATGTTTTGTTTTTCTGCATTCCACGCGTGAATATTAACTTTAATATCTCACCTCGAAGGATTGTTGGACCTGTATGAAGCTTGTGGCAAGGAAGAATATGTGATATGGGCGATACGTTTGCAGGAGAAGCAGGACGAGCTGTTCTTCGATGCAGAGGGTTGCGGGTACTTTGCGTCTGCGCCAGACGAACATATCCTCATTCGAATGAAGGACGCGCAGGTTTGTTCGATCTCTGTCAATGGAGCTGTTTTGAGTTGACCAGATGTGTTGCAGGATGGTGCTGAGCCCAGCGCAGTGTCGGTTACATTGTCGAATCTCCTGCGTCTTTCACACTTCGCTGAGGACAGACATAAAGAATACGATGAGAAAGCTAAGAGCATTCTCGCATCCAATGCCCAGCTTCTCGGAGCGGCCCCATATGCCCTCGCAGCAATGGTCAGCGCCGCGATGTGTAGGGAAAAGGGATACAAACAAGTATGACCCGTGTTTTTTTCTATTATGTCTTGAGTCTTGAATCTCGTGCACAGATTATCTTGACGGAGTCTCCCGCTTCCTTCCCATCTCCTTACTTAAAGGCTATCCGCGAACGCTTTGTACCAAATCGCGTTCTCATCCATCTCGACCCTGCCAACCCGCCACGGAAGCTCGCCAAGGTAAATGGTACACTGAGAAGCCTCCTCACAGACATCAACACGGATAGAAGTGGCAACGCCGATGCACGAAGCGCGCAGCCGAATGTGCGCGTGTGTCAGAATTTTACGTGCGGACTTCCAATCAGGGATATGGCTGAGCTGAAAGCGGCACTGAAGTAAGGCCGTGGTTCAAGGTGGGTAATGTTTAGGTCGTCGTTCGAGTAGCCAACACTCTGATGATAGGCATCGCAGAAGCAGTTTCCAAACTTGAGCGAACGCTTTTGTACTTGTACTTTTAGTGATGCAAGTGATATGAATCAAAATACTTCGTCCTACGATCGTGGTCACCTGTGACGGTGGACCTGGAGTAATTATATCACCCAGACGCAGACCGTTTTACGAATTTGGCAGCTCAAATGAGTTGCGAAGGGTCTCGAAACTCGAACACTTATCTCAAGAAGTTGTGAATTACTGACTGAACGCTTTTTGCAGGAGATGTTCAGCTCGACTTGAATGCGGGACTCCGTATCCTTCGAGGCCCAGCTGAACAAACACAACCACCTGTTAAGTTGGGAATGGCCCCTTAGAGCGCGTGGTCAAGGCGCAGGTTATTCTACTCGGGTCAGGCACTGCACAAGATTGATAGGTAAATGGTCTGGACTGATACCTTATCTATTGCAGATTACCTCGTTGAGAACTGCAGGAGACCTGGCTCCAGGAAGCCTCGAGGATTGCATCGCCGAAACTTGCATCTAACGCGTCCGCCGAACCGCCAGCGCATGTCGGTCACTCGTGAATGGATCCGATGACCTCGGAGCACATAAAATTATGTACCTCGTCAATTCGAATTTCGCGCCCGGGAGATTGTACATCATCGTGGAATCTGAATGATTGTACATAGCCGAGTCGTGTGCATTTCTTCAGTTTGTCTTTCCAGTCAGAATTCACGTGCGACTTTTAGATTCATGCTCATGCCAGAAGACCAGAGACTTTTCGTCTTGCTGTCGGAGACCTATTCTCTGCGAGATGAAAGCCGCTGGGATACAGAAAAACGTGCTCTGGGGAAATCTTTATCCATCATGCCAATCAAAAGCTAGGGATGTCTACACATTTGATTTCTCCATCATCTCGGCTTTTGTCAAACGATGCAATTGGATTCTCTACGCCCTACGGGGTGTGTTCCTTTTCTGCTAAGCATCAGGACTATGGCTTTTGATGCACGCGGACAGACGCTATCGCGTAGAATGTTAGGGAACTATGCACATGCCCTAGCATTCCGTAAGCAGTTTGCCAACCCCACCACTTACACAAAACGCACGTTTTACGATTGCTGGTGTTCCGAGAGTGTTGAACTTCACTCTGTCACCTGTTATGTGCCAAACCTTGCTTTTCTTGATGTTCAACTCGCGGTTTACATGAGACAGTGGTTCCCATTCCTGACGTATGCCAGCCTTTCCTCGAGAACCAAGTCCTCGAGGAGGGCACGAGGTATCAGCTCCAGTATATCTGCAAGCTCGCCCACCGACAGGCAAGCAATTGCGTCCTCTTAACGGCCCCTGCAAAGGTCTTTCAGCCGTTATGGCAGTACTCAAATGTTTATGCGCCTCATGTTCTAAAGAATTTCACTCTACAGAGGCGTATCAGCAGCATGCTGCGGCGAAGCAACATACCTTCTTTCTAGCGAGATGCGAGGACTGCAAGATTGTTTTCGGGTCTCAAGTTCTTCTGAAGCAACATTTTCGCGAGTCCAACGTTCATCCATCTTGCCTCAGATGCACAGAAGCATTTCGAGATCATGCCCTTCTCTCTGCTGTAGGTGTATTGTACTCATAGTAATACGGCGTTTGTTTTGACTTCTTCAACGATATAGCATATGGCGGAGGCCCATCTCGTACGCTGCAAGCCCTGTCATCGCGCCTATCTCCGGGAAGAGATTCAACAACACTATAGAGAGTCACTTGATCATCCGAAATGTCCCATCTGTGGGGATGGCTTTGAAACAGAGACATTGTTTACAGAGGTGAGATTCTCCGGTGGTTTGCTCCAGATTGTAATATTGTCATTGCTGAATACTCTGCAGCACACTGTTTCCGTGCACTCAAACACTAGATGCGTGTTGTGCAGTCGATTGTTCCGAACAGTAGAAGAATTACACCAACACTACAAGGATTCCGATGCACACCCTCAATGCAACTTGTGTGAGATGGGTTTCAAAGATGAAGTCGCGTATGACCAGGTAAGATATCGAGGTATGTTGGCCTCTCTTCAGAACTGACATGAATGTCGATGATCGTAGCATATGGATATGTTGCATCTACCCCTCACTGCCAACCCTTCGCCCGCCCTGAGTGCTCGCTCTATCAATGAAACTGATTTCTCGCAGATTCAGTCGCTGCCAGTCTCTCCTCTCCCACGTCCGATCCCTACATCGCAACCCCAGACTGTCCACTCATCACCGGAGACTCCTGCATCTGACGTGCTGGTTCACTTCGTGAGCTCACTTTCTTGTTCCATGACTGATTAGTAAAATATAATTTATGGGACAGGCTTCCAACGGCATTCCGCCCACAAACCATGTGCCTCGCGCAGTCTCTGAACCATCTCTACGTTCCATTTCTTCTCTTGGTTCGTACCCTCTGTCGGTGATTCTCGGTATATTTTTATACGTAGTAGGTAAACCTAGTCCTGTGCAAACTGCTCAGCAGTTTCAGCCTTCGCCGGCTGTTTCTCAGAGGACCCTACGCGAACCTAAGTGAGTTGTACGAGCAATTATGTCGGAGAAGTCACTCATAGAGCTGCCCCTTGACTCCCATAGCGGAGATAGTGCACAAATTATCGTATCTGGACGCTCGTCTAGTATTACGAGTATGTCTTTATTCTCTGTACCATCAGCTCCTGCGTCCGCAGATGGATCGTATCGTCAATCGCCGTCAGCTATTTCCACCTCCGTGATGACACCAAGAGCGTCTGTATTTCCTGCCTCCTCGGATCAGGTAGAAGTGGGCTCATCCGTGGGCAAGGCATCTGAATACTTCGGAGTAGAGACGCGAAATAGTCCGTCAACTGTCGCATCGCGTTCTCCAGCGATATCTCCTCGTAGTATTCTCGGAATGAGCTTGGGTCCTACGACGTTCAGGCGGCCTGCCGTGCGGCAATCCATTACTGGAGATTCTTCAAGTTACTCTTCGTCGGGTATGAGTTCGGCATCGTCCCGTCCGCCTCCAGATCGTTCAGCATCCGTTTCCTCCGTATCTCCTGCGGGAAGTAAGTGCAACGATTGTTTATCTGGAGGTCTTGCTAATTGTATTGCAGATACAACGGACACGGATTTGACTGTGCATGACATGCCAAAGCCCTCTGTCCCTATTCCCATCGTCTCCTCGACTCCGCCGAAGTCCCTTTCGTGGCATTGTAGACTTTGTATGAAAGACCCGTGTGTTCAGCCGACAGCAACGCTATGCGGTCATATTTTCTGTCAGAGGTGAAACAAAGAATCTAATGTGCATTCTGCACAATGGCTAACCTCTTATGAAAGCTGCATCCTCAAAGAACTTGCGTCGAATATGCAATGCCCAGTTTGCAAGAAAGTGATGCTATTGAGGTTGCATGCAGAGACGGATTAGATTCACAGAAATTGTCTTGAAGTTGTCTGAGGATTATTTGGACGGTGCTCGTTTGATTTACAATCTCTTACCGGGTACGCGACACCTGCACTCGCACCCCTGTATTCTGGTTATTATGATCGCCGATATGTATGGTCACAATTTATAGATCTTCGTTCTTCATTCTGTTGTAGAACGAGCTCAACTTTTGCACTGAGCTTGACACAAAACAAGGGATGCTCATCTTGATCGCGTTGAGTCTGGGGAAAAAATCAATCTGAAGTGGTCTCACTTAAGCAGCCTTGAAGAATGGCTTTTGGGGTGTAATGCTGCATGCATACGCGGACGGCCAAGCTTAAGACCTAAGCTTTAAGGGCGGGCCGGTGGCGAAACGCTAACACCTAACCCTAAGGCTCCAGTCATGACTCGGACACGGCAGCTTGTTTCGCTTCCGAGTCAGCCCAAGGCGTAGACAAATCTCAACGGATGTGACACTACGCCTTCGTCCAAGAGGCCCCTGGCTAAGAAAACTCAGCGAGGATCCCCGTATATCTTCAGTCAAAACCTCAAGATCACGTCAGGCACTCAATCAAGGATTCACGGAGAGCTATGTCGGATGAGTACTTTGCACGACGCCAGCAGCTAATCCAAGAGGATAGAGCCCGGCGTGTAGACACGAACAAGCTTCAAAGGCTGACCAATATTGAGAAACGCGCAGATAATATAGTGCGCTCCATTCGATCCGCTGAGGCGGTATCAGTATGGGGTACAGAGAGCACGACCATCTTCGATTATACCCCGGATGACACGACGCCGAATGTGTTCCCCGGAATGGCTTTCTTGACTGGTATGTGGCCAATGTAGTTGTTAATGATCGTTTTAACTTCATATAAGCTAGGTCGTGACATTGTGATGAAGACGAGATTGTTCCAAATACTGTCCAAGGTTCGCAAACGGATTGTTATCGGATCAGCTGAGATTGGTTTTGAAACGGTGCCTTCAGATGCCAAAAGGTGCCCTTCTGCACGCTCATCTGGACGCGACCGTCAATGTGCGCGTTTTGATCGAGCTCGCGTTGGGTCAGCCAGCATTACATGTCCGCTCGCCCGCCTCTTTGACCGCCAACAACATCAGGGCCATGATTCCGGAGTTCAAGGCCCTCCCTGCTGATCAGTTCTCGAATCTGATCTCTCTTACCGACCAAGCATACCCAAGAGGTGGTTGGGTTCCCTTCTACAAGGCGAGGGAGACATTTGACCCAGCCCTCGGTGGTCCTGCTGGATTCGACGACTGGGTCGTCAGGGCACTGATGATTAACCCTTTGGAGGCGTACGGAACTCACAACACGACTACTAAGGTTTTCCATCATCTCTGCTTGATCCATGCTTTGTGAACTTCGCTGAAAGCCGATTTCTTAGATTTGGGCGAAATTCACAAGTACATTTCGCATTGGCCACGTAAATATTCCGTCGAACTGTAGCGTAATGGGTGCTTATGTCTTTGCCCAAGCCACTCGTGTACTTTATGCCCATATGGCACGAGTATATCCGGCGCTTCATTTGGTCCTCTATTGAAGACGGCATTTCCTACGTGGAGGCTCGTATTAATTTCCTTGCCAAGTACGTACATCGTAGATCCTTATAAGAGCGATCTCTTCATTGTTCCGTAGGTATATGACCGGGCCAGACGGGGAGGAAAATGTTCCCCATAGGGAGTGGCTAATCGCTTTTGATGCGGTCGTCAACGAGGTAAAGGTAGAGCTCAGACGCCAGGGACGCGAAGACGAGTTCGTTGGAGCAAAGGTAATTGTGAGTTTCTAGGACAATCTCCTATTGAACAAACAGCATCTCACAGATTATCTACACGACCATACGTTCTATTACTTGCGAAGAGCTAAATTGGTACTTAGAAGACTGTCTCGCCTTAAAGAAGGAGTTTCCGCATCTCATTGCAGGTAAGCATGGATCAAACATGCCTATGGAGATAAATCTCTTAAAAAGCAAAACAATCAGGATTTGACCTTGTTGGGCATGAAGATTCACTTAAACCTCTTATCGATTACATTGAGCCACTAGCAAAGTTCGTTGAGCGTCAGAAAGAAGTTGGTGTGCATGTTCCATTTATCTTCCACGCAGGAGAAACTCTAGGCGACGGGAGTGCTGCGGACATGAATTTATACGATGCTATTCTACTTGGTACGAAGCGAATCGGCCATGGGTGAGCAAAATTGCATAATATAGTGGTAATATTGATTACAGCTTGATTGGGCTATCAGATTCTCGCTGGTCAAGCATCCGAGGTTAATGGACATCTGCAGAGAAAAAGGCATCGCCATTGAAGTGTGCCCTATATCGTGCGTCCTATAATCACTCAAATGGGCGCGTTACTCATTTCTTTGGCAGAAATGAGATTCTGGTCAGTAAACCTCTACTACATGTTCTCAACTTGGCTGCAGTGCTCACTACGCTGGATTTGAAATAGCGTTTGACCTCCTCCATGCCCATGCATCCCCTCCCCGTGCTTGTGAATCATGGTGTTCATGTATCGCTATGCTCAGACGATCCCGCCGTATTCGGTAACATGGGATTGTCGTTTGATTTCTTCCAGGTGAATGCTACATGCCGGCTATAGTCGCCTGCTCTAATATGTTGTACATAGGTACTTGTCGCGAGCGAAGTCACGGGGTTGATAACTGCTGGCGAATTTGCACGAGATAGCATCAAGGTGATCTTCGCCTCCATCTCGTAGTAATTCTAATTGATGTAAGTGATTATGTCTAGCATTCGATGTTGGCAGAGGACGAGAAAGCGAATGCCCTTGCTCTCTGGGAGAAACAATGGCAGAAGTACTTGAGCTGGGTGGTGGAAGAATTTGTAGACGTTCCGAAGAACTGACAACGAGGACCTATCCGTACTATTACTCGCATTTACCCACCCGTGCGCTCTCAACAGCACACGCCTTGCATGTGGAATCACAGTGTTAAATCATCAAGGAGCGTGAGGATAGCGATCGATCCTCGCCCTATAGGCTATAGCATGCGGGCGCTATAACAGACGCTTAGCACTTGCCTTTCGACTACAACATCTTTGAACAAGTGATGGATTGCTCGTTCACTCTCCTGGACATCTCAGCCGATCTCGTAGAGCAATGGAGAATCGCATTCGAGAAACACATCCCTCACATCCTTGGCATGAAGGTCATCACCTTACAGTTCAAATTGGCAGACCTGAGCGGGCCAGCGTCCCAGTTCGACTGTATCGTCTCGCCTGCCAACTCATATGGACGGCTAGACGGAGGGTGAGTACATAGCCCCTAATCTGATTGAACGAAAGATAGACATATGATCACTCATTATGCATTCATTCCCATCGACAGCTTTGACTTCTTCCTGGCTGAAGCCTTGGCACCAGCTGAAGAGCTCGAGGCCCCAACAAAGTTAGCACAAGCGGCCCTTTACCGCCGATGGCGCGGTTATGCCCCTCCTGGGTCCTGCACACTCGTCTCGTTACTTAATTCATCATGCGCGAACAATCGCCACAGCTGCTCATACATCGCGTTGTGCCCCACCATGCGTGTTCCCATTAATGTCGAGTGGGATCGAGAAATCGTATACAACTGTGTCTGGTCGCTCCTCGTCGCCCTGGATGAGCACAATCGCGCCGTCAAGACGAACGGAGGAGTGAAGATCAGCCGGGTTTTGATGCCAGGTCTCGCTACTGGCATCGGGGGTATTTCTGCAGAACAATGTGCTCAGCAGATGGCATTAGCGTTCAAACACTTTGAGGATGCTTTGGCTCATCCTCAGAAATGGAGTGCGCTGGAATGGGACGATGCGATTGATTATGCCGAGGATGTGCGTGCCACTCACCGCAGGCGTGTTGGGGACTGATCGTCAGATGTACGCGAAGTTAGAAATGGTAGAATTATGGCAACGACAAACTGACAAGCCTGTTATGTACAAAGTACTATTAGAGACTCTGAACACTGGCGGCTGATCCCGGAGCCGGGACTCATTAGTAAATCGCGGTCACGTGGTAAGAGGGACGCGCGCCATTTAAGCGCCCACCGAGTCGCCAAACTTCCAACTTATACTGCTGTTCTTCTGTCTCTCTTCGTGGCACCACTCTCCTCTGTGTCTTCTCCTCCAGGCTCTAGCTGTCAATAAGTATTTATTATCGAGTGCATTCATGTTCCCCGCCGTCAATGGCACCCTTCTCCCCATAACGTGGGCGCGCGTCAGATATCCAGATATAAATTGACGCAGCCGAATCTTCTAGCAGAGTTGAAGCAACTAAGGATTTGACTTCAAATTAATACTTCCTAGTCATCCCGCAATTTTTCATGGCATTTGTTTTTCTGGCAAACTACTCAGAGGCAGTTGTCACAGTATGGTTAAAGTGCATATCTTCCTCGGTCGCCCACCCTTTAACACCCCATCCATATCATGGTGAGTACATGGGTCATGATATAGTAGAGTGCACCACTTTGAATGTTTATTTGTTGACTTCACTCATCTTTTTTTTTGGTCCTCCATCATCTATTGTGCACTTACTGATCAGACCGTGACAGTATTTAGGCCTTGCACTTTCTGCACTCAACATATAACTTGCGTATCGGTGGCTGGCTGTCATGTGCAGACTGTATCTAAGCCTGTGGAACTGAAGCAGTGAGAGTCTGTTCTAGATCTGTCAGGTGTGCTTCCTCATGAGATGTAAGTTTAAATTGCGAATGACGTCTATTGGCCCAGACGTCTGTCTCAGCAATTGTTTCTTTTTGGGAAACCTACACTATCTCACCCGGAAATATCAATTGCCGTATCAGAATTGTGGTCAATGGCTTGATGTCCGCCTTGATGCCGTTCGGCAAGCCTATCGCCCAGTGCTGCTAAGGTGTGGGAGTGTGCACCGAGGGCACTACAGTGCGTTAAGACCTTTCGAGTTGATACATTTCATTTGACTACTTATATCTTAGGTATGTTTGCGGCTCCCTGTAGAACATCACCATTGTGCTAGCACCATAAAGTCGGTGGTATGCCCATCTACATGCATACAGGGCATGTTACTGATACTCATTGCCGAAATATTGCTTAAATACTATCTCAGCAGACTGCCTCGTGTCTTGGTCTAGATGTGTGCTATCACACCTACCGGCGCCCAGGTGAGAAACATTGACATTTTGACATGTTATGGAAGCCAAACCACATGATATTGCGAATTTAGTAGACTAGAGCCGCTCTGACAGGATAGACTTGTGATTGATGTGCTCAATGTGGAGGTCATGCTTACAGCGGAGTGGACATTCTGCCGAACTGTGAAGACTTAAGTTCACGGAGTGCCTTCCGCTGACGAGGTTGCGATCTACCTCCTCTTTCTGTGACATGCTTGCTACGCTTCCTCCTTCAGCACCCTCAGCGCTGGCTCCACGCATTTCTCAGATCTTGGAGGAGAGAGAAAGGCAGCAGAAGAATGGACGTTCGGAGTCGCTAGGTCCTTCGCGACCTTATCCCTCGCCGCATCAAGTGGAGCGATCCATCTCTGAGAAGCATCCCTCCCCTCTCGCCAGTTCCTCTCCTGAGCAAATTACTCGCTCTGCGTCATGGCCGCTGCAGTATGATGTCGATCCTGACGATGTCGACCTGATACAACTGTCTAGCCCTGGTCCCCGACCGCTGGATGAGGGTTCTAGTTCTCCTCGGCCATACCAACATAGCCCTCCGCTTAGTAGGTAAGTCATAATACTCGATAGAATTCGCAGTCATTATACTTCGCCTGGGCTGACCGTAAGTGACAGCGATCAACCTACGCTTCGTCCGCCCGTACAAAAGGAAGGAGGGGTTATCCCAAACTTTATAGAACACCTTTCCCGATCATCTAGGCCTCAGCAACGCACTGTGACTTTTGAGAGCCGGACTGTAATCCCGAAGCATGCCAACGCCCAGACCCCTCTGGTCCAACAAAGCAACGTAACATCCTCTCAGCATTTACCAAACGATGGCGATGTCAAATCTGCACAGAAAACCAATGGATATTTCTTCCCGTCACCGCACGATGATCCCCGCATCCGGCCTTTATGCTCAAAAATTCGAAAAGATGTACGAATGTTTCTTCGAGTTTCCATTGATAAAGTATTTTATATCGCGTTTCTTAGGCGTGGACGGTGCGGGCATGCTACGAACACATCGAGAAAATATACGAAAAGTTCCATATATTCAAGGTATGCTTGCCTGATCTGTCCTCACCTCATTGTTGACAAAATATGTAGCGAACATCGGCACAATTAGTCGAGATGGGCCGTGCATTCGAAACATTTTGCAAGGATCCTCTCCGCGAAGCCGATCCTAACAGAGTTGCTGGCGACCATATAGCATATGTTCAACTAGCAGCTGACCTACGTGATGCAGCAAAGTATGTATGTCGCTTTCTCTGTTGACGTTGCTCTGATTTCACTCGTTCTCAGATGGTATCAGGAGCTCTGGATGTGCTTCAGCCGGTGGTCACTGCTGAATATGCTTTGGTCGCTTGTCGGATGGGCCGAGATAAAAGACACGCTGATCCGGCTGCACCATAGCTGCCCGGAATCGGTCAGAAAAATGGTGGGTATAATCTTGTCGTTGCCACGATCGCGAACAATAAAGTAGTTTTCATAGTGGGAGTGTTCATTGAGTAACCCAGACCCGGAATTCTCTCCCCGGTTTGAAGAAACGATGGATGCCATCGTTTATATGCTCTCATCTGAGGATGACGTACGGTTAGTCATTGAGCTGGACGATCTGGACGCCCAGTCTTTCATCGACCTCGTTGATAGGGTAAGCTGCGTTATGTTCGTTGATTAAAACTACAACATGGGTTCCTGATTCAATGTGTAATAGGTCCTCAATATTCCGGATACCTCCATCTACAAAAAGATCTTCCCTACGTATAGGAAACTGTGCGGATCGAGGGGACTGCTTCCTACTTCTCTGATACTGCCAGCGGATGATTTGGAGGTCCCTACTGCGCCAGTCGCAGCAGGCGGCTTTGGAGATGTGTACCGAGCGAGGCTAGGGGAGCGATTCATCGCCGTAAAATCTTTGCGCATGGATAGAGATGAGATTTTACCCACTATACGCAAAGTCAGTGGCATTCAGGGCTCAGCGGTCGCCAGTGCCAGTTCTTCGCGAGCTGACGTTGATGGTATGTCCTAGGATTTCTGCAAAGAGGTGCTGGTATGGAAATACATCTCCCATCCCAACATCGTGCGCTTCCTAGGCATTTGCCAAACAGAACGGTTTGCTATGTGCATGGTGTCAGTGTGGATGGCCAATGGGAATATTAAGGAATACTTGAAGAAGAATCCCGGGGAGAACCGGATAAGGCTGGTGAGCATGTTCGCTTATTGCTCGGAGTGTACAGTATATGAATGACTACTTGTCGCCAGCTTCTTGATGTGGCTAAAGGACTCCAATATCTGCACTCTCGGGATGTTGTCCACGGCGACCTTAAGGGAGTGGGTAGCATCATAGGAAGCGACTCAATGTTTTCACGATGGCTGATCTGAACCATTACCAGCTCAACATCCTCATTGACGACAACCGCCAGGCCAGGTTGAGTGACTTTGGGCTGGCATCGGTAGTCAGCGGTTCATCGTTTGAGATGTTCTCCGTGACGAATCGCGATGCGGGTTCTACACGCTGGATGGCGCCTGAGCTTATTGACCCAGAGGACGCAGACCTTGAACGGGCATGTCCCACCTACGCGAGTGATATTTATGCGATGGGAATGGTTATGCTGGAGGTATGTTGTTGTGCATCCACTGATTCTCCGACTCTTGCTCATCTCCGCCTATTTGCTGTTGGTGGTTAGATCTTCACCAACCGCGTACCATACTACAAATCCTCAAACGATGCACAAGTCCTCAGGCAGATCATCGCGGGCCACCCACCTGAGCGTCCTGCAGACCAGGAGATTGTCGCACACGGCCTCGGGAATGATGCATGGGCACTCATGAGCTCGTGCTGGCTAAGGTGGCAGGACCGTCCAGGCGTTGAGCACATCGTGACAAAACTTGCAGAGCTCAGGGCACACACTGAGCCTCAAAGTGAGGCTCGATCTACGCCGATCCCGACACCGACGTCGACCCCTACTCCGCAGTTCACGCCACAGTGGTATACAAGTTCGAAATAGCGTGCTCCTTTTCTGTGCTGCGTGTATATTGTTGTTGGTTCCAAGCAGATGTGCTAGTTGTTCTCACATACTTGTATTTGTATGGACCATGAACAGTTGTATCTGTATATTTGTGACGAGTCAAATGTTTAAGCTCACAGGTCTCGCATTGCTGGCTACAATCGTGCTGTAAATGCGGCTGAAGCTGGTGGTGCCATTACTGTGTCCAAGTTTGTATTCATTGGCACGAAAATTTAGTGATAATCAGGGGAGGCGGATCGAAGGCCAGAGTCAATTACTGTTACTCTTCGGTACTATATATATACTACATGAGCTCGACCAAGCCGGCCTGATCCGGCCTCCCGGGGCCCGCCGAATTTTTTGAGTGAACACGTGACGATATGCGAAACGCGTCGCGGCCGTGACGGCAGCGTCAAGTGGGTCGAGCGTGTTCCTGGATCCAAACGGTCCGTACACTAAGTACTTGCATCCGTCGTCGGCGATCCGCTTCAGTTTCTCAGTCGCTCACAAATCTGGATCCGCTGGTGATATCCAGGTCTCTCAGAGGTGAAAGCATGTATACTTAGACTCGGCGGAGGTAAACTTACACCTCGGATATCTCGGTGAGTTACGTGTCACCTCGCGTAGCGGTCGTCCACTCTACTGCTGGTAGAGCGTACGGCATTGGCACCCCAGGCTGTTCGTACCATGCACAAGCCGCTGCCAGTGCTGCTTACGACTTTCCCGCAGTTGTCGCCATCCCGACAGTGCTATGCTAGCGCGGGTGCCAGACGAGCTTGATTAAGGAACAGCTTATCCGCAGGGCCGCTCGTCATGCAGGGCTACACATCGGCAGGACAGATTTCGTACGAGAGTATGATCTTGCTGCTTGAGTCCTCGAGGCTCGTCGATCAGGCACTCGCCCGCCGTGTCTGTGTTACTGTGCCTAACTGCCGCTCCGAATTGGCTTTTCGATTTGCGTGTGTTCCCCTTGAACTACACAGGCACAACGATGCGATCGGTTTGGATTGTGCTCGGACTTGCTTTAGCCAACACATTTAGACTAGGCGCAATGGATTTCCAGGGAGTTCACGACGCATGCCCGGCGCGGCTCGGTAGACGAGGAAGGCCGCCAGTTTTCTCGGACTCTCCTGGTCCAGGCCTCCACGGTTTCGGAATACGCCCGCGCGCCCGTATCTGATAAGCCAACATCGTCCGCTCATGGCCAGTATAATTATAAATTGAATTTGCGTGGCCAGCTTACGGATGTTTGCATATCGAGCTGTATCAACGTTTCTTCCGGAATGTCGTGCGTCCGTGTTGAGCGCCGCCGATCAGAAATAGTCTAGGAAGTTGAGCGCGGCGGACGCGCTGTTTGACTTTGCTGATACGGAGACGACAAAATGCATTGAAAGCAGTGGCAGGACTGGAGCAGACGGACTAGAAGGAGCGCTGAAATCCACAAGTTGCAAGGTAGCTCCACTCCACATTTGCATTAAGGTCGATTATGCATAGGATAAGTGTGTTAACACGAGGCGATAATATCTCTCTGGATTTGTCCTGGCAGGTCAGGAAATATCATTGCCAGTGCTAGTGTCGCTCTGACGTGCAAAGAGTGTCGAGCGTGCCTTTGTCACCTGTACCCTTGCAGCGTCCTACCGCCTCTTTCTTTCATACCACTACATGCTTGCTGAATCTAACATATCCTTTCGCAGAGGCTCTCTCTGCTAAGAGCGCATTTCTCTCAGATCTCTAGGACTTGCCGACTCGGTCGACGGAGCGGGGTGCGGCCGAGTCCTGCCGGTGATCTGAGTCTCTTTTCCCGCCCGGCAACGTGCTGGTCTCAATGATTATTCTGCATACCAACTGGACCAGTGGACATCGCCTCGGGATTTGGAAACACGAAGAAAGGCACTGTGGTGGTACCTAACAACTGTACCTCTCTCAGCATTCCTCCAGTGAGCTGTCGGTCTCGGTCTCAGAGTAGTCTTAATTTGTGGCCGGACATACCGGACGCCATATCATCATATCGGCGTGCCTCACGTGCGTCATTTGTCGGATGCGAATCAGACTCGATGGTTTCATTTCGATGATTCTGCCGCCTATCTACTGGTGTCCGTGTCTAGTGTCCTAGCAAGCAGTTGGCCGTGGTCTTTCTGCAAGCTTCATTCTATCCACGTCGTGAGCCCTCCTCCGCCTCTGGTTGTGGGAGCAGTGCACTTAAGCAGACGGCGGAAACCCCAGATCATTCGGATCAAGTCGATCTCGCCACCAAGTACGACCGGTGTGCCTGACGCCCTTTCCCTCCCGGCTCGCTGTGTCCTCTCCGTCGATCTGCGCGCCATACCGGATACAGCAAGCTCGCAACGCTGCCCTGTTTCCATGCACATGGTGCGGCTCGTCTTTCTAGAAATGCATGCCGGACTCGGCACGCTCTGCTCATGTACCTGGGAACTTCGCAGCCTCTTCCCCGCCGCGTCCCGGCATATAAAAACCTGCTATGAGCGCAGCTTGCAGTGTGGCCTCAGCTGCGACGAAGATGGCAAACGGTCGGCTCTCTCTCTTCCGTGCACTCGCAGTCCTCAGCGCGTGCGCCGCTCCCTCGGCGGGCGCCCTGCTCAAGCGCACTAACGTCGCAAACGAACTCGCGAAGCTGAACGCGACTCTCGGCGGGCGGCTTTACTTCAACGCGCCCTGGGAGCTGCCATGTTTCTCCGAGTACAATGGCGAGCCTGTCACACCAAATGCGACAGCATGCGCGGCAATCCAGGCGAACTACACAGATCCTATGTATCGCGTGGACTTTGTTGGACAGTCTATGATGGTGCGTGCGGCCCTCTTTCGTGTTGACGTATTGAGGAATAATTCAATCCCGGCAGCCGCAATGGGAGACGTGCCAGGTCAAGTCGCCGTATTCGGGTTGTCTGCTCAACTCGAATGACCCATATGACACCACGGCATACGAGGGCGTGAACTGTCAGATCGGCAACATCCCTGAGTACTACGTGCGTGCGTCGCTACTCACCTCTTTCTACGTGTGCTCATGCAGGACGTGGTACGTAGATCGATGTACAATCATACACGGACGTGCAAGCCGCAATGAATTTCTCACTGAAGACGGGAGTGAACCTGACGGTGAAAAACAAGGGCCACGACTACAAGGGTAGGTCTACCGGCATGGGTACTGTTGCTCTCTGGGTATGTCTTTTGCCTTGCGTGCCCGTAGGGATGGACGCTAATCCTGATTGGAAACAGGTTAGCCACTTGAACTCGGTGAGTACATTCGACGACACACGCAGCACATCGCTCATGCATACCGCCACAGATTTCATACAATCCCGAGTTTGTCCCTACTGGCTGTTCAGCATCATCAACTTACGACGCCATCACCATTGGAGTGAGCGCATCTATTTTCTCCAGGGTGTGGACTGTACGGGGGCTAACTTGCTTTTATGGCAGCCTGGCGCAATCACGGAGGATATCTACGAGTTTGCGGACAGTATCAACAGGACATTCATTGGTGGATACCACCAGACCATCGGTGCTGGTGGAGGTTATGTCCTCGTATGTTTTTTCTGTCATTCTTCTCCCTGATCTCGCTCATTTTCTTGGCATTTTAGGGTGGTGGTCACAGTATCCTCTCACCCGTTTTCGGTCTCGCCGCAGACCGTGCTGTATGTCTTCCTATGCATCTCCCCCCTCAATGTTACTCATGCTGCGCACCAGCTCGAATTCAAGATCGTCACCCCAGACGGAGTGTACCGCACCGCAAGCCAATGTGAGAACTCGGACCTGTTTTGGGCTCTACGTGGTGGTGGAGGCAGTACATGGGGCGTTGTCATTGAGTCTACGCACGAGCTCGCACCACAGGTCACTCTCCAGGTGTACGTTCCTTATATTCGCCCTCAGGATGTCATAGACTAATGATGGTGTTTGTGCGCATAACAGTGCATCCATCAGCTTCGCGGGTAACACGAACCTCATCAACCTCGCAGAGTGGTACTCTCTCCTCGTCAATGAGACGTACAAGTGGGGTAAAGAAGGCTGGGGTGGTCATATCACTGTGAGTGATGAGATCCTTCTTGCCAGCTGATTTTCTGACAATATATTCGATAAGGTCGGAACTATAATCTATGTGAACCCTCTGATGAACAACAGTGCCGCGAACGCCTCTATGCAGGCTGCGGCTGAGTTCGCTATCTCCCAGGGCGGTACCGCCATCGTCGAAGAGCTTCCATCGTACCTCACGTTCTTCAACAAATATGTCACTTACGCTGAGGCTGTGCGTATCCTTTCTTCATCTTGTTTCCTTTTTTCCTCCGCCATAGGTCTATCAAGACGTGTATATTTCACGGCTCGTAATTCCCCTTCTATTCCCCCCTCCTTTGCGCGCATAAAGTCACTTTTATTGTCTCTGCATCCTTCTGGACTTTACCTGATTAATATCTCATTTATTAGGCCGTTGGCCCCGAGATTACGCTTGGCACGCGATTGCTCACAACCTCGCTCTTTGAGACTGAAGAGGGGCGGGCGCTGCTTTCGGGTGTAATCACGGAGGTACTCCCCTTTGCGGCACCGTATGTCGTTCAGGGCACGCCGTTCCTCTACAATTACACCCGGGGTGCGACGAGCTTCACGCCTGCTTGGTATGACTCCCTATGGCACGTGCGTATTCTATCCCACGCTGTTCGTCCTGGGAGCCGTGTTGATATCATATGTGTAGCTGTCGGTCCACGCAACTTGGGAATGGAACAGCACGGTGGAGGAGATCGCAGCTTCGTATCTCAATGTTTCGTCCCACGTGCAGTTATTCCGCGATATCACCCCGACAAGCGGAGCGTACTTTGTGAGTATCGTTTACTCATGTATGCAATGACTAATTTATATTCCTCTCTTCCAGAATGAGGGTGACGTTTATGAGCCAAACCATACCTACTCATACTGGGGCGACAACTACGCAGAATTGCTCGAAGTCAAGAAGAAATAGTGCGCCATGTCCCATCCTTCTGTCCCGCTGACTCTGAACGTGTGCACAACAGTGACCCCAATGGCGTCATGCAGTGCTGGCAATGCGGTATGTGTTGACGCTTCGGACATTTGACTGTATTGATGCTCACCTTTTTGCGCAGTCGGCTGGGAGGGCCCGAGCGACCCGCTCTACCAGTGCTACCTCCCGCTTCCGCAGTCATAAGCGCGGTCTTCCATGTCGATTAGCGAGATGCGCGACGCACAAAACAATACGTCATGAAAGGACTACGCACCGATATATTTATATTTATTATTCATGAGCTTGCATGAACAGGGATTGGATGCGAAGGCGATACCTCAATTATGTCGCTCGGTCAATACGACGATGATGATAGCTTGAACGTAACATGGTCATGATTTGACGTGGATGAGGGGCAGTCGTTGGGTATGGATAAGTACACTTACTAAGTGGCCTTGGAGCCCACTGCTGCACCCTTCGCAGGGTGATATCTCGCAATGTCATATTTTCATTACCCCAAACCTGTTCGCCGTTGTCTGCTAACACGCATGCGGCCCCCAGCTGTCCGACACCGCGCAGGCCCAACTACCTAGCCCGTCCACCACCCTTTCACCCATCCGTTCCCTACTTCAGTGGGTTCAGTACCACTACGGTATGTCTCAGCAACCTCGTTGAAATATTCATGAGCATCATCCCAGCTGAGTGAGCGCCACTTGCGCTCGTGCGCCATCGCATCCGCAAAGTGCTTGAACGCGAGCGCAGTCTGCTGCGCACATTGCGCTGGGGAGACGAACCCTGTGCCCGTCGCGAGGCCGGGCATCAGCACGCTGCGGATCTTGGTGGGTGTCGGGGCTGGGGATGGACGTAACTCTGCACGCCCGCTCGTGTCTTCTGCGTCGCTGTCCCCCTGTCTCTCCGGGTCTGCAGCGCCATCACTGCCCGGGTTAGAGCCCACACGAACCACAGGCGCGTCCGACGTGCTAGCCGCTCCTGTCTCAACAGCGCGATTGTGCTCGTCGAGTGCGACGAGCAGCGACCACACGCAGTTGTACACGACCTCCCTATTCCAGCGCACGTCCTGCGGGACGCGCATCGTTGGGCAGAGCGCGATGTATGCGCATTGGTGCGCGTTCGTTGCGCAGGGCGTTCCGCGCAGGGGGACGAGGGTGCACGACCCGGGGGGCGCGTAGCCGCGCCATCGGCGGTAGAGCTCGCTTTGGGCGACAAGGGTGGGTACACTGCGGCGCAGGCGTCCATCGGGGTCCGAGGGGGCGAGCGCGAGCGCGAGGTAGTGGTCAAATCTACCAGGGAAGATTAGACCAGCGGGAGGGAGCGCTAAGCTATGCAGGAGACGCGTACCCTCCGTCGAGTCTGCCGTATGAGTTTGCGGGGGAGACGATGCAGTCGAAGTAGGATGCGGGCGGGGCGAGGTCTGAGAGCTCGGACTCGATGACGGTGATTGTGCGACCGAGCATGTCGGGGGCGTGCTGCTCGAATGCGATGCGCCATTGCTCGACGAGGTCGGGGGAAACGTCGAGGAGCGTGAACGAGATGTCGTCCATACCCTGATACTAATTGTCTGGTCTTGCTATGGGGAAGGTGAATTGTATAAGTACGAGCAGAGCTGTTGCTGGACACGCGAAGACACGTTGCGGGGATGTGTCGATCGCGGCTTCATGCGCGAGTCAGCGTATCAATGCGGCTGCGAAGAATAACGCCCAATCAGATTCGAAGACTCTCAGCGCTGGTCTCGTATCCAAACGTGTCGACACGTTTGTGTACGAGACCACTCAGCGCCCGTGTATCTTCGCGAGGCGACGAAGAGAACACCGGACATACAGGAAGAATGACTGCTGTAGACACCCCTACTAGGCACATCTGAGAAGTAGAGTTTCTGAGGAGATTGTTTGGTCGACGTAAATTCAACGTGAGTGGAATGCGTATTGAGTTGGTTTCCAGCACGCTGAAGATGCCGCATCTGCCCTTCCTCGCGAACAGCACTAGTGGCTGCTTGCGTGAGCATTCCGGCAATTTAAGCTAGGAGGCCAAGAGAGGTGAGCAAGCTTGGCTGTCTCATAGCCGAGCTTTAAGGACTCGCAGTTTGAGCCAGGCCAACCACCGTCCTTTACCTGTGCTAATGGCAGCTACCCCATATGAACACGAACAATTCACATGCCAGTCGGATGCATACGAGTCGGATACCCTAGTAATTCGCTGTTATCAACTTGTTGATTACATTTGGAGGCTGATCGCCCGGAGCCGGCCGTGACTTTCTGTGCCGCCTCCTGATTGTCACTGGTGACTATCAACGACATTGGCTATCAATTTTTGAACCAGGGCAAAGAACTTTAACCTCACCTCATTGTGCCTCATGTCTGAACTTGCAAACTTTCAGTCGACACGGGAAGCTGAGACTGAGAAGTTGGTCACGTCATCGCGGTTAATCTGAGGTTTCGATTCATGTTGACGCTTCTGACAGTGATGATGATCGGCCGATGTTGACCAACAAAGAATCTGGGGACTTAGAACCTTGATGGGCGAACTATGTAGTCGCCCGCTGCAAGCCACCATCACCGTTGTAAAAATTTATGAATTAATAGAAACTCGAAGATCACGAGTCCCGTCGGGGCCGAATTAGTAAAGTATTTCATTCGAACGTTACCTCTGTTACTCGAGCTTCCAAGGACCCCGAAATTTGGCAAGCCTTCACAAGAATCAGCTGGAATCAGATCATCTACTGAGCCTTCTCGTCGTAGTTTCTTCCATCGGGGAGTTTAGACTCCGTAGTGTCTGAGCCCGCATCTTCATCACCAACGCCACCGTGCCACCCGTTGTCTGCAAGATACTTCAGGAACTTCTCATCCTCATTCGCGAGATCTACACCCGTCGTGTCAGGCACGAAGAAGTATGTGACAAGCATGCCGAGACCACCAAAGATGGCCCCGAGGATGAAAGTCCATCTACAGCAGGTTAGATCTCAGAAAGTATTCGAGGAGAGGATAAAGGAGTAGCTGCCATTGAGCGGTCGCCCTGATGCCTCCTTTAGGTATGACGCTCGCAATGATCGTTGCCGAAATTATGCCATTCGGAGAGAACATCTGGTCCAACTCTTGAGAAACCATCGCCAAGTCGAATTGAATACCCACAAAGTCTAAGATGAACTTGAGGTTTCCTCAGTACAATGTAACAATGCTGCCTGTCATGTACTGACCAAGCGCACAAGTACCAATCCAGGTTTTCCAGTATCTTTCCAAAGCGAGACGATATGGAACGTGTCCTGATGAGGACACGACATTTATCAGACGGTACCATTTATCTTCGAACGCGCTTACGCTTGATAGCGCCTTCTTGGAATCTGACATATAATTGTATCAATGTGGATCTGAGACCAAAATAATTCAACCCGCAGCTTGCTGCGGATCATGCGCATTTGAGTATAGAACACAGTGACCGGAAATAAAATACCCACTTCAAAACGGACGCGCCAGACTGTTTTGAGGTGGGTTTCCCCCGCCGCGGATAGAGGCCCACAGAGCTAAGATACAACACGTAGGTTTTTATTTTATTTTACCGATAATATGAACACTTACCAGAATAGACTTCAATGTGGCTATCAGAAAGACTACATCCCGCCGACGAGTAACGAGATGATTACCTGGACCTGTCTGTGTTCATTATTTCGTCCGTAGCCTCACTTGCGCTGGTCCCCGATGCAGGATACCCACCCCCATTACCCTAAGCACGGCGATTGCTTTCGTCAGTACATAATTGATATAAAAGGCGAACAGTCCTTACCACGCCTGTCACGCCACGAGCAATGGTCATGAACCAAAAGAGACCTTGTACGCTCCCGTTCGCACCCTTGGAGCAGTGCACAATATAGCCCCAATAACAATGAGGAGTGTTGTGACGAAAAGGCCAGACTTCCTGCCCATCCGGTCACACAGAATCCCTATGAATAGCTGCCCAATGATTTCGCCTGCGCTGTGATGAGCTTCAAAAAGTCATTTCAGATACTACGGCACGTCCTCACCTACTATGAGTCTATTCGAAACTCGAGTAGGTACTGCGGACGTGTACTCCGTAGGATACAGCTACTTGAAAACCACCTAAATCACAATCACGAACCATTGAGAGTTCGGTGATCCAAGTAGTAACATTTGTCAGTCGTCAAATTGTTATGATCTATGATCTCACAGTCAAAGTCTGCGGCATAGATAAGGGAGAAGTACAGAGTCGTTCACCCACAACCATCAGATACCAACCCAGACGCAACGGCAGCAATTTTCATGTACGCACCAAGCGTAAGTTTTCTCCTTATCGCATCGGAAATATACCTTGATGGAGTAGTGGCCTCGTAAACGATACTTTGGCATGGGTCGCTAATTTTACTGATCTCAACGTCGGATTCTTGCTGATCGCCCGGCATCAGAGCCATTTCAGGTGAATGAAGAGCGGGCGATTCAGAGACGGCCCATAGCAGGAAGATGACCTTTTATTGAACCGAACTTTATTCACTTACGTTGACGCTTTCATCTGAAAGACCCCGCTGATTGCCAAGTATCTTGATCTCCTTCAATTGAGAACCAACGTGCGTGCTCTGGGCTCAGATGGTGTGGTAGAAGAGTTGATTTCATAGGGATTCGAAATAGGGTACAACGACTCCACGATTTTGTAAATTTCTGTATATTCATACTGGCAAGTTCTGAAGATGATACCCCATCTTGGAGCACTCAAACTGAAGAAATCATGCTGCTTTCGAAAAAAGATCATCCTTCTACAACTTCGCTCATACGAAAGATTTACTCACCTTTGAGTAGCACTTCCTACAACGTGAAGCCCTGACATTGAACTTTATTTGCCGTTTTCCGACTAGCTTTACTGGGCTGTCTGGGCTACAGCTGGCTGGGATTGAATGTGTCATGAAGCTTATCTGGTCTGAGCACGGGTTTTAAACCTGACGGTACCGCATCTCCACGACTCCAGTACCATAAGGGTTCCGATAATAATAAAAATAACATTGATACGATAGTCCTTGTAAATGCTCCAAACTGTCTTCACGTCTGAATCCTCAAGAGCTTGCAGAGAAATTGAAACGGAGTAGACGGATTTCCATACCAGAGTTACAGTGTACAGCCAGTAGCACGAACATACAAATCAAGAGAAAATGCGATAAGCTGAGTTGCCAATCTGAGTCTAGTGTCAGGGTGACTAGTCCCATTACCAGACCTCAATAGGAGGTAGGAATCACGCATAGTTATCGGATTTGATTGGTGGAGAGCCAAAAATCTACGCTCGTTTCCTCCTATGAGGTCTGGCTAATTGGCAGCGGTTCGGACTGTTGTCCAAGCGAGGACTCTCAAAAACATCTTTTGGCGTGACGCAGCATCCCGGTGGCTTTTGGCCCACCGGAGACACCCTAAAAATACATTTTTTCGGTTCGAAAGACCGCGGACAATACAGGACAAAAAACCATATGGACAGGGAGGGATGGTGGTATGCGAAAAGGGATCTGGCGCGATCCACTGGTTAGCTACGAAAGAGAGTGCGCTCTCTGAGAATAACATACCTGGCGGGATCCTTGAGGTGCGAGAAGGAGAGTGCGCACTCCTATTTCCTCTACCCGCCAGATATATAATTCTTTCTTGTCGACCCCCTGAGCTCCGTCAGCCTCCGAATCGGCTCGGCGGGCGGGAATCTCCAAAAAACGGAGGGCGTCATACCGGGCGCGGCACGAATCGCGTCTCACTGGTCGCCCTTACGGTCAAGCAGAGACTATACCTCTCCAGTAACAAATGCCATTTCAGATGAACCTACCGGGCGCGGTAGGTTTGAGAACTTGTAGCGCGTCGGCCCCACACCAATTAGATTTGCGAAAATAAAAATATAAGCTCAATGAATTCTGCAGATCATCACACACGATGAATGTCACAGTGATACTATATGAATCCATATGTAGTGAATCAGTGGGTGAAAAGCGAGTTGGCGAATGGAGCATAAATCAATTGGGTTTGCACCATGTAGAAACTATGAAATGTATCTGTCATCCACTCCAGACGATGAGAACCGCGGCAGCAACGACCATTATGTATCCCTGTCCAAATTGGCTCTTATTCCCAAACAGAAGACCAGACTGAGATCGGCCTGAGAACGGTGGTATGAACGGTCTATACCGCCCAGATAGAGCCCTCCAGCTTAGACGAGTGTCGTCGAAGAACTTGAACCAATGAATGTATCCTGTGAGGCGCCGTAGAGCGCGTAAGATAGAATCAGCACCACATATCTAGCCCTCGTCCAGGCTCGAGTGAGATGACCATAGCTATCCGCTGTCCTTATCATGAGCGATGATAGCCAGCTGCCAGTAGTTCTTAGAGAAATCCAAGCAGCAAGGCAAGTCTGATGGATCCGGCAGAATGATAGATTCATTGAGCCAGTCTATCGTCTAGATGTAGTCAGTCAGTATGTAATATATGTAGCTCTGGGCAGTGGGCACCACGACCCAAGTTCGCGACAAGCGTCAGTGTTGTTAGGCGCTCGGACGACCTTTGACCTTCAAGTTCGACCTCAAGACCGTGGGTTAGAGCACTATTACTAGTACAGCTGTCTGAGGTGTCCGTCGCAGGCAGCCTTGTCCGCCTCTAACGGTTCTTCTTGTCGTTATGTCTCACATTTCTATCGCTGAACGCGACGACTCCGGACGATTGCTTGCCACGTACTTGTGTGCTGCTGGGGAGCATACACGCTCTGTGAGTCTCTCTTCATCGCGCGATAAATCAACTTATCCTCAGATTATGTGCAGGATACTCCTTCATTTTCCATCAAGCAGAAACGAACGGACTGGCGGCGGCTATTGAGCAACGTCTTCCTTCCAGCTGGGTATCCAGCTAGTGTCTCCCCAGGTACGTTGAAAAACTTATGTCTGAATGAATGCGCTCATTTGTGAATGTCACTGTTCTGGTCAGATTATCTGCAGTGCGTATCAATTTTCGATTTGGTTACCAGTTCATTACTTATGCCGTGCAGATACCAAATTTACAACGCGTTACAGGCATTCTGCAGCTCGCTTGCCAGCTTGATTGCGTCTAGGGCCGTTCTAGAAGGTATGTTGACCACCTCCGCAATTCTCATGCATTACGGTTCTATAGTCCTCTTCAGGGCATGGTGTCGGCAACGCAGACGCGTCCGCTACGCATGCCATTTTCCTCACAGTGCTACAAGATATTTTCAGTCGTCTCACCAGTATGTGGCCATTACTGATTATGTATCGCTGCAATTCAGTTCAGTTGGCGTCGGGCTCCTTTCATAATCCACAGCTATTGTGTCCGGATACTATCTCGGAACATCACTCTTCCCTGAGGCGAAGACGTATCGTCTCCTCGCAGATATCTTCAATGACGCAGCCATCGTCCTCGACACGCTCTCTCCCCACTTAGATGGTGTCGTCCTCAGTCTTCGATATCCGTTCGTATTATCCGGCTCTGGATCGTCTCTTCGCGTGTCCGCATTATGCCTGAGTGGCGCATCCCGTGCCCTGTGTGGGATGGTTGCCGGCGGCTCAAAAGCGGCGCTGACAGTGCACTTCGCAAGTCCTGGGCAAGGTACTGGAGATGTGGGCGATCTGAATGCTAAAGATGGTAGCAAAGAGACTGTGCTTGCGCTGTTGGGCATGCTCGTAAGTTTACTAAAATCATCATCACATCTCTATCTAAGCCAATCATTTGTTAGAGTGGAACCGCGGTCATGCACTACGTGCATAGCGCGCGTGCTACATACTTGGTTCTCTTCGTGCTGACCTTTTTGCATCTGTTTGGAAACTACCTTGCCGTCCGGGTAGTCGTCCTTCGCTCTCTCAATCGACAGAGAGCAAATATTGTCTGGATGGCCTATCGTGCGCATATAAAGGGTAAATCACTCCTCTACACTTCCGTATCATATACATGCTTAGTGGGTGGCACTTAGGTCCGATGGGTGGCAAAAGACCACTCGTGTTGACTCCAGAGGCGGTGGCGGCTCGAGAGCGTATCTTTGCCAACCCTTCTGCGCTGCACGATACATCTTCGCCCGCCCACCCGTTCCTCGGCATCTGTAAGGTCGGGTCTTCGTTCTCCTCTCTCGCTTCCCGCCAACAGTCTGCGCCGCGCGGCGCGTTAGCTGCGCCTTCTCCACCCCAGATCCACACCATCCTGGAGATCTTCTCCGAGGAGCCGTATGTCCTCTGGTTCGGCCCGACGTCGGGGCCGTCCTGCCGTCTTCATGTGTTCCTAAAGGATGGACACAAGCCGCGTGACCACCTCAAGGCGTGGACACACGCTCAGGAAGCGGCGATCATGCTCAACGGTCGTCAGCCTGGAAGCTTTGAGGTCGCCCTGGCGGCTGTACAAACGTCGTATGCGCTCGTGGAAGACCTATTCCCGCCGTTTCTTGACGCCGTTCGAGGAGTGGGGTGGAGAATCGATGAAGGTGGCATACTTGCCGGTTCACCACGGACGATATCAGTCAAGGTCCACGACATGTCCGCGGATAGTGTGTCAGTGTTCGAAGATAAAAAGACGATTTGATGGTGATGTATAAGCTTGTTCGTGAGTATATGCGCATTTATTCGTCTTGGCTGAGACCATGAATATAAAATGGTGCTCGAACTGTAAGCGGATATCTTTTATTCAAGATTCCAACTTGGAGCAAGTCCTTTGGGCTGATACAGCTGTTGGCCCTATGTCTGGCAAAATTTTTCATATCCTGAAATCAATCAGCCGCTTGGGGCACTCGCGTATACCTATATACCGGTTGATGACTGCATTCTAGGAAGCGTCTTCCCCGCCAACACTACTGCAGCTATGATGGCCCGAGTAGATATGAATAGCCACTTCTCAGTGTGCGTTTTTGTCTCAGCAGAGGTCGTAGATTTATTACAGTCACAGAAACGAACGAGACACCAAGAATCGAAACTAATGCGCCGTCTCTGCCCTCAAATTGCGCACCTTCTTCACAAGCCCGAAGAACCGCCCGCGCTCTGCTTTCGCTTCGATCCGGAGACGTTCTTCGTGCTCTATCTCGGCCTCCGAGACGTGCCCGCCAAGCGCGTACCACGTCACGCTCAGCATGCCCAGTACCGCCGTCAAGACGCAACTGCATGTGCGTTGTCAGCAACCTAATCACGTAAGTAGAGTGTACGAGTATGCCAGAGAACAAGGATTGAAAGTTGCGGGAGCGGTAGGAAAAACAGAAGAATGCAAAAGCCAGCCACTCACCCAGTCATCGCGCCGATGCCCCTCGGGTGCCATCCGTTGTTCTGCGGGAACGGCCCCAGCGCAAGCCCGCTCAAATCCGTCGGGTTTGAGTTACCTGCTGCATTCCCCGAGTACGGCAGCCCGTCCGCGGCGCACTGTTGGTTCATGTACACCGGCATCGTGTTGCGTTCCTGCGCGATTAGCGGCGCCTCGATGAGCTGGATCGCGAGCCCGACCTCGAGGTGCCACTCAATGTGGCCTGTTATTGGACACAACCAGAGCGCGAGTGAGCCATGTCAGCAGTGAGCGAAAAAGGCAGACGCACAGTGGAAGAACCACACGCCAGGGTTGTCTGCTAAGACGCGGAACGTGTATGCGCTGCCCGGTGGGACTAGGACCGTGTCGCGGCGCATCGGGTTCGGCTGCGACTCATTGATCGGCGGGTTCAGCGCCGGGTCATCCGACGTGTAGTCCGCCGCAAAGTTGACGATCTGCACCTTGTGCCCGTGCAAGTGACTGGGAATTCCCCGTGTGCGATACGATTGCAGTACAACATCAGCGCTCAATTCCAGGAAAGGCTTAGGCCAGAAAATACGACCCACAACGGATGCTTGCCCGTATCTCCGTTCTTCAGCACGATGTCCACGACTGCCAGATGGTCGACAACGAAGCTCAGCGGGCCATACGCAGCGGGAACCGTCGCGTTCGCGCCGAGAGTCAGCGCACTCATGATTGCAGGGACATTCGGCGAGTTGTATGTCACACCGTTCACAAGCGCATGATTCGTTCCATCATCAAGGGTCTGGAACTCAAATTCCAGATTGATCGTCGTCGTCGAGGGCGCCATTCCGATCACGTCAATCGGCACGAGCAGCGAATCATTGGTTGATTGGTACGCGGTGACGGGCCCGAGGTCCTGGGTAGATGCAGAACCAGAGTAGGCGATGTAAGACGTCGCGTCTGAGTCGCGCAAAAAGGAGGTGATCAAACGTTAGTGTAATATCGCATCGAATTGGGAACGAAGACTGACTGGGATTCAACGTAGACGGAACGGTATCGAACATCGTCGTGTCCATATTGGCATGAATAGCCCAGTTATCGCTTGTATCATTCCGCGCAGTGACGAGTATCGAGTATCGTTGGGCGACTCCAATGTTGATCATGTCGATCGGATACTCTTCCACGTCGATCTACATGGTTCACGCCACAATTACGCATATAGCGAGGGGGAAGTCCGCGAACATATTGTCTTCGTCAGCGGATTATATAGCATACGGCAACAGGAGGTACGCACACCATCCGCTTCGATAATTCGCATGTCATGTCCGTCGATCCAGAAGTAAAACCCTGCGAACGCGCCAATGTTCGCAATGCGCAGGCGGTAAGTCTTCCCCGGCTGGCGCACATCAAACCACGCATTGAGAGTGTAGGAAACTGGTTAGTATATGACCTGGACTAGAATGTAGGACAGGTCCCACCTCGAAAGAGAGCGTCGCATTTTCGTTGAACCCAACGGCGGCAGTGACAGGATACGGGTTTGATCCTGCCTTAGGCCCAAGGTATGTGTCGCCTTGCGCGAAGTACATCAGAGGAGCATCTGTATGCAAGAATTTCGTCAGCATGGACGTCTGATATAATAATCTGCACAAACATGGGTCCGAATCTTGTACGTGTATATCGCAGACGGGGCTGTCTCGCCCTTCGATCGGCAAGTATGGAAAACGCACGACAAAGCAAATAACAAAACGAAACGCCGAAGACAAGACAAGAAAAAAAGCGGAAGTGGAGAGATAGGGTCACTGACCTGGGATTGGCTCTGCTCCACCAGGGTTTGCGATACTCACAAACTGGGTCATGAGTGTCGAATGCTGCTGGTGGTACCAATCCGAAATGGAGATCGTGTATTCGGCATCATAGGTATATACTTCTGTTGTCGGATGAATGACCAATGGTGACCGCAAGCCGTCGACGTATTGACCCTATGGGAGTTGTTAGCAGTTGGTTCAATATGGGTAAATGAAGCAACAATTTATGATCAAGGATCGGCACTGCAATGTATGAAGGAGGAAATATCTGGATGCCAGAAGGCTTACGTTAGAGTGGGCATGCACCCAATAGGTGCCATGTTGGTTTGAGGAATTGATTGGGACGATGTAGTCAAAGCTTTCCCCCGGAGGAATACCGCTGCAACATGTCAAGTTAGTATCAGTATCATATAATATTTGAGAGCTTCTAGGCCAAGTAATAGCGGGTGCGAGCGACGCCGTTGTGGAAACGAACCATTCAAGCGTGGAAGATACGCGCACATAGTGCGATGACAATATACGACACATAACGTGCGCATATATGTGCTGAACAAATGACGCAGAAAAGACTTACCACTGGCTGACGCCCATAGCGCCGTCCATCCAGGATGTCGAGTTGAAGAACATGCCATGATGATGGATAGTAAGGGGCGAGTCGAGTGAGTTTGTGGCGTGCAGAAGGATAGAGTCCGTCTCGTTCACGACAACAGCTGGGGGGCTACGAGAGATTGTGGATTAGCCGAATTGACTATACAGAGATACGAGGCAGGCTTGGCGGACAGCGCAATACGGCATACCGAATGTGACACGTCGCATGACACGTCGTATGTAGGCTGCAGTGACATAATTGTTGAGCGCATAATGAAACAAAACTTACGGCCAAGTGCCATTGACACCAATGGCACGACGGGGGTAGAGACCGTCGGGGTTGGTGTTCTCGACGTAGGAGACGTTCCACCACATCTCTTTAATGCCGGCCATGGCCGGAGAGACAGCGGCCAGCAAGGCAAGAGCGGTCAGCATTTTCGCTGCTGTGTCTCGCGTACGATTGTTTTCCGCGCGCGTCGAATGCTCGTCACACAGGGAGAACGAGAACGACGAGTAAGACTTGGGCGCAGAGAAAAGGGAGCGGATGGAAGTGGGGGGAGACAAGGTCAAAGAGAGGAGGGGACCCCCGCGACTTTTTCAAGCTCCACTTGAGGCGGGGGAGGCACGCCTGGACGGAGAGGGCCATTGCATGGCCGAGGACGGAGACAGTCATGGGAGGGAGACAAGCCCAAAATTTATCAGATAAGACGAGAAGCGATTGCGCGTTCCCTTATTTGGATCGCGCATCCGCTCCCGTCTTATCTGATAACCACAACCCCAGAACACAGATTGGGTCCTCCGACAGCGCCCGAACCGCGGGCCCGCTAGAAGTCTCCGCTCCCAATTTTGCACGCAATCAACCCGTGTCCATAGGGCCCCAGAGCGCAAGCGGTGGGCTTGGTGTCTCGCCACCATCACGAAGAAGAATGTGTTTAAACGACACAAGATGCGCGAGGGGACACCTTTGACGTTGTTCGGCCGTCGCTTGCTCAGGCAGCCAGGGCCGAGTACAAGCCGAGCGTATGCCAAGCCCCCAGGGAGGCAATCCGCATACTGCTGACTTATCAGATAAGATGTCGCCTCACTCGCGCCCTAAAATTATCAGATAGTCTGCGCCGCCGCCTGCCCCGGAATCCGTACTTAATCCACCACTTGTAGTCCGTATCCAGAGCAGGCACTCGTGTCGCCTCCCCTCTTCCTCTCCACCGCCCCCAACGCCATGGCCCGCGATCTGTTCTCCGTCCCCATTTTCTTCATCGTCTTTCGCGAGACCCTCGAGGCAGCCATCATCATCTCCGTCCTCCTCGGTCTCGTCGAACAGATCGTCAACGAGGACCCCTCACGTCTCCTTGTTGCGCCGCCTTCACCAGCAAATTCCGGCTCTGTGCGCGATGAAAAATCACGCCCCCCGTCGACTACCGACGTGTCGCAGACCCAGGTCGACGACTCTTCCGCACAGCCGGAGCTCGCCAGCGGTGAGCGCACTGACGACGATGCAGACGCAAATACGGACACCGTCGCGCGTCGACTTATCCGCAAACTCCGCATCCAAATTCTCCTCGGCTCAGCACTTGGACTATTCATTGCCGTCGCCATTGGTGCCGCCTTCATCGCCGTCTGGTTCACCGAAGCGGCGGACCTCTGGGCAAAATCCGAGAACCTCTGGGAAGGTATAGGCCGCGCTACTTTCTTCCTGACGCTCTCCACTCACCCTTTGGTACAGGAATCTTCGAGCTCATCGCAGCGCTCATCATTTTCGTCATGGGTATCACCATGCTTAAGATCGACCGCGCAAAGGCAAAGTGGCGCGTGAAGCTCCAGCGCGCGTTTTCTGGACAACGTATGTCGCGTCGAATCGATAAATGAACTTTCCAGTAACCATCCCTGTAGGTATCGACCGTGAGACGCGCGCGGGAAAATGGGTGCTCTTCCTCTTGCCCATGATCACTGTCTTGCGTGAGGGTACGTGGTCAGCCGTTAATCGTCCTGTGCATGGTCGAAACTGACGCATATATGTGGCATTACAGGCATCGAGGCTGTCGTCTTTGTCGGTGGTGTATCTCTTGGACAGTCCGCGATTGCAATTCCTATCGCTGCCATTGTCGGGCTCGTTTGTGGGCTCATCTCGGGTTACCTCATATACGCATTCGCCAGCCGCACGAGTTCGTTTGAATCCTATATTTCTTGATGCACCCCTGCTAATGTCCGTGCACAGCGCTGACAGTGTTTATGGTTGTCATGACAAACTTCATCCTCCTCATCGGTGCGGGACTCTTCAGCAAGGCCGTTTGGGCGTTTGAAGCGCAGGCTTTCGCCAACATGTATGTCGCCCTTGTCCCGTCCCGTCATCGTCATCGTAATGACCTGCTTCCTGCACCCTAGCGTCGGCGCAGACGTGGATGACACAGGTGGAGACGGGCCGGGCTCGTTTGACGTGCGCAACTCGGTGTGGCACATCAATTGTTGCAACCCCGAAAACAACCTCGACAGCGATGGCTGGACGATCTTTGGTGCGATCTTCGGTTGGACAAATAGTGCGACGTACGGTAGCGTTGCCTCGTACGTCGCGTACTGGGTCGCTGTCGTCATCGTTCTCGTGTATCTAAAGTGGAAAGAGGTGAGCCGACGCTGCGCTGCCCTATAATGGTTGAACTGAAGTGTACGTCGCGCCATAGGGACGGACAACGCTGTTTGGCCGCGAGTCCGCTGCAGGTGTGCGTCGGCGCGAGCGTTCGGAGCGTTTGGAGCGGGAGCAGGTGCCTATGCAAGACATGCAGCACTTCCGGGATGAGAAGCTTGGAGAAGATTCGCCGCCACCGTCTCCCGTGGTCGCGGATCCCTGATATCCATATGTCTTCCTCCCCTTCTCGCGTACCAATACCGCCTTTGTACTTTCAGCAAAAAGCCTCCAGCGACGTTTCCACGTCGACGTACGGTAATCTCATATATAGCTTCCTCGGGCCGTGTATTATGTGTAATTCAGCGCACTCGCATGTATTGTATCCCCATACGATAGACAGAACCTGGAACAGTGGTTGATCATGATCAGTTCTCGGCGAGTATTGAGTAGCAAAAGCATGCTGAAGCAGCGGTCGACGATGCGATTCCGCATTGAACTATGAAAAGCAGTGTATGAAAAGGAGGAACATAAGCTCGCGGACGCTGCAATGTCATTTGATCCGACATGCATGGTGGCAAAAGAATCTACACGAACCAGTGCATGGGCGTGGGAACGAGTTCCCAGCGCCTCTTCGCAGGCCCGTAGCAGCGTTGGAGGCGGGATATCCTTATATAGCAATTCGCACATCTGAGCCCACGACAAACTAAACACACACTACAGATTCTACCGAGCTGTGGTGCACCAATACTTTCATGCAATTTTTGCAGTAATACCTATACCAGGAAATATGACAACTTGTCATGTTACTCGCGACGACTTGGACTGGCTGGTCATATTTTCACTATGTCCCCCGGAGAGTCCGATTTGGATGTCCATTAGAATTCGAAGATCCTTACGCAGGTTGTGTAGATGTGTAGTATGCTAAGTGTGGACGAGGAACTGCTAAGATAGACTTGGCATACTAGACTTACTGATACATGACATAACATCTCGTCGGCCCCCCGCCGCGAGCCTTTACCTTTCATCGAATGGCCCTCATGGGACGAGCAGCCCCTGCCCCGAGAACTCGCAAAACCTTCCTGTGCATCACAAATACAGCGAGCCCACTCCCTATAATTCTAGTACATCCACCTATAAATAGGAATGAAAGATATCCATGATTCCAGTGCCCCCGACGCCCATCGTCACGCCCGCGCCCGACGCGTCAGCCGCACAGGCACGTCCTGTATGCCGAGTGTAAAGAAGAACCGCGCGTCGATGACTCTCTTCGTCCACTCGTCCACGCTCTCGCCCGGCTTCAGCAGAGGCTCGGCCTTCCAGTCGCGCAGCAACATTGTGAGGAACGCCACTGCCTCCGTCGTCGCGAACCGTCTCCCGATGCAGCCTCGTGGCCCTGTGGATCATTCGCTCGTCAGAAGCAGCGCGCGCGCAAGTCGCGGATCGTACCGAGGCCGAAGGAAGTCACCATGTCGGTCTTGCCGTTGCCCTCCCAGCGCGAGGGGAGGAACTTCTCTGGCTCCGGATAGTAGCGCGGGTTGTATGCTGTCGACAGTGTGAGAGCAAACATCATTCGTCAGCACGAGGCGACTCACCGACTCCTAGTACATCCCCCATAACCTAGAAATGATGAGCCATGCAGATGTACGGCGTGTACGCGTACAGGAACATCGTGGACATACCAGTATGCCTTTGGGGACGACGATCCGGGCGTCCCTGCCCGACCCATGCGCGTCAGGGATGACCAGCGGGCTGTCCTCGACCGGGATGCGCCCTGCAGCAAACGATGCAGGGAACAAGCGGCTTGCCTCATAGAACGCGTTTAACACCTTGTCAAGCTGATGATATTCACTGGGCGTCTTCACGTCATAAACGTAAGCACAACGCCGTCCACCGTCAAGAACAGCGATAGCCGCTTACAGGATCCCGATCGGTTCCAACGACTTCAACAATCTGTTTATACAGCACTTCTTGTGCGTCCTGGTTGGCAGCGAGGAGCGCAAATGTCGCCGAAAGGGTCTCGGCGGTCGTCTGGGGAAACCTGCTGAGGGAGCTGCCATTACCCGCACATGCTTTTACGTACCTCGTGCCCGGCAAACAGCATGAGGAAAACATTCGCGATCTGACTCTGCATGAGTCTCGCGTCCAGGTGGACAACGCGCACAAATGACCCACCAGTTCGTCGTCAGACAAGATGAGCTTCTCGGTGTGAGCGGACTGCGCGTTGACCTCATTCGCGCGCACGAGCACGCTGAATATGTCGCGGCTGCCCTCTTCTTTCAGCTCGATCTGGCTCTTCACGAGCGCCCGCCGTTCGTTCACTTGCACACGCATATACTGGTCTAGCATGACCCGCGCCTTGCGGAACTCGCGCATCCTGCGAGACATACAGTGGGCCGTGGCTGGAACGGAGAATGCAAAAGTGTCTTACGTTTTAATGGGCAGCCACCGCATCCACTTTGGGAACAGCACCGCGATCGAGGGCTTCACGAGGATCCGCAATGCCTCGGAAAAAGTCATATCTCCGGTGCTGGTCGTTGTTGGGTCCGACCAGGACGCCTCTACCCCAAACCCGCAAACTACGATCATGATGAAGGCCAACTAAGAAATGGACGCCGTCAATCAGTTACAAAAGTCCATTATGGGCCAAGAAAGGGCGGGTACCCTGGACGTGATCTTCTGCATAACAGGTATTTCAACAGTCTCTTGATAGGCCCAGCCCTCGTGCTCAGCCATATCATGGTACGTCCGCACGGCCTGGTCCCAGACATCGGCGTACCTAGTGCGGCATATTATGAGGTACAGCCAGGCAGGGAACCAGACCCCAGCACTCACATATCGCTATTGAACGCGGGAGCCAGAATCTTCCGGTGTTTCTGCCACTCTTCCTTTTCGGAAGTGAATAGGTTCTGGCCCCACTCCCTGCGTGCAGGTGCCCGTCAGCTCATAAATAGATCAAGATGCAACGGGTGGCGTACTCCAAAACGAAACTCCGGTATCTGAACCACGGAGACTTGACCCCACCCGACATGAGCTGGCGCATCACCTCCAGGTCCGCGCTGAAGATCTGCGGCTTACTGGATAACCACGGGACAATAGAGATGGTGTCTGCCCCGTACTCTTCGTAGACTGCGAGGTTTCTCAGCGACTCGACGTCCCAAGACTAGCGGCTCATATGACAGGCCGGCACGAGGCGAGGCACTTACAGTCGTGGAAACGCGTGTTCCATAGGTACCGTATGCCCTGGCTCCGCGGGCTTATTAGACCAAGGAGGGACATGGGCGGATACGCGCATCGCATGCCGGGAAGGTAGCTCACGGTCTGCGGGGTGGCCAACGGGTGAGGTCAGGAGACATCGTGAATCACGTCTAATGGGGGTCGAGGCTTGCCTTCAACCCATTAAAGTACTTCACAATCCTCGAAAGCACGAAAATGACTGCCGCGGCGACCGCTATTTTGGTCCAATCGGACGTCCAGTCCGCCACTGACATGGCCATAACGTTTCCTACAGTTTATGAGAACCTGCACGCCTCTCCGTTATGGTGCTAAACGTGGTGTCACAAGACAAAGAAGCCGATACGATGTACAACTCACCGTGATCAGAAGTCGCGTTCACACTTGACACAGCGGGGCAAAGAGTCGTCCCCAGCAAACAGCCCTCGAATTGTTAAACAACTCGAGAGTGGAGGAAGGACGGTCGTCAGGTAGGGAGGGGAAAGCTGTCCTCCACGAGATACAACGCAATGCATATCCACCCCTTAGTCTCTTACACGAACAGCGCATGAAACGCGATGGTGCCGGCCGACCGGCAGGTTCCTGAGCACAACCGTGCAGGCGGAGGGAGGCGGAGAGTGCGCGGATCCGTAAGTAGTAGCGCATAGAAAACCCGTCCTTGAAATGGACAAGCCGAGGCTCACGAGATATTTCGACAATAATCATGAAAGATGTCGACTGCCCTGACGCCGTCTCATGTTAGGTCGAATCACGTTATATCGCTGAAGCTTGCAGCAGGACGTCTCCGGATTCCAAAATACACGGCGCGGGAGTGCATGCGTTCATCCCGGTGGCTCATCCAGATATTTCTCAAATGAAGTGTGTAGAGGAATTCATCCCACGGCGTGCGCCACGTCGTCAGATCGGGAAACCGACTTACCTTAAATGGCAAGTTGGGAGTCTGCTGTACCAGACACCGTTCAATTTCGAGCTAGAGACGAGTCAACAAATGCCCATTTGAGAATCTACACGCAGTGTGCCGTACAAACAGCCGGACACTATGGCGGCAGAGCAGCGAGCTGCATGGGACAGGAAGGATAGAGGATGGTGGTAGAGGAAGGGGGATAGAGTTCAGCTGCTCGCCCGCTAGAATCGGAGTCAAAACTCGCCCAGAGATTGACAACGCGATAACGTCAGTACTGGTGCGTTTGGGAGCGAATTCTATCAACGTTTGTTGAACTTTGGACTTGCAAGCTACATACAATCAAGCAAGCTTATTAGGTAGCCTAAGCGCGCGTACTTCAGTATGTAGTTTGTTTGTGCTGTAACGCTACTGCACACGGTTTATGGCCTTTACGCGCAGGGCATATTTATTCCATTCACCTATCCTATGCCGCAAGCTGATTTCTGGCATGAACATTGCGTCGTGATAGCGCCGTAGCGCGCCAGACTCATCATTGGATGACATGTGCTTTCAGCATTCGGCTAGCTTCGTTTGGTAAGGGCTTGGTCGGTTAACGAGAAATGTTGGTAGCTCGATCGCGTGCAAGGACTAGCTTTGGGGTCAATACTTGATGAGTCCCTCGCGACCCTGGGACCGAGGTATAGAGCTGTCTGGCGCACTGACAAAGCTAGCGTAATTGCCGGGCTGATGGTAGTTAGCAACAGAGTTCGGACTTCGAGATCACCGCTCAATTATGTCGTGCAATGTGATGGAGCATTGGCAACGCCGCCGACCAGTGTGAGCATGAAACGCGGGATTTGGCAAGGCCGGGAAATAATACAGCTACAGCGAGGGGTATGTCCAGTCTCGACTCGTCAAGAAAGGGAAGCGAGCATAGTACACAGTGCGACCAGGATCCCAAGCAGCTGTCCGCGGGCGTCAGCTGGAGATCACGCTCGACTTAGGGGCAGGTGGACACGCACGTCATTTAGGTCGTGTCAACGCAATAGATATCCGAGGCGCAAAGGGCGTGGCTCATGAGGGAATAAGGGGATCGCGGGGAACGCGGATGGGCAGCATGACGGCCTCGGCGCGCGACATGAGCATCCTGCTCGGGTCGGCGCGCTGCGCGCGAGGGATCGCGCCGGACGCGACTGTATGCGTGTGTCGGCGATGGACGGAGCCTTGGTGCTGGATATATGCGCGCATGTCAGCGTACTATTGCTGTTCAGTCGCGCACGCGACACGCACCTTCCAGAGCGCGAGCACGTTGACGAAGGCGGCTGCACACGAAGGACATTTTGGATGCAGGGACTCGTCCGCAGATGCAAAATGGTCGTAGAGGGCGTCAGAGCTGGGGAAGTCGAGGAGACAGGGGGGGCAAAAGGAATCGCGGTGGGGCATGGCGACGCAACGGATGGACGGTTCGAGGGAGGCGAAGGGGTGTGGGGGGCGGGGCGAGCTGGAGGACGAAGGAGATATATGGAGGACATTGGGGAGGCAGTGCGTGGGCCATGGTGCTGGTGGTGGCCTGCTACGAACCGAAGATGCTGTCACAGTCAGGGTGGCTGGTCGGGGCAGGGGGTCGCAGCCAATCGGACTGGCCCGATCGACAGCTGCTCCGGCTAGAATCGAACTGGTTCCCTACAGCCTGCCAAGATGCTCCCCCGCCGTCTCGCCTCCCTTTGCCACCGCAGCCCTCGCCTTTCTCCCACGCACGCTGGTGCCAGCGACGACGTCTGCATCCCATGTGTCCTCTCGCAGGGCATTCGTTCGATATACCAGCTAGGCAGGTTCGAGTCGGATTGCTATGGCCTCCGTGTTTCGTCTCCCCGCACTTGTCTATCCTCCTTGCGGCTCGCCTCTCGCTTGCTCGGGGTCATCATGCGCATGTCTCTAGTCAGTCAGATCCGAATCATCCGATTTTGGCATCTCTGAAATTTCCGAATGGTGCGCGCCCGCAAGCCGTCGCCCAATCTCCTCCGTGATGCTGGCTGTAATGCTCCTCCACTAGGCAAGTGATACTTCCTCCTTTGCGTACGACTGTATCAAAGTTGTGTCTCGTCTTGCCAGTTGTGACAAACACTTAGCAAGAGGGAGCTTTATATCAACAAAGTATACTGTAGACCATGCGCTCAGCCTAGATGGTGCCAGTTACAGACGCAAAGCCTCGGACTTACATAGCTACGCGCGACTCAGCATCGATTTTGACCAATCTCACTGACTTGAGAGATGCGCCCCAGGCTTGTTGTGCTTGCTCTGTCGTTGCTGCGTGCGAGTCTGAGGATGTGGCGAGCATATGACTGCACTGTAGAAGTCTTGGTTAGATCTCGTCGTTTTGGCTGGGGACACTGCTCGTTCCCACAAACTTGCTTCATTCTACAGTACTCTCTGTACGGGCGCTCCCTCCCCGTGGGAATTGCTCGGATTTTGAGCGCCTAGAGTCAGAGAGCCTTAGAACGGCTGGGGACGACTATTGCTTCGACATGTCTGGGTATGAGAGCAGACTATCGTAGGTAACAGCTTGGGAACCAACGAGATCACTAAAAGCCTTTAGTGATACTTTTCGCGCTGTCCAACAACTTCCAATCAGACTAGAAAGGTCCATACAATACTCACTGTGTTGTAAGCCTAAGGCTGACCACGGTAGACCAATTATTTACTGTACGTGACCGGCACACCTTCTATTACTGTCAGTGTAAGAGTAAAAGATGTGTCAATCTTCCTGTGACAAGAAAATTAACACATCTTCAACTCCGTCGACACTTGCATGCCCATGACATAAGCACACAGCACTTACTATATGTTTGATGTGCTTGATAGTAGACATTCTTGCTCTCTTGCTCTCTCTCTTTTCCCCCTCACGTTTCGTTCCCCCCTCCCTTGTTCTTGTGCTCTGATGTGTGTGCCAGGGTTCCATGTGTCTCATATGGTGATCTTCAATGTGTAGTACTGTCCTCCCTTCCCAACACCTCCACCTCCACCTCCACCCCCACCCTACTCACGACCTGTCTCCATAGAACAACCGTCCGCATCACACTCTCAAGGGTATTCTTTAAGGATCGTTTAAGCCTGTCTCCTGGACTCACAATATCCACGTCTCGCAGGCACGCAGGCGCTCTGACCACAGCCAGCCATATTGTCGCGGCCTCCGGCGAGTCTGACTATTATTTATTCCATAGGTCTCTATTAGGAAGTTTGCCTATGGGAGACAAGAGTCTGACAGCTACTTGCCGATTCCAACCTCATCCTCTATCGCGCTACGCTGATCAGCTCATGCCCAATCGTCCCCAACATGGTTGAAACAATAATAACAATCCCGCTGCAGATGACTGTGCACGCATAGACCAGACCACCACAATCGTTCCACCTCGCCCCGCTCGGTCTTGGTTCATTCAGCTGCACCGCATCCCCAAGTCAAGAACAGTTGAAGCGGCGTTTCGTGTGCAGAACAGGCTCGGCCGTTATGGTGACCGGTGCGTCCTCTAGAAGTAGTGTATGGGTATATAACTGATATACGGCAGGGCGATGGACCTCGGCGTGCTCTCTTCTGACTTGTCCGTCTAAATTTAACTCTTAGGCAGTCCTTCACACCGACTCTCGGGGCACCATTCTTTACTGTGAACGCCCACTCTTGGCTATGCCTTGTCTCTCGCACCTTCATTCAGGTGCACTTGCCTTCGTGTCGCTCCCACATCAGTTTTGCGTCCCGGAGCGCGTACCGCATCCAGTATGCATCGTGTGCTGACTGTTGTTACCAGGACGCCGTACCCCGGAGAGGCGGGGTTCAAGTGCGGAATGCTACGTCCTGAGTTTGGATATTACGAGCTGTGTATGTGACTGTTTCCGTGTTAATTGATCAATGGCAACGGAGGCGACGAGCTCTGCATATACAGAACAATCGACAGCCTCCGTCGACAGCGCCGCAAGCCTGGTTCCTCACCGCCTGGATCCTTCCCCGTCAGCACGTGCGCGATCCAGTAGAATGGGCCGCCAGTGGCGCTAGCATGAGAAGGGTGGTGTGTGCACTGGACACTACGCCGAGATTTGTCTAGCTCACAGGGTACATATCGTAGGCTATTGCTGGCAGTGCAGTCTGCTTGAGACATGCTTCAAAGGTATGCTGACGTCATCTGTCTCGGCAGGTCATGGTCTCTTCCGAATAAGGTCTCGCAGCCGCAACTCGCCTCCCCTCAACAGGGTCATCCTTCTCAGCTCGACCCTTCCCTCACCATCGCCTGACCACCACTACCGCGCCTAACTCGCTCTCGCGCGTTCATTATAACGACGCCGCCCTCCCTCGTGGATGCCACATCGCGCGTACACTTTCCAATGCGCGTTTGTTGACTCGTCAGATGCCAGCCGGAAATTGAACAGTGCAGCTGCTCGATGAATGGTCTGAGAGACTTCCTCCTTCTGCAGGCTCTAGATCCAGCGGTACATTGGATCACTTGTGCGTGCGATGTCAACGCAGTATGATGCAAAAAGCAGCCCATATCTTTCTTAGTTAGCCGAGGAATGCAACTCTAGCGAGTTGGATACGTTGTTTAAGGTTTTCTTCCCAAGCTTGTATGCTTTGCGTTCCGTTAAGTAGGTGGCTCTTGAAGCCTTGGAGGCGCTTTAGCTTTCCCCCTCTGTTCCGTATCAAGTCTGGGTACGACCCCGATCACGGTGAGTGTATCGCTTCATCAACCTATGCATCCTGTAAACCTGTGCTGACAACGCTGGCTGCGAGATGGACAGGGTTTTGGAGACCGTTGTGAAAATTACGCCCATGGCGAATTGGACGTCCGATTGGACTAGAATAGCGGTCGCCGCGGCGGTCATTTACGTGCTGTCGAGGATCGCAAAGTACTACAGTGGATTGCAGGTAAGTTTCGATGCCCAGAGAACATCACATATAGTGTCCCTCCAGCATCCTTCCGCTTTTCTCTCGTGATGACTAACCTCGCTCTTGGCTGTCCCTTAGGCTGTGGGCTACCTCCCCGGCAAGCGATGCGCGTATCCGCCCCTGTCCTTCCTGGATATGATAAGCCCGTGGGGCAAGGGTCTGCGCTACCTATGGAACACCCGGTTCCACGACTGTGAGTCCCTCGCACCGTTTTGTCCTGTCCTAAATTACTGTCTCAGAGACTTGATTTGCTGAACAAATCCACAGTTTATGCGGAGTACGGAACAGACACCATCTCTGTCGTCCCGTGGTTCGCTAGCACGCCGCAGATCCACAGCGCGGACATGGAGGTGCTGCGCCAGCTCATGTCTGGCGGGGTCAAGTCTCCGTGGTTCAAATTCCGGAGTCCTGTCATGGAGTACGTCGTGTATTTTGTTCACCCTGCTTTGCGCTCGTTTCCTGGAATGGGCTGACAGGCGTCGGCATGCAGAGAGTGGGGCCACAGTTTGTTCACTGTCGAAAGGGAAGAATGGCAGAAACATCGGAAGATTTTGGCTCCTGCGTTTAGTAGCGAGATGTGAGCGCTCGCCCACGATCTCCAATTTGACGGTACCTCAGATGTATACTAGGTACGCTTACGTCTGGGATCAGGCTGTGCGGGCGTACCATGATATGATTGCACATGAGGGCTGGGCGGACCAGGACACCGTCGAGATAACCGTTCTGCAACGGCTCACGTCCAAGGTATTAGACTTCCGTCGACGTATATCTACGAGAGCTGGCTAACGGCGCGTTTTACACAGCTTGCCTTCCTCCTGCTTGCCGTCTGCGGGTTCGGGTTGGACGCGTCCTGGTCCGATCCGACCACCACCAGTACCGGGGGCATGACCGTTCCCCATGCGCTGCGAATCTTCGTGATGCCCTCGATCGCCGTGCTCCTCCCGAAATGGATGCGGTGGATCCCCCTCAAACAGTAAGGCGCCTTCCGCTCCCTGCTTCAGCCACAGCTCACTTTCTCTCTTACAGGGTGCGCGACTTCTGCCACGCGCGCGGCCTGTTGGACCAGTACATGCGGACTCAGGTGAATGAGCGGAGAAAACTCGTAAAGAGCCAGATTGAGCTGAACGAAGAAGGCAGTCGTGACATATTCAGCGTGCTCGTGCGCGCAAATGAACTCAATGCGCGGTCCGTCGACACTCAAAAGCTGACATTGTCTGACGGCGAAGTGGTAAGTGTGTACGCGCGCGGTTCTCTCGAGCGCGATGCTTACGCAGAACCAGATCTCGAACGTTTTCCTCATGCTATTTGCGGGGCACGAGGTACGCAAGGGTGCGCGCAGGGCGGTCATGCCTCTGATTATCTCCGTAGACCTCGGCCGAGACCCTCGCGGCGACGTTTGCTCTCCTGGCTGTCCACCAGGACGTGCAAGAGGTAGTGTATCAACAAATCATTGACGTGGTCGGAACCGGGCGAGATCCTGTAGGTGGTTGCTCCAATGTTCCGCGACGGGCGGTGTTGTGCTTACGTTTGCGTTGTGAAGACGCCCGGCGAATACCATCAGCTGGACAAGGTGCTGAACGCGTTCTACGAGGCAAGCCGCATGTTCCCTGCGTCATTTTCTGCCGCGCGCGTCGCCGCCGAGGACAGCACGCTGGTCGTCCCCAATGCGCACGGATCGGGCAGGGAGGGCAGGATCATAGTCCGGAAGGGCGTATTAGTGCGTCCCGAGTATTCCTCATGTGTTTCTGCCTCGTGGCTGAGTGATGTCTAGGTGGTGGGGGATACGTTGGGGATTGGTGAGTCGGCTAGTCGCTGTAAATGAGGGTTTAACCAACGCCACCGACAGAATACAACCCGCGTTACTACCCGGAGCCGGAGAAGTTCCTCCCCTCACGTTGGGAGGGTGATGACAAGACGGACCTGGTGTCCTCGTTCGGCGTTGGTACGGGGATATTTGATGTCTCCCTTACTTGCCACACCTGACGGCCGAATGATGCACAGGGCAGCGCACCTGTATCGGGAGACGGTTCGCGACTACGGAGGCGGTGGCGTTCCTCACGATGTGGTTGCGTGACTGGAAAGTTGAGCCGCTGTTGAAGCCGGGCGAGAGCGTGGACGAGTGGACGGAGAGGATCGTCGATGCACGGTTCTTCCTTACGCTTGGGATTCAGGATGTGCCGGTGCGGATGAAGCGCAGGGCGCAGGTGTGACGATAGGTCCCGTTCAGAGAGAGAAGTGCGAGTGTATTGGAATGCATGCCTGACAGCTCGTGATGTCATATTACGAGCGTGTCGCATCAACTCACCAGTACGAACATGTAGATCACAGAAATCAGTCGGGCTAATATTAGTGTATGCAGCCATTCGATTGAGAGCACTTCCCATACGTGGGTTCAGATCCCTGCCTCTAGCACTCAACTGCCAAGGCCACATTCAGCAAGTCCACCACATATCGATTGCAACTATACGTTACCACACCCTTATCTCTCATGACCTCCCCCCGATGACTCCGTACCCAGCAAGCTGTCAGGCGAGCTAATGTCTCCATTCCGAATACTGTTAGATACATTTAATCGGAAGCTAGATCTAGACTACTGTAGTAATCATCTACATAAGGCCATGCCCTCAAAGACTATAGACAAGACTCACAAACAAACAGATTGAGAGCAGAGTTTCACAGCGCAGAGACATGTACTGTACATCAAGTAGGGTATCGTACAAACGACTCTTTAAGGATACAAAGATCATGACAGCGTAAGACAACGTAAGTCCACGTCTTTGTTTTGTCGAACAGAGAAACATGCACGATCTACGCGGCGACATTCTGCTGTATGAAGTCCATGGCACCGCCGTGCCCCACGTCAATGAGAATCCGAAATCCATACATCCTCGCTTGGGGAATTGTGCCGACAGGGATGGAGGTCTCCATAGTGGTCACAGTCATCAGCCCTCCACACATGTACGGGTTTTGGCCATCCGCGGCCGCGCACCTGCACGGCAGGCGCAGCGTGCCTGTGATGCCCATGATCTGGAGGGTGGTGCGGTGCCGATCGGCAAGCCTGTGAGACACGTGCGAGTGAGAGGTGCGAGGCTTTAGCGGTCGTGGCGACTTACTCGATCGCGACTCCGCTCGCGCTCACCACGTCTGCTGCGATGTCTCGGAGGATCGACTCGGTGACCCCCATGTCCTCGCCTCGGACGATCGAGTAGCCGCCTTGGAAGCGGACCAGCGCACCTGTATTGCGGGTGTGAGCACTCGATGCGGAGACAGTGGATCGAGTCGGCTGTCGAGCCGCGAGTGACGCAGACACGCGAGCTGCAAGGGCTTCGTGGAGCAGTTTCGCAGTCTGGTACTGGCGGACGGGCGAGACGGGGGGCGCGTGTGACAAATAGATAAAACTTGGACGCAAAAGGGAGGCAATTGGGGCTTGAGGTACTGGAGGAGGCAAGGTTAATGGAGGACCGGGGGCTGCGCTCTGCGCGGGACCGGTGCTTGTGCTCTGCGAAGGACTGATAACTGCATCCTGCGAAGGTCCGAGGCTGGCACTCTGTATAGGACCACTACTTGCATTCTGTCGAGGACGGGGGCTTCGGTTTTGCGGAGGACTTTTGCTCGCGCCTGTTGGGAAACCAGTAGTTACACTCTGCGGAGAGGCGATGCTTGCGCCCTGCCGAGAACCAACGCCTTCGCCTTGTGAAGGATCGATGGTTGTGCTCTGTCCAAGGTTCATGTTCGCACTCTGTCGACGACCAATATCTCCGCTCTGTGAAGGCCCAGCGCTTACACCTTGTCGAGGGCTGGCACTTGTAGTTTGTGGTACAGCCGAGGAAAGTGGAGCAGGCGCTCGCCTGTCTGTGCTTTGGGCGATTGAGATCGTGCGCGGCAACGGACGTGGGATCACCGCGTGCTGAGATATGGATAGATCGACTTGCACTGGAGGCGCGCTGGCAGCGACAGTAGGCGGGGTTGGAAGTGAGGACGGAGCTTGATACGTGCCCTTGAGCCCATTTGAGGGTCGGTTAGCGCTATGCGACTGTAGATGCTCCGCCATATCCGCAGGGGCAGCTCGGCGACCTCGTATAGACAGCTCCCCTGCCGTCTCGTGGAGTGCAAGGACGGAAATGTCCGCCTGTTGCAGTAGTGGTACCCCTCCGGATCTGTAGTCGGGCGGTAGAGGCGGAACATTGATGTATGGGACCAATTTCTGCTTTGTGGCTGCAATGCCGGGGAGTCCTGTAGGAAGCGTGCGTGAAGAGATCGGCGGTGGAACGGACGACGCTACGCGGCCTCTACTCCCAGCTGTGCGGACGACGGACGAGCTTTCACGAGGCTGGCTGATTGTGCGTTTGGGAACATCGCTGTCACGCTGGGTGCTCTGCCCGCGGGGCTTTTTAGTCAGAATCGGGTCGAACGGCGAGTCAGGAAGCGAATGCTTCCTAGGTCGTCCACGTTTACGAGTGACGGGGGTCTCCGCGGAGGCACGAAGACCTGCTACCGATGCACTGGGTGTATTCGGACGAGAACGAGAATTTGCTACTGACGCACTGGGTGTGTTTGGACGAGATCGAAAGTTTGCTACGGATGCACCGGGTGTATTCGGACGAGATCGAGATGGAGTAGACCGTCTTCTGGAGGCATAGGTACGGGAGACATATAGTGTGGCGGGACGTGTATCTGCGAGTATTGGAGTAGATAATACTGAGGATGAACGGTGCGCCTGGGTTGTCGGTGGCGGGGAATCGAAATTCACGGCGACTAGAACTATCGTAGAGTTAGTTGAGGATCTATTGATAATGCGGTAAAACATACATGTTTCTTCACTAGCCGCTTGACGAGGTTTAATTTTCCGAGCAGATTCCTCCTCGCTCTCACCGACATCAACCTCGGGATCTACTGGCTGAGAACGCTGTGAGGACTGTGCGAAGACTTTGCGCGAGGTAGTAGGATCTCCGAGGCTGCGTTGGACTGGGTGACCATTGACATGATTGCGCACATAGTGTCCCGACGAGTTTCGCCCAGGCCCTGGTTGAATTCTTTTATCTGAAGGGCCTTTTGAAGTAGGTGCATGAAACTGGGCCATGTCTGTAATCCGACCAGAGACAATCGTTAGCTGCGCGATGGAAAGTCAATGCGCGAAAGTGACTACCAGGAGCCGAAGCCTCACTGATGACCTGGGTGTAGACGGCAGAAAGGACGAGGGGTAGGGACGACGATGGAAGAGATTATCTGCGGCTCCGGCCAGCGACTCGACGCGTTCAGAGTTCTTTCTCTCACCAAGATGCGCGTCGGGTCACGAGCGCGCGTTGTACACTTAGCGCTCAACTGGGATCCCTCACTGAGTCACTCTTGTCTCGTCTTTCTCTCATGTTCAAATTTAATTTCGATATCGCCGACTGCGACGAATATCCCAATTCGGATCCTCTGGACGCACCTGTGAGCACAACACCTGATTCACACAGTGCACCTTCAGGGCCGGCTAGCCTGAATAAACCCGAGGCCAACTGCGTGGAACACGATCTTACAAGTCTTGTAAGTTATTCCAATTAGAATAAACTAGCAAAAAAAATCTCAATCGCTCAAGTCGAATATTAGCTGCACACTCTTCCATCTGTCATTTCATTCTCTCCCCTCGTGATTCCGCTTCCGTCTGGCAATACAAGCGACGTCGTCAAGCTTGCCCGAAGAGACCTTTTTGATGCGCGTTTCCAGCTGATATCACAAGACGATGTCAATAAAGGCTGCACTTCGCGTGGCACGGAGTTGAGCGCGGCAGAGAAGGATCTCGAGTTCATAGATACTCCCTCAGATCTAGTTCCAGGGGTTTACGAAGGCGGTTTGAAAACTTGGGATTGTGCACTCGACCTTGTTGATCATCTTCACGATGCATTCGGAGATGCCACTGAATGGTGCTTGGAAGGCAAACACATCTTGGAGGTACATACCAGTATGTTCGAGACGACTCTATTCACCAACTCATCCACTATTTAGCTTGGTTGTGGAACTGCCGTCCCATCATTGTATATTGTACATCGACTGTTCTCAGGCAGCCCACCTTCGATAGATGCTGATGAGATTCTTGTGCATCTCCAAGATTTCAACACACTCGTCCTTCAGCTCGTGACGCTACCAAACATCATTCTCGCATGGTGTAAGTATCTAAGTTCCCCGAAGTGAGATGAGAACTGCGCCGAAGAAGCACTCACCTACTGCTTGATGCACAGATATGTCTCCCGCCTCGCTGCCTTTCCGCGCCACCCCTACAACAGAGGAGCTCCCCCCTGCGGAACCAACGGAGCCTGGTACCCTGCCCCTCACACCATCTCTCATATTGGCGTTCCTCGAGTCGCTCAAGACATATCATCTGCAACTCAAGTTCTTTTCTGGTTCCTGGGAGTGCTTTGATGTCGGCGCAACGCGTGGCGGATATGACATTATCTTGACATCTGAGACGATATATCGCCTAGATAGTCTGCCGGCACTCATACGCGTAATGCGACAGGCATGCTTGGAATGCCATCCACCGTCTCACCTGGACTTCGGCGAAGAGACATCTGGAACACATGACTTGGAGAAATCCACCTCGGGGCTATCGCTAGAGCCTACTTCAGAAAGTGGTCCTCCATATGTGTGTCTTGTTGCTGCGAAACGCGTATATTTCGGCGTTGGTGGGGGTGTCGCTGAGTTCGTACAGGCCGTAGACTTAGCGGGTGGAAAAGTGACAATGGTGTGGGAGCGACTGGAGGGCGTGAAGAGAGTAGTGATGAAAATAATTTGGGTTTAAAATACGCCGTAAGTCGTAGATGCGGAAGTATTTCATGATGCTGTGAGCTCAAATCTTGTGTATTGCAAAATGATACCTTCATTAGAGTAGAAGACGCAAGTGGGAATGCCATATGTTCTCAGCAGTATGTCTAAATGACATTTAGCCGTAAATAGCTTTTACACATCCTAATTTTAACCTTACATACCCAAAACTTATAGTGCAGGATTCAAATAGTTACTATGCGAATGTTGATTGTAGATAGTGCCTGATAATGAGAGGAATCATAGAGAGAGGGATCATAGACAATTCTCATATCGCTAGAGGATCATATGTGGTACTCAGTTATTCTGCTGACTTATGCTTCCATTCTTCTTGCAAGAGAGAGCAATGCGCGAAGCCCTCCAGTAAAGGTCGAATTACGATCGTCTTGGCCCTCGCCACCGCTGCTCCTAGAATGCATGTAAGTTCGTAATTACGCCTCTGGTACATCTACTATATGAGACCTTTCCAGCGAGACGATTTCGATTGAAGAGCCGAATGCCTATACAATCAAAGTGGTGTCGAGGGTTGGGCAATCGACGGCGATGCGGGTTAGAAGGGTATCCGTGATGAACCAGCCTAGACTGAGGCTGTCGGAGGCCATAGAATAACCCGTAATGCCGACATTGTACATGCACGGGAGATCGGGAGATTTGCATGTCGATCCTAGAATGATATGGATCGCTGAAGCACGATCCACCACAGTGTTATTATGCCGCCAGGGACGGATCACCAATCATTCGAAGACAAGCGCACAGAATCATCAATGCATATGCATGCGCCTGCGTCTTGCACGAGTCGCGTATCAAGACGTAAAGATCAGAGGCAACCGAATATACATGCCCGAACTTGTGGCCTTTGCTCAAGAGGGAAAAGATTGGTCGTCAAAATTGTGATGACCATTGGAGGACACATACATGATAAGAACATCGGATTAACCAGAAAGAGGAATCACAAACTCAACGGTCCGCAAATAGGTGATAGATAGATACTGATGAATCATCGTTTGAGGGAGATGAAAAGGCGTAACGAGACGAGACGAGATTAGATGGGACGAGAGGCTATGTACATATACGAAAGTCCAAGTCCAGACTGGAAATATAGATGTCAGGGAAAAGAAAAGGCCGAAGGAGTGACCTCAAGCTCACCATCCGATGAACCGTCCGTATCATGGAGGGCATTTCGCAAGCCGACAATCCCTCACATGGTCCGCACAACCTCATAAAGCAGCTCGTATTCTGCAGCACTGTCAGTCCACAGCAAAGCCACACGCCGAGTCGCAGCAAGCAACTGAGGCAGTCCGTCGAGGAGAGCTGTTGCGAAATCACCCATCCAAGCTATTCGTCTTCCGCGAGGATAGCTTGGCGGACACAGAGACAAAGTCACAACAAGATTCGGGCGATGAGATGCGATTTGGGATAAGAGCAGATCTATGATGGACCAATCGCGTTTGGCGTCGTCGAGCTGTGAGGGACAAATCCACAATTGAAGGTTACGAAGCTTGGTGTGTTGTGGGCCAATATCGGACAGGACCTGCTGTAACCCGGACCAACATTGGCACCAAAAGTTGTCCTCGTGGTCCAGAGGCGCGTCAATCCGCAGCGTCTCAAGACCAGTGTTCGACTTGAGATTGGGGGAATCGAGCCCTGGATATGAAGGAGAGACGGGACGGAAGCCGTTGAAGATCGATAGCGTAAGATCGTGGACAGAATCTCCTGCTTGCGAGAGAAGCGCATTCACGAGGAGGGTGTATTCAGGGGAGAAGGTACGACTTGAAATTGAAAGTGTTTGTGGGCGACACGCACGGGAGAGAAGCCAGGAGAGGACTCCGGCGCATCCAAATATCGGGTGAAATGCAAAGTCTTCGAGCCGCAAAGCATCCGGAACCCACACGGGGGTTGGTCGGCTGCGCCCGGAACTGAAGACATTCGAGAGCGATCTCTCCATCGTGTACCATGACACCAACGGCCATCTAACAAGAGCAAGGGATCTAGCGATTCCTGTGAATGTGACGGTAGACCTGGTGGTATGCATGTGAAGGACGGAAAGCCTCGAACACGCGGAGAGGAATAGCTGGAGCTCGCTATCCACATAGGGTACATTCGATAGATGAAGTGCCTTGATGGACAGAACAGGAGTGCGGCTGCGGAGTCCGCACCACAACTTATTCGTCAAGTGGAAGTTCATTCCCGTGAGATGAACTTCTTCGACACGAGGCAACCGGAGCAACAGCTCAACCCACCCGCACTCCAGCCGCGTATCAGTCTTTACGGAAGCCCACTTCTGGGACAAATCAAGTTTGCGAACGTAGTGTGCAACGGCTGGGGACGCCTTCAGTAGGGCCCGAAAACGGCTGTAACTCTTATCTCCCTTCAAACGCACGACGCGGAAGAGTTGAGTGCGAGCAATCGGCAGCCACGCTCTGCAAGTAAGACCACAGGCCGCTAGAGCAGGAGGATCGTCCCAGAGATACGCCAAAATCTCGTCGGACATTTCGGTAGGAAGTTTTGGCGTTGCATCGATGCTCCTCACAGAATTCCCACCAGTTATAGGGCGTAAAAACTGTAGAAGACTGAGTAGAGATCAAACAAGCAGTTTACATATAAGAAAAGAAGTACGTTACCGTCGCGGGGACTTCGCTTTCACACTGGACGGGCTGTCCATGACTCGAAAGGTTGTTTGCAGGCTCTGCTTGTGCCTCTCGATATATACGTACACATAGGCGCTGAAACGTTTTTATTCGGTAGACGCAATGATAAGAACGGCCGGCTCTCTATTGCCGCAGTAAGAGACTTCGAAGGGAAGTCTTACTGACAGTCCCAACTGCGCGTCGTGCAAGGGACTTCGCGGCTACCAGAGGACCTCTGTTGCCGAGACTGCCAACTCCAATGAGCCGTTCGCCTACTCGTGCTCAGTACCAACGAAACGAAGTAGTAGTATACATCCTACCTGAAGGACACTAGTGTTGTCACAATTCAACCGCAACTGGAATAGCGCGCTCGCGCCGCCACCGGTTCTGCTCCCAAAGACCATCTACAAGTACGCGCCAAGCGACAGCATGCCTTCTGTTAATGAGTGCTGTGTTGTGGGACATAAATCGGTGCCATAAATGGCGGGATTAGATGAAGTAAGAAGTTCGGCCATTTCTTCACTGCAACCGGTAAAATCGACCTGATCTAGCATGCTAGCATGACACGAGTGAGCCTGGAATCAACGATAAACGTAGCCCACACTGAAGGGAATGTGCCCACTCTGACATGAGCAAGAAAACCACTTTGGTGTGAGCTGATTCGATTGGTCGACGAAAGCAACAAGCTCAGACCCGTATCAGTCAAGCAAAGCAAACATTCCAGAGTTAAGCAATATCGACATCGCTTGCGTAGAACTAACGTCAATGAGTGTTATATTCAGGCAAAGTGTCAATCAAGCACAAGCAGCATTCGTCTTCGACATGTCTAGAGATGAGACCAAGAGAACGGTGGGGTCTATGTTTCCCTCAGTCATAGCAGTTTTAGCTAGTGTGTGACAGGAAGTACAGAGTGCAGTAAATTGCACATTCGAAAGCGGTTGCTGTTGCGTCTGCGAAAGGGAGCGAGCGGCATTTAGGCGGCACGGAAGAAGAGGAAGAGACGCGCGAATGTTCTTGGACCGCGTTCGGATGGGCCTGGCTCTTGGCGAGATTCTGGTCGTTCAATGACCCCCCACACCGACGGCTTTTCTCCCTCGAAATCGCAAATACTCTCGATTATCTAAAATCCAAGCTGTATGCACTTTACTTCAGCTCAGTCTTCATTTAAGTACAAGCTATCGACGTGTTACGTCTTGCCAGCACAAATAGCGTGTCAGCTCATAGGCCATCGTGCGTCGGGAACATATTTGCGACAGGGAAAGACATTGAACAACACTTGATCCTCGCTCGATGACAGGTTGATCCATGTTAGTGCCTGCCGTAAATGTATCACATCTTGTTTCTCCCCATAGTGCTCACGTACAATACCACAGAACGTCCTGGCGAGTGAAACTATAACAATATTCAAAGAGAGCGCCTGTACACTACTTTCTCCACTAGCGTACTCTCCTCCAGCATATACCACGAACGAAGCGAGGAACACGATCAGTCTAAATACCATTTATATGCCTCGCGCCACGCCGCGTTTCCGTCCTTTTCAATAACATCCTGGAGCATTAGGCAACAGGACAAGTCGCCGAGCTGTGAGCAGGAGAGCACAGGATATCAAACCAACGAGTGACTTACGCCGTGACAAGGGATAATACGCTCAAAGTCCCATCCTGCGACGGTTCGGACGTCCCGCTTCATGGCTCTGGGCATGCAAAGTGAGGATCTCCTGGATTTAGAATTTTTGAACGCGTGGCTTACTCCTTATCCTCGCCCAGCGACCAGGTGAACCGTTTGTGGAACCAGGAATACGGATTCAAAGTACTGGAGAACGGCCATTTGCCCGAGGAATCAGTGTTGGAATACTAGGTCGAGTAAGCAGAGCAAGTGAGTATATCCCCGCCGTACAGTGCGATAGACTGACCTGTTCGGTTGGAGGAAGATTGAATAACAAATCTGCTTCAATTAGGCTTTTTGAATTGGGATGATAGAATGCGACGTCTTTGTTCTTGAAACCGGAAAAGAAGCTGGCGGCCGAGAATATCAGGCTGGGCATACCCTACATAGAACACTGCAAAATTACCAGTGTTTGATCTAGCCCTCAAAGGCAGCTACGTTGGCGATTATTAAAAAAGGTGAAAGGACTGTTGTCGCTTACATCATCTTCAAATCCATACTTCGTGTCTAATGGGTCTGCTCCCCATGCTATGTAAAACAAGGTCCGTTATAAAACGCCCTTGGTGGCAGCTGTCTCCAACTTACCTCCGTGAAATACCAAGTCCTCTTTAGCCTTTTTATCCATGGCTTCCTTCACAACGATCAACTTTGCGTCCGGGTACTGCTTTTTGAATGCACCTAGAATTCGTTGAATTCGTGGAAGACTTATTTCACCGTGTCTGCAATGATCCTCACCAAGATGCAAATGATGTACTGCGTCCGCGCCAATAATCCATCTGTACGCCCGCAAGATAAGCTGAGTTCAGCACCGACGGCCACGAATTCCTCACTTGACAGGACCAATTTCTTGGAGTTTCTGTTTGGTTTCATCCGTCAAAGGGGTAGATGCCATTATCCAAACGTCTCCATTGCGTAGCTTGATAGCAGTCGATCGTCCTCCCACAGGAAACAGCCCGAAGCGGGAGAATGGGCTACCTCCAATTCAGCTCCGTACTATGAGTAAGTGGCTAGGAGTCCTCACCAAGAGAACGTCCATACGTCCTTCGCGACCTAGATACCAACGAAGGTGAATCAGCTTTGGTTCAACCAATGAAACAGCATGCACTGACTTCACGAATAACACATTTTCCGGCTGAACTCGCAGTGCTCATCGTGTTCAATGTACTCAGAACGAGTGAGATGTCGGCGGTAGGGCAGCCTAGTACTTAAGTACAGTCGACAAGCGCGTGTGGCTGGGAGCGATGACGACACGCGACCCATTTGCACGTGAGACGGGCAGCCACAACCGCGGCTTTCTTCTCGACGCTCGTGTTCGAATTGTGTTCAGAGCCAACTCCGGATTCATCTCGCTGGCTCTGGCCATATCTTCAAATGGTCTAGCTTGTGGATCGTCGTCCTGAGGTTTGTACGCGATCATCGACGCATACAATCCATCGAGCCACTACTAATCATACCTGTAACTCCACTACGAGACGATCATCGCCCTGGCTGTTTTGATTTTGACTGCTACTGACTCTATATGCATATTTCCGCTCAGACTGCTCCACTCTCCGACCGCTATTCGATCAGTGGCTCCTGTCTTTACCTCAGGTCTTAACTCCAGGGCTACCTTGTTAGCCTCAATCGCAGCGCATTCTTCTCGCCATCAATACAACATCTTCAACGTCCTTCCCCGCTCTCTAACGCTCTCTTACTCATCCTTGCTCTCAAACACGACCACAACCGATGTCCGTCCTCGCCACAACGACGCCCAAGCAAGTCCTCTCTACCATCCACAATATCCCCAAGCGCATGAAGAGCGCAAATACCAGCGACTCTAACCATCGTCGTGGCAAGGAAAACATTCCACCAGGCGAGAAACCCTCCATGTCGTCCGCTCATCTCCCGTCGAGCCCGTCCTGTCCCGCTCCCATAGTCCGGCCGAACTGGCAAGCCAAAGACGGCATGATTATCATCAAAGTCTCCGTACCCTTTCTTGACGACCTCTGGAAATTCAAGGTTCCCGAAGACGTTACGCTAGAGACGTTCCTTCTGCGCGTCGAAGAGAAGGTTGGGTTCCCTCTCACCCTGTCGAAGAAGTCCGGCCAGCATCGCGAACGCCCTGTTTCCACCGAGGCTGCGTTCGTGTCTTGGGTCAGTGCGCGGATTGATCCCAAGACCGGAAGGAACACGCCCCTCGTTGCCCACGTTCGCCTCTGAACGTCCGCAGGGATGTGCTCGAGCTGTAGTGACGTTTGTCTCATCCATCTACGATCTATAAACTGCATCTATTGGTCCTGGTTGCGTCGAGTGTGTTCCGGATCTTGTCCTCCACTGTATCTCCTCTCTCGCCTCTCGGATTCTGCTATTAGGGACATGATCACCTGTCCAAGTTAGCTCTACTCCATACGTACCGCGAAATTCACCCCATGTCTAACTTCTATAGCCGTTGCGCATCTTTCGATGAATTTGACTCTCCTGCTTTCATGAATGTGCCAGTCATGGATGCAACTTTGGAAGAAAATTATTCATAGTCTATAAATATATATAACGGTCTTTCGCAAGACTCAAAAGCACGGCCAAGGTACAATAGTCGAATGTAGGGCCACTTAGAAATCTGATCCTTCCACTTTGAAAGCCTTACCGTAGCTGAGATAACCCTCCATGACCTTTGCCAGCGTTTCCGGTAACCCCATGCTGAGAAGTGTATAGGAAATTTTAGCGTGACCGTGGATCTGCCCTAGCTTGAATAAGCAGCGGGCAATTTGGGTTGGGTACTGCGCAGTGAATGTGAGCAATATTCATATGTATAAGCATTAGAACATACTGCCATCTCCGTATACTCTGCATACTGATACGCCGCAACGCGGATTGCGACCTGCAGAGTCCTCTGGATGTCTCCCTCATCCGCGTACATGTCAAGCAACTTCGACCACGGCTTGTATGAATATCGCGGAGAGTCAAGACAGCGCGAGTACGCCTCTTTCGCCTCCTCCTTGTGGTGCAATCTGCCACCAAGATCGCCAAGAATTTCCCACTCCATCGCTGTCTTCCGGTACGCAACATGCTGTGTCTTGAAGTGAGCGACCTCCGCACGGAAGATAGTCCACACACGCAGATCCTAAAATGCCGGCGTTGAGAAAATGGTACACATCACCAAACAAGGTCTCACCTCGTAGAGAACCATGAACAGGTTGTCCAGCCAGCGTTCACATAGCCGCTTGTTGCTGAACGAGAACGGCTCCTGATTCGTATTTGATGCATCGTTGTCTTGCTGTCCGTCTGCTCCAGCAGCCGCCTGCATTGGCTTCTCCAGCGCACTCTCAGCAACTTGGACGACCCCATTCTCTTTTGCGTCCCCGTTTCCATTCACGGCAGCATCCGCTGCTTCAGCTACCCTCATCTCTTCAGCGAGCAGCGCGGCGACATTTTCCCTCTCCGTATCGCTCTCTGTCGAGATCCGGATTATTGGCAAGCCGTTCGCAACGCCTAGCGTCTCTTGGTCTGTCTCACTAGTGGAAGGGTTTTGGGAGTGCGCAGGCGAGACGACTCCACGCGTCGACGCATCATCGTCGATGGGGGACTCACTATTTGACACGAGCGTTGCGGCATCTGAGATCATTGACGACCCACGCTTGGGCACCACACCATTCTCACTCGAATGCTGTGGGAATGTAGCGCTTGCCGCGGTGGAGGGCTGTGTGCGAATGTCGTTATGTGATTTCTGCATACGATACTCTTCCTCCATCACGAACACGGCACTCCGCGTCTTGAGCAATTCGTCCCATCCAATTTGCGAGACTAGACGTGTCAGAAGGGCATAGGCGCGTGCCCATGTACCACGCAGGCCCGGGGCAGGCAATCTGAGGAGAGCGGGATCAGCCTGTTGGGACCGTCAGTAGGGCCATTCCGCCAGAAACGTTGAAGTTCTCACATCGTCGTCTTCGGTTTTTATCCGCTCAGGGAGGACATCCACAACGCTGGATTTGACTGGTAGGTGCACTCGAGCAGCAGTTAGGTTTCTGTGCGCGTCTCGGCCATTATAGGTGAACATTGGACATGAGTTGAGTGTCAACAGAGCCTAATTTAGTACGTTAATGCCTTGATGGATGACACAGCGCATGAAAGCTTACCGACTCGAACTGACGCAAATCCATGTAAAGTTCTGTAAGCTTCTCCCAAGTGACAAACTCGCTTGGTGCACAATTGACTGCCTGTCGTGCGAGTTTAAGCGCCCATTCATAGTTACCTTTCGACCTGAGGAAATCACACTGGGCGTGCAGTAAAGTGTATGACTGGGGTGTCTGCCTAATCGCTGCAGACATAATCTGCATAGCCTTCACCTCTTCGTCTTCAAGGACCACATGAATACGGAACATTACCACTGAGTCGCACCTAGTCACTCACTCATGCCAATGTAACTTCGTGCAAGTAACGACGAAATCTCCGGTTCCTTTGCACTCATTTTCTCGAACAGATTGGCTGCATACTGGTATCGTCCGCTGTCCCCGAAATACTTCATGATTGCCGACGTCAAATGGTTCGAGACAACTGTTGCAACCTGAATCTCTGGCTCAGAACCAACCTGCCAGCCTGACTAGTCTTCAGGATGATTCTGCTGCAACGCCTAAACCTAGCCTACCTTTTTCAAAGAGAGCTTCCGCTGCTTGTAGGAAACGGAGCTCCCCGTCTGGATTTGTAATGGGATCAAGTTTGCGATAGGCATCGAGCCAATAGGCTGAATCATCTGAATATAGAACGGAACGAAGGATGGCAGAGAGGTAAGTTTCTTGCCACATTTCTTGGGATGCTGTTTGTGTGAGTTCGTGCCTACATATACCAGGAACAATGTGTCAGTGTACAGCCCCACTCAGGAGATGTTGATGGATAGCAAATCGGAGAGATGTTGGGGCAACATATGGATTTGGTCAGAAATGAACCCGCGCACCTCTCTCCGCGCAAGTCGACGATATACGCATTCACACCACCAGGGATCTTCACATCCACACGCACATCCACACGCGAGAACGCGTTAAAGCAGCTGCGCAAGTCTGTTGGGTCGGCTACAAAGATGCATGCAGTGGAGCATGACGTACCAGTAGCACCCGTTCCGCACTTTCCACGTCGTGCCCTTTGAAAACCACCCCGAGTCATCCTCAATGGCATATGTTAACGAATTTATGTAGGCGGCGAGAGATGCAGAAGACGAGGCGTCCACTCCGGAGACGTAGTGATACGAGCCGAGCTAATACACGAATTAGCTGTGGGTCGCGACTTACGCCAACCGGTTGGACTTACGTCGCGTTGACCATTGCGCCCTGTACTTTTGACAACATGGCAAAGGTCTGGGGGCCCCAATTCACGCCATGTAGCTGTATGGAAGTCAATAATATGCGGAAGTAGTGGATGCAATAGACAAACATAGAACCTCGGTGCGCGCGTTTAGTGACTCTCCGAGTTCAACCTGCAGAGAAATTTAAGTCGCACGAATGGCGACGAAGGCTCGGGTATTACCTCAAAGATCTCTGGCACGTCCTTGAAGGCCGCATCAGCCATCGTCGTGCAAGCTGAATGTCGGGGATGGTCACCGCAGCCTCAGACGTCGGCCAGCGATTGTTTGTTTGTTCGCGCCACAGCGCCTTATTAGTTTAAACTTCCCGCTCAGACGGTCTCATGCTACTGCCACAGCCTCAGACAATACCTGTAATCTTGTTCTCTCGTAACGAGTCGAATGCTTTTCTCACATTAAAGACCGCCGCCTCAAGAAAATCATGATCTCTTTGATACACAATCTGTGAGACTTCAAGCCTTTTGTATACTATATTGCCTTGCGTTTCAGCCTGAACCTAGCATCCATCCAGTGCGTCGTAAATCCTACTATGAAGCCTGTGTAGTAAATCTACTAAATCCTACCATGAATTCTGGATTACGAATCATGTTCTGCCCATTGACATTTACAAACGCATATTGAGAGTGGTTTGCTTCGTCAATCTAACAGGGTGATCGCGCCACTAATTTCGTACTCAAGGGTCGAAGGCACCCTATATCGCTTGTTTGTTGGCTGCCACCCGGTGACTTGGCTGTAACAGACCATGTTGACAATGGCGCGTCGCATATATGCATATGAGCGTATCTCTTGAGTGAGCAGTTCCAATATCTGCAAGTACCTCAGGCGGTGAGCTCGCTCACTGGTCCGGCAAACATATTTGAATGGGTTTGAAATTGGACCCTTTATTAAACCACTTTTTTGTGGGGCTCTCTCTCTGATGCAATTGGTTCAGGTGCCAGTAAGTGTTCGAATTCCCCTAAAAGCTGTTTGCCCTTCCATGCGATTTTACGTTAGAGAAGCTGCTTTCTGTCTCGCTAGGAATGGAAAAATCTCAGGATATGTCGTGTATCGCCAAAACATTACATGTACTCAAAATTCTATCCATTCCATTGTCTGGTACAGGTCACTCATTCGCATTAATTTTTCTTGCATCTAGCGACGTGCTAATTACGGTCCTAGAAGCTTGGCCTGTCAGCATTTTGCTAAAGTGTACCCACGGAGTTCCTATTGACTGTACCACTTCCCGAGCTAGTGAATAATGAAGGCCAGCTAGGGATTCCCCTAGTGGACAAAGTCAACAGGCATTCGGCCATCCTTATTATACAGCAAAACCAAACTACAACATATACAATTCTGTAAGCTCCACCATCCTCTTCAACATCACCGCGTGAGCATTTACTTCGTCATAAATTGAGGTCGTAACTCGTGAGCACTCAAGCCTTTTCGAGGCTCTCAGCGTCCTCCGCATAAACACTCTCATCTTCCTCGCCAACGTCGCCCTCCCAGCCTTGCTCAGCAAGGTAGCGGAGCCACCTCTCGTCTTCCTCTGCAAGGTCCTGGCCCGTCATGTCAGGCACAAAGAAGTATGTTACTAGCACGCCAACGACACCGCATATCGCGGCGATAATGAAGGTCCACCTGTTTTTTCAACACTGTCAGTACAAGGCCGCCGGCGCGCACAGCGAGGACTAAACGCACTTCTTTCCGAGGTTATTTTGAATTGGAGTGAAGGCTTGCGTGCCGATTGCAGCACCTGTTTTTCCAATGGCAGCTGAGAGGCCGTAGAAGGTACCTCTAGAAAAGGGAAGGTAAGTATGAAGATACTCAAGAGCACCAGAATCACGTACCTGAGTGCTGTTGGGTATGATCTACGCGGGAAGTGCACGTCAGATGAGATGAAGAGATAGTCCTTTCAATAGATACGCACTCGGCACTAACGAGTCCCAGCATATCACCCGGTCCCTGGGACAATACAAGTTAATACCACAATTATTGCATCAGAATTGGAGACGCACTAAGTTACCCATGGACTGCATGAGACCATAGCTATATACAAACATACAATCAGATACCCATAGATATTTATGACAGTCAAACATAATACTCACAAGATGACGAATAGCGGGATAATGTTGGTGATCCTGTCATATGCGCATCCAATAATCAAGCCTGATTACAAGGAATTCAGAATGATGTTACAAGAGTATAGACAAAGTGGTATTCTCCATACCGAAAACAAGATAGCCGCTGAAGCCGAGGCACATCTAGAGTCATCAAACAAGTGAGGATGTGAGTGTCACTAGGGAGATCTAGGGAGATCAGGGCATACGCACGGTATTGCGCCTTCCCAAGGGGTTGCACAACCAGGCACCTACGATGACACCTACACGAGCGCGCACATCAGTACTGGTTGCAAAATAAATCCGATTTGCTTTTCATGCTTACCCGGTAAGGCGATGGCACCTAAGAGCAGCTGCCACTCCGCGGTAGCCTTAATACTTCCATCCTTGATGACACTGGAGATGATCGAACCCGAAAAGACACCATTCGGGAAGGAGACAAAGTCATAGAGGAACCTGGCAACGGGAGCTAGTGAGTGGGATTCATAATGGCACAGCGCCAACGTACCACGCTCCGCAAGTACCGATGAGGGACTTCCAGTACCGCTTGAGACCGAGCCAATATGGGACACGTCCTAAACAGAGACAGTTACAATAATGTACAGATAGCGGACGGATGTCACTCACGCTTAATGGCAGAGTCCCGGTATCTGTAGAGAAGAGCGTCAGAGCTATGCAGCATCAAATAGAGGGTTGTATGCACGCACAGCTTGGGGCTCAGCATACGCATCCGGAAGTAAAATACGGTTAGTGGCAGAAGAATACCGATGCCAAAGCAGACACGCCAGACAGTATTGAGGTGATTTTCACCCGCCGCTGACAAGACGATCAGGAAGACAGCAACAGCTAGAGGGCCACCAAACTGCAGATTTTTGGTATTAAATTGGAGCTTTAAAGATAGAGTAGAAAAGGACGCACGCTGAGGACAAAGTTGGTAACCATAATGAAAACTGGCAAGATAATTGGGTCAAACGTAGCAAATTATATGCACATCAAAATCACGTACCTGGGCCTCGACTGGACAGAGTCTTTTCGTTTGCAGCTTCACTCGCACTAGTTGAGGATGCAGGATACTCCCCTCCGGTGCCCTGAAGAACGGTTCAGGATCGGGGTCGAGCTCACAGCTGAGCAGACATTACAAACTTACCACACCAGTAATACCTCGTGAAATAGTAAGGAACCAGAAGAGGCCCTGTGGGCTATTATGCGCGCCATGAGCTGCAGTGGATAGGATAGCGCCGATAACGATAAGGAGGGTCGTAAGGACTAGGGCAGCTTTCCGTCCAATTCGGTCGCATACGAGTCCTACCACGACCTGGCCGAGGACCTCGCCTGAGAATGATGAGTGATATCCCAATCGACTAGTCAGGGTCCAGTACTGACCAACTAGAAGCGCGTTCGATACGCGGGTGGACACTGTCGAAGTGTATTCCTTCGGGTACAGCGCCTTGAAGACGACCTAGCATGCAGACAGTAAGCTTAGAGCTTGATCCATGACTGCGCGAGAGGCTGGTCTCACGTTTGCCATCGTCATAAGGTTATTTTGGTCTACACGTTCGTCATGAGTGAATATATGCGCGTCGTAGTATAGGACCTCGAATGCTTACACCCATCTGAGATCAATCCGAAGGCGGCAGCAGCGATCGTCATATATGCGCTGAGCTTCGCCTTCTTGCTCAAGGTCAGAGTCTTCTTCAGCGCCGGGGCCTGCTGAGAGTCAGATGCAGACGCAGCATCCTTCTCGTCGTCGCTGACTGCCTGGACGCTGACTTCCGGGCTGAGTGCTTTCTCGCGCATTATCGCGGACATAGTGGTCTGGAGGGCGAGGATGCTGGAAGCACAAGACAGCGAAGACAAGCAATTTTGGAGCTACTTAAGCAGGCTGGAAGCCCCGCCCGCTCCAGGAACACAGAACAGCATGGTGGTAGAACACATATTTGATCGACGTACACACGTGCGTGGTCATTACGCTTGGTTGGCGCGCTCATCCTCGCGGTCCTGCCATTCTCGGCTGTCGGAGTACGAACGTTGCGCAAAACAGCTAGGAACGGGTCTGCTTCCTCACCGCCAGATCCAAATCGACGACGGCCCGCTATGCATGTCGCGCGTACCTGTATTGCACTGTAACTTTGGACCAGTATAATAGTCCGCGAAGTGATCGAGAGCGAAGTAAATTGTCATATGTGCGAAGCAGAATGAACGTTCGAGGGCATCTATCATAATAGCAGCAACAGCCCGGCAATACATGCTCCCCGGCGGTAATACGTGCGTCGCAGAGCTCACTTATACCGAATCCAATCGTCGCCAAGCGGGGACCTGACCTCCAATATGATATTGGAGGCCGAACATGAATGTCGGGCACAATGGCCTGAGTCGATTGCTTCAAGCTCTGCGCGGACGTACGCACAATTTCAGTCTACTTACAGCTTTTGACTCTGACGGAGTGTCCAAGGCAGAGACGACTTATCTTCGAATTCAAGATCATCAAATACGCGTCACGGCGAATCTAATATTCTCCATAAACACTCTAGAGCAACGTATCACACACGTGCGATGCAAAAGAGGGTTCATGATTGCTTTTAAAAGCTTTAAAAGATAGGTGCTTCAGGCTTATCTGGGTTTCATCGCAGTTTGTACTGGGAAGAGCCGCGTGTCATCATCTACTATATCCTCCGAGAAGTCTCCAAGGACTCCAAATACGGCGCGCTGCGCTGCCAAACGCACTCGTCCAATTGTAAGACTTACGGATGTAATGTGACCTGCCCATCTTGTACTACATCCGATAACAAAAAATCCCTCGTCTTATATCTTACTCGCAGCAATGAAGCTTCGTACTTACTGAGGCTTGCAATCGTAGGGAATGGAAACGACGAACGATTTGAGGTGTCTGCAATTACGCAGCGGCTCCAGGATTAGAATCCGGTGGAAAGCTAGTATGTTGCGACGAAGTGCGTGTGAATGAAAGCAGTTGTCTTGATGAAAGGGGCTACTCAATGCTGCGTGTGTTGTCCGGCAATTCCCTGAACATATGTCGATCTCGATCATCACAGCGACTTGAAGCTACTGCTTGTCGAAGTTGTCGCTCCAAGGACCACTGATCAATATGACATTATATACCTGGACGTATTCAGAGGAGGCGTGGTGAATTGTCAACCGTCCGAAAAGAACTCTCCACCTGAAAGGTTCAAACGACCCAGAATCACGCACTAACACTGAACATGCGCAGCGCACGTTCGTGGCGGCTGAGTACTGAGTATCGAATGTTTTTGAGAATTGCGTTTCACTGTGTTCCTCGCGCGTTCCTGAGACAAAATGGAGCTGGACGATTTATTTCAGCTTAGGACCCGGGGTTGAGGCAATGATGACTTAGCCTTGACTTAGCCATATCGTGGGGGTTCATTCAGATTGAGCCGCTTCTGCCAGTAGGCTACTGGATGTTTCGTTCTCTTCTGGTTAGTCTATGTCTGGGTACCAAGGATTTGTGCCGCTTCTTGACCGCGCGTAGTACGACTCTTCAATTTAAATCAGACCGTATGCACTCTGGACGATGATCGGTTTGTGGTCTAGGCAAGGCAGCATACGAAGCCACCTTTCGAACGAAGGCTTAGCCGAGCAGCCACTGTCGACGGGTGCAGATTATATCGATATCACTTACTGAAGACACGTAAAGATACTAAAGTACGATATGCCAATGCAAACACCAGAGCTTATTCAAAGTCACTGTGTAGAAGAAGGGTGACTGAAAGGACGCAACGTAAATAATTGCTGATCGACTTATATTCGCTATCACTCACTGTAAGCCCATAGGTTTGAGGGAGCTCAGCAACATGGACTCGGAGGAACGATTGCGGTAACTGGTAAGGTTTGCCAACACGCCCAGGCAACTTCCGCACTGCGACTGTTCTTGGAAATCCCCGACTCACCAAGCATGCTGTCAGACTGAATGAAAAAGTAAAACAAGAGGACACGGAAGAAGGTAGATAAAGAGTAATAAATGTAAACCTCTCCCTAATCACGGCAACAATTATCATATAACAACCAGATCTGTCCAACATACACATCTATGTAGATCTAACATGTACAAAACGACGCGCGCCGCACAAATGAATCAACGCTGCAACCCTACTTCTGAATCAGCATGCAAGGGAATATAGGTACAATAATGGTACATATGAAATGATACATTACTGAATATACACCTGAATTGAGATTTATCAGCTACTGTGCTAAACACTAAGCGTTGAACGCCGTAACAATCTCATGAAAGGCCATTGCTCATGACAGATCGTGATGGCTCGGGAAGCCAAAAGTGTCAGGTCGAGAGCCACAAGGCTGAGGTGAGGGTATATTTCGACCCGGCATGATGAGGGGTAAGGACAATGTGAGGGCGGACGAAACGAAGAAAATGCTGTGTGTGAAGGGCAGTGGGAAAACATCCAAGGGCAAATGGTGACGAGGAATGTGAGCCGTCTACGTAGACAAACGGGTCGACCAAAGAAATGCGAGCCTTCTGCGAATAGACCGAAATGGCCTCAAGGCGCTGGACATGATTGTCGGACGAGTATTGCGTGTGCACCGCCTGAACATCATGATACAGTTTGACGAGTTGTTGTGCATCTTGATCACTTGATCCGCGGGATGACTTCAGACGAAGGGCCAGAGCTGTCTCCCGGAAGGTACTTAGAGTAGCTTTGATGCCCGAAGGTGTTCACGAACAACCATATCTCGTACTAAAAATATATACTCCATCAGAACACCCTGCTTGGAATGCGGCACAACAGCATATTGTCACATACCACTTGCTATGATTCCGCCAGTCGTCGTAGTGTCCTTATGCCGTCCAATTGAGCCATTTTAAGTAATACCCAGCACACAATCAGTCACTCTACATACCGTGACAGATGTACAGAAGCCATAGAACTTCCTAGGTATCGGCGAATACTCCCGATGGATTGCGTTAAACTTGCTGCGGAAATCTGACTCGCCAGCATCAGCTCAAGCACACTCGATCTCGTCAGAAGAAAACACAGCTCACATTTCTCTGCCGTATCAGCGTCATTCGACCGTTCCCCAAAACTTCTAACATACTTCGCCAACCGCACGCCGGCGGAAAGCTTCGCGGCCAAGATATCACACTTGTTCAAGAACAATACCAGATCAACTCGAGCGAGGAGCTTATTTGCACAAACAGCCTTCCATAAGAGTACGCTGTCCTCCTGCGTAAAGTCAAGCATACAGGACGACAGTCAAATCGTATACGCCGGATGAACGGGTTCAGCTGATGATTCAGATTTCAATGAAACGGCAGATAGACGAACCAGACGATTGACACTCTTGTCTTCGACCAACGTCTGGTCGAACCCAGAGATAGGTGCAAGGAAGATGATGGCTAAATCAGCAACCGGCAAGTTCTACTCTGTTAGCATCTAGAACATCAAGAAAAGAAGAGCAACTCACCGTTGACTACACAGCGATGCAGCAATGAACCAAATGAAGCACGCGATATGTTAGCACAAAATTTATACAGGAAAAATGGTCCTCACCATCATCGAAAAACGGCACCCATGTTTCTTCAGTGCACGCGCATTCATTAGCGGCATGCAGCTACATAGGTGAAAAAGTATCACTCACGTCGCTACGTGTACAATAGCGCCATTGGACAGGCAGTCAGCAATCGTTGCGCAGATACGAACAAAACGCACATACTTGACTCCTCGACCCGCCGACATCGATGATTCGCCATTGCGTCCCACTTTCCGACCCCGCCTCCATCTCAAAACGGTAGTCCGACACACCTACCGTCTTCAGCCGCGCCTTCAAAACATCATCTATCGCGCGATCAACATGAGATGAGCAACTACCACATATTCGAAGGCGACCAAGGACGCACCATCCGAGGGGTAGTATTTGAGCGATGTGACACGTTCCAGGTCATCCAAGAAACTGGCACAGATCCTGCTGTCAGTGTATGCACAGCCATCAATACTAGAAAGGCTCACAATCCAGGGCTCTCTTCTAGCCGAATCTTGCGCTTTTTCAAGATTGCCCGAACAGTCGGATCACGCCATAATGCTATGAGATCCGCCTGACACTGGAAAAGCACTTGCTGTACCTCCTCCGCAGTGTCTGCACTTGCATTACCCAAGCCGTATGTGTGTCCATTGGTCTCAGCCGCATCGGCATCATGCCGCATAGTATGCTTCCACGCTGCGCCCGGGCGCACGAATACTTCTCCGGTCGAACTCGAACGCGCATGAGAGGGACCTACTTGTGCTGGGATTCCCACGGCGTCATATAGTTGTTGAGCTTGGGGAGAAAGGTAAGGTCGTTCCTCTGATGGAGGTGTGATACGCGAAATGAGCAATGTCTCGACGTGGTGTAGGGGCGCGAGACGCATGCGAAGTGCAGACAGATGCGATGGGAGCGCGGACGCATCAGTTGAGTCTGTTTCTGCGTCCGAGTCGCTATAGAGGGTTGCAGTCCGGTGCGAACGTGATCGCATTGAGGGCGCAATTACGCGCGGCGGAGACCCGGAGCCCGAGAGCGATGGGGGCGCGAAACTAGATGTGGGGTTAAAGCTCAGAGTTGGTCGGAGTGAAGGAGATGGAGGTAAGGACGGGAGCTCGTGAGGCCGAACGTCCGCAAGAGCGTCAAGAATGATGTGAATTGACCGGACCAGATTGAGCTGAATGATCGAATGCCATAGAATGCGCTCCTCCCTGAAGGCTGAGGGTGTGTACAAGCGCTGGAATTCTGTTGGGGAGCACGAGGGGACGGAGTACATGCACAGCGTTACAGGCGTATCAGAAGAGAAGGGGAAACGGGGGACTCACGTCTGAGAGTTGTCGACTTGCCTGTAGACGCGTGCGGAGACGTTCAGGATAAACTGACGCGAAAAGTGATGCCACGTACCCGACTCGCTCTGGCCGAGTAGGAGGAGGCGAACGACCCTCATCTTCTTGCGCTGGAGCTTGTCTTGGCGAATGCTCTCGTCGATGGCCTGGCTGATCCGTCGCGCCTCGGCCTCCTGCTCGAGACGGTACCTCTTTTCGTCGGGGGTCTCGTCGATGGGGGGACGGAGGACCGCGTTTAGGGGATCGCGGTCTGAGGAATCGCGTGCAGGCATCGCGGACGCGAAGAGGCGGAGGAGGAGGCGAGGATGGTGGCAAAAAGAGGGTAAAAGATGGGAGGACGAGCGGAGAGCGAAAGACGAATGATCAGAGTCATGGACGGATATGCTGGCTGTGGGCGCCTAGATGGGCGGGCGTGCCCCATCAGTCGCCCAGCCCGTGCACTGTGCAGCCATCAGCAGCCGGACGGCCGTGTGCACTGCAGCTGCTCGCCTATGCTGGGTTCCGGCACGCTCTCTCCCACCCGGCTGTCTGTATCTCTACCTGCAGGACACCCGGATCCGACGCCTGCGAACCTTTCTTCTGCAGATCTGCGTGCCTGCCCATTCTCGGCGTCGAGTCGCATTGTCCAGAGCCTCTGTGCCTGATCCCGATTGCCTTTCTCAACTCCTCGCCGTCGTTCATTTCTCCGCGAGTCTCTCCCAGGCACCGACCCCCCTCGTCGTGGAGCTCCTCTTCTCCACACAGCCGGACGGATCCATGGATGGTGCAGTGCCCGGCAACCCAGCGCGGATACTGCAAGGCCTCACTTACCTCGATAAGCACCATGCAGCGCTCCCTTGCAATCTCACCGGCCGCCATGCACACCAGCGGAATTACCCTCGAACTCTAACGTCAAAGATCAGCCAGGGCCTGGTGGAGCAACAAACATACTAACAATCAGCATGCGGCGTTCGACCATGCTCCGGCCCTGCAATATCAATATCCAATCTTCAAGGTTGCCTGCAGTTGTAGTTCTGGGACTGGGACCAGGAACGAACATCGTGTCACAGCAAAGAAGATAGCTCACGTACTGTATCTGGTGCGACTGTTGCTCAGGTGCCGACTACTCGCCATCCCATGATCCCGGCGTCTTGCGGAATCTCCACCGCATTCATCTCGTCGAAACCCTATCATAGAGAGAAATGGCGCAGTAAAGGCACCACATAATATTAACTGTGAATTGTGGCAACGTGGCAACTAATCCCCAAATCACGTCAAAAGTGTGCTGATGATATCTAGGCGACGAAGATTCCCCCCTCATTTACCTGTCGCCTATTGCCGTTCTATAGGCCTCAGTCCAGCAGCTCGTGTATTGAACCCGGCTCTTTGGGCCTATAATCGTGACGACATAGGCATCTAGACCAGGTCATATATATGGGACGCTGAGTCGATTCTCCGCTACATCGCCGTCGCCGCAAAGGAACGACAATGAGGCATACTGCGGATTGAAAAAAACTGAGATATTGATTGACCAACTTGACTGAACCTTCAAAACCGTAACCAAAATCTCGCAACCGAATACTTGACCGGGCCTTTTAGAAGGATGTCATGTGGCAGCTCGACGTGATGTTGTATTTCCAGGGCAAACCGCGTCTTTAATTTTCATAGGCCCGTCGTTGGCAATAAGATAACTTGGCAGCAGTCGTGGTGGGAGAAAGAGAAAGAGGCGACGGGGGGATCAGGGGATCGCGTCGGTATAAGAAGTACTTGTGCTTCATACAAAGACGGCGCCAAGCATTTCTCTAGTAAATCAAAGACATTGGAATGATTTCCAAAGATAGGCATTTAACTGCCATAAACAGACGAGTGAGTGACGTCATCGACTGATCTCCAGCTCAGATCTCCAAGGATCCCAGCACAACTATAGATCGCTAGCGAAACGATACAATGCCGTTGCGATCCTCAAGATCATGTCGAGTCATCAGTCTTGTCCAGTCTCCTGTAATAAAATGCCGCCACTCAGTATTTTGACAATTGGTCAGGCTAATATCAATTTCTCGAGGACGCATCGGGGAATGTCTCCGACACCGCATACATAACCATCATAGTCAGTTTCATGGAGCGCATTTATTGGTGCGTACGCCCACCACGAACCCCAGTGGCCAAGTCGATAAGTGTCCCCGGCGGATCAACCAGGTACCGCAAGGCCAGAACATCATACATCACACGGCATGCGTGTACACCACATTGAACATGAGGCACCTCATAATATGGATTGACAAAAAGTCTGCTGACTGAGCAATGCTTTTACTCACAGCGGTCATAGACGCAAGGGGACGCCCGTCGTACGACCACTCTGGTCCTTCCCCGTGCCTGAGCATCGCCGAATGCACTCCGTAGCTCGTCGTAGCTGCCTCTGAACCGATGCCGGAGGCCAGCCGCCAAGATGAACTCTATCACACCCAATCTCATCCCTGTGTGCGCAGGCCCAAGGTGCAGCGACTAAACGCCCTTGAAATGGGCACTGCCATCAGCATCAGAATCTTCGCCCCCCTGCAGCGTCTGCGATAGGAGCTCAGAGTCGCAGGGGCGTCAGCTGTCCTCCAAGCATAGATGAAAATACGGTAGGTCTGCTGCATCCTGACCGCGGGCCATCTCAGCATCGTACCATGTCTGCATGGAGACGCGGAAACGAATGTTGATAATGATTGTTGCCTGAGGCTCCATGTTCAATGATTACCAGCTGTGCCGAGTACACCGGGAAGCCCGGTGTGCAATTAGCCACGATGTTGAACCCACAAATGTCCTAAAAACCCTCAACCCTATGGTCTCCAGGCACACGCAGTGTTGTACCACCCAGTGCATGCATACATACGCTCCTACGGTCCACAGCCCGCATATTCCGATCATTGGACGGGTTCTCATGTCACCAACCAGGCACATTGAAAAGATGCTCGCACGGCATAGAGAGGAATGGACAGGCATGCCTATCGAGCCATGCCGAGCGCCACCTCTTGACATGCCAGGTCGGGCCCACGGCACTAGCCATGTGCAGGTTATAATGGTGCCCTCGGCTTCGGGCATGACCACGCCTTCATTGCCGCTCAGGGAGCATCAGGATGTCGTACAAAGAGTAGCAGATGACTCACTAGGCCCACACGCATAAAACCATGTATTCGATGCGATATGATATGGGCTGTTGCTATCCAATCCAGGCGCGTCGTCGAGCATCAACCTTGGTCATTTGACTGAAAGATATGCGAGATGACAACAGAGACATCGATAATTGCGTTTGGCTTCTCTTGAGCCCGTCGGCGCGCGACTGATCACGATGCAGATGGATAATGTAGAACGCGTAAGTAAACAACGGACCTTGTGTTCTATACTAAAATAGCCATGGGCCCACTGTATGTGAATTATCAACCAAGATACATCACTTTATCCGGAAAGCGAAACGCACCTCTACCCCTAGCGCCCTCTGGCCTTATCTGCAAGCAGCTCTGATGGATGAGGTTCAAGGCTTTCACGGCATCTCTTGCATCGATCACACATGAGATATTGATCTCGTTCGCGCCCTGGCTGATCATCTCGATGTTCACGTTGCCATGCCCCAGCGTAGTGAACATCCTCCCCGCAATTCCGACCATATTGCGCATGCGTTTGCCGACGAGCGAGAGGATCGCCATGTCTCTGCTCACGGTCACCTAAAGAACACAAATATAGCTGAGTGCTGAATGGTTATAAGCTCCTTCATTGATCACTTACGGTTCCGCTCTTTTTCAGCTCGCGAACGACGCGATCCATAACCTTCTTATCGAGTCCATCCTCAATTGCCATGCTCACATAGACCTCACTTGTACTGATCAGATCGACGACCACCCCGTACCGGTCAAGCGTTCCAAACACGCCTGCAAGGAACCCGTGCGATACGCTCTTGCGATTCGAGTTCACGTTCAGCACGACAATGCGCTCCTTGATTGTGACCGCTGTTGGTAATTTACGCTCTGGAGAATCGCTGGACGGGTCTGAGAGTGGCCGGAAGATGGTTGTGGTCCCTGGAATAGCTATAACCCTTTCTTCATCTGGGTATAGGTCAGGAAGGGCATCAATGTCAGGGTCGGGGTGGATCACTGTTCCCCCGCCCTTCGGATTCTCTACGTTCTTAATGCGTATGGGGATTTTTCGACGGATGACCTTCATCGTAGCCGTCAGCTTAGTGGCAAATTTTCCCGCATAGGCTCCAGCACCCGTACCTGCTCCATCGTGAAGGGATGCACGACCTCACTTCCGTAGTATGTGAGCTCGGCCGCCTCCTCTGGCGAGATTATCGGGATCAATCGCGCTGTAGGGACCTTTCGCGGGTCTGCGGTGAAGATCCCGTCCACCTCCTTCCAGATCTGGAGCTCCGACGCGCCAAGACCGGCGGCGAGCAACGCTGCCAGGAGGTCCGTATATCCTCGCCCGACTTGCCGTAATAGAGAGCCTGGAACAGGGCCAAAAAAGCCTGTAGCACTGGTTAGAAAACGCGTGACACCTAGTATCGTAGCAATGACCTGTCACTACGGGAATACGAGAGCCACATTGTTTTATGCGCTCGGCGACTGCTTCGGCGACGTGGTCATAGAAATCTTGACCTAGCGTGTCCGTGTCAGAGGAAGCTTCTCCATCTTCGGTGAGAGGCACTATGTGCTCTAGGTTGACGTATTCCGCATCGATGCCCTGACCCATCAATGAGCTGAAGTTGCATTGGATAATAACAAACGTACTCGATCGCGCAGTATTGCCGTCATCACCTTACATGCAAGCCTCTCCCCAAACCCAATGATGCTATCTCGGGAACGTGGAGAGATCTCGTCGATGACCTGAAGGATACGAGTGAAGTATATACTACCAACCCCAGCGGAGAACGTACCTGAGTTGCGATGAGAAACGACCTTAGTCCATCGCAGTCACGCTCGATCTCCAATTCTAGCTCCCGTAGGATCTCAGCACTCTGAATGGACGAACGAGCTGCTTTTATGTGCTCCGAGCGAATGACATCAACAGTAGAATGGAACATTGGCGAGTCTTGAGTTACAGACGACATGCCGAACTGACCAGTCGTGAACGGATTGTGCGTCTCTGTCCGTGGTGATGACACACTCCGCTGCCGGGGGCTGTCTATCGGAGAGTGGACTTGCGAGAAAAGGGCGGGAGTCATATGCCCTGGAGTTTCCGAAGGACTACTTGTGCGCTGCAACGCCTCCTTCGCTGCCCGCAGGAGCAGGTTGGTTGTTCCGAGGGCTTTCGTGGAGCCTGAGCGCGCAGAGCATACAATCGCAATTTTGTGTTGATCAAGGTATTCCCTGTAAATGAAGAAAGAAAAAAAAGATCAAGCAGGCACTGAGCGGGCTCGACGAGATGGCGCACGAACGAGACTATGTCATCGGCAATTTTAACAGCAAACTTTCCAACGCTTGTTCCACCAAACTTTTGAACGAGCCATTTGGCAACAGGATCGATGGTATTTTGGTGTAAGTTGGGAGGAGTGCGTGGGGCGCTGGAAGAGGAGGTAGATGCAGACCGCGAAGACAAGGGTGACGAGGGAGATGTGGTCGTTTCGGACATGGTGTTAAACAATACAACGATTCAGCTTGGAGAAGTCTGCTACTCCCGCGTTATGTAGTCATCCCGATATGACTCACCTAGCCTCAATACAAAATCAGACGACCGCTGTGATCAGGCCACTTAAGAATTGACAATAGCACAGGGAACCTTTTTCGAATAAAACTAGAAACCACCTGGCGGACGAGAAGACTTAATGGCGTTGTGTTGACAACTTGGAACGCAAGAAAGCAGTCCAACCAGTGGAGAAAAGACGATACGAGCTAATAGCTACAACATGCAAGGAGACAGCCTAACAGTGAAATCTGGGTTCAGAGCAGCAATGAATCCATAAGCAGTCTATGGTCAGGAGTATTCTACAAACCAGTCAAGCAGGGGGAAGCCAGATGGCAATAGAAAACGGAAATTTTGCAGTTGTGGCGCTGCCTAAACAGGTAACCCCGATACTAGGCTCGGGTCGGCGACTCAGCTTATCGTGTTTTCTCTCGATTTGTATGAAGTTCATGCTACTAACTGTACACCGCAACTCTCGTTTGGAAATCCGTCTACTCCTTTTCGGTTTCTCTACAAGCTATTGAGGACTCAAGCATGAAGAAAATTTGCAACATTTATGCAGACTGTTGTATCGAGGCCATTTTTCTATTGGAGCCCTGATGATACCAGTCGTGGAGATGCGGCGCCATTATGTCCAACCCCCGTGCTCAGACCAGATGAGCTTCATGACACGTTCGGCCCGAGCCAGCTGTAGCCCGGTAAAGCTACATACGCGTCCGTAAGCCAGTCAGAATAAAGTTCAATGCCAAGGTTCGACATTGTGGGAAGTACTTGTCAACGGCTGTAAGTAAATCCTTCGTATGAGCGAACTTGTAGGGTGACGATCTTGTCTCAGAACCAGCGATTTTTTCTTCATGTCGAGTGCTCCAAAACAGGGTACCATTGTGCTTTTCAGAACTTGCTAGTATGCGTATACAGAAACTCACAAAATTATGGAGTCATCGTTATATTCAACTCCAAATTCCTATGAAGTTAACTCCTCTACCGCATCATCTGAGCCCAGAGCACGCACGTTCGTTCTTAATAAAAAGAAATGAAGGCATTTAGAAGTCGGTGGGGTTTTTCAGATGACAGCTTCGACGTAAGTTAATCAGGTTCGGTTCAATAAAGAGTAAACTTTCTGCTATGCACCCTCTCTTAATCGCCCGCTCTTCATCCGAAATGGCTCTATTGCTAGGCGACCAGCAAGAATTCGACGTCGAGACCAGTCAAATTGGTGACCCATGCCAAAGTGTCATCTACGAGACCGCTACTTCATCAAGGCGTGTGTCCAACGCGACAAGGAGAAAACTTACGCTTGGCTCGTACATGACAATTGCTGCGGCTGCATCTGGGTTGGTATCTGATGGTTGTGAGTGAAAACTCTGTACTTCTCCCTCATCTATGCCGCAGACTTTGACTATGAGATTATAGATCATAACAATTTGATGACTATGACAAATGTCAGTACTTGGATCACCGAATCCTCAATGATTCTTGATTGTGATTTAGGTGGTTTTCAAGCAACTGTATCCTACAGAGTATACGTCCGCAGTGTCTACTCGGGTTTCGAATGCACTCTTAGTGGGTGAGAGCATACCGTAGTATCCCAAATGGCTACTGGGGGCTCATCACGACGCAGGCGAAATCATTGGGCAGCTATTCATAGGGATCCTGTGTGACCGGATGGGCAGGAAGTCTGGCCTTTTCGTCACAACACTCCTCATTGTTATTGGGGCTATACTGTGCACTGCTGCTAAGGGTGCAAACGGGAGCGTACAAGGTCTCTTTTGGTTCATGACCATTGCTCGTGGCGTAACAGGCGTGGTGAGCCCCGTTCGCCGTCTATGTCAGTGACGTACTAACGAAAGCAATATCTGTGCCAGGGTAATGGCGGCGAGTATCCTGCATCGGGGACCAGCGCAAGTGAGGCTACAGACGAAATAATGAGCACGAACAGAGGTCCAGGTAATTAAGTCGTTACCAGTCAACGGTAAATGGTCTGATACATGTCTTGTGTAGTATTTTTGCTAGCTACAAGTCTACCACTTGTGGTAAGTGATTATCTTAATGGTTTAACAAACACAACCTACTTGTTGTATCTTAGCTCGGTGGACCCCTTGCAGTATCGGTGTTTTTGATAGTCCTATCCGCGGCGGGAGAAACCCACCTCGAAACAGTCTGGCGCGTCTGTTTTGGAGTGGGTATTTTATTTCCGGTCACTGTGTTCTATTTTCGAATGCGCATGGTCCGCAGCAAGCTGTGAGTTGAATTATTTTGGTCCAAGATTTACATTAACACGATTTTATATCAGGTTCCGAGAAGGTGCCATTAAGCGTAAGCGCATTTGTGAATCAACCGTGCCGTCTTATAGATGTCGTGCCATCGTCAGGACACGTCCCATATCGTCTCGCTCTGAAAAGATACTGGAAATCTTTAATTGGTACTTGTGGAGCTTGGTGAGTACACGACAAGCAGCACTGTTACATTGTGCTGAAGAAATTTCAGGTTCACCTTAGACTTTGTAGGTATTCTATCGTACTTGGTGATGGTTTCTCAAGAGTTAGACCAGATTTTCTATCCGAATGGCATATTCTCGGCAACGATCATTGCGAGCGTCATACCCAATGGAGGCATCAGGGCGACCGCTGAATGGCAGCTCCTACTAGGTGCTATTGCGCTGTTAGGTGCGCATCCAACTGTCAAGGTGTTAAGGCATCGGTGTATGATAGGATCCTGATCATTCAATATACTTTCCGCAAAGGTGTTTTCGTCGGAGCATTCCTCTGCAATCCGTTGGGTCGCCGTAACACTGTACGTATTCCCTGACATGGAACTACTTTTGTTGATTCGTATGTTTATTAGATGATTTTGGGCTTCTTCGGTTATCTTGCTTTTGGTTGGTCCACTAGATGCCTTTCATATTTCATTATTGATGATGCATATCAGGCTTGATCATTGGCTGTGGATATGAGCGGGTCACAAAGATTGTACCGCTTTTCGTAACGCTGTATGTTTACCACTAGCTGTATTTTCCGAGTACCCATCTGATTTTCTTCGCAGTTATGGTCTGATGACATTTATGGGAAACCTTGTAGGCCGTTCCGGACAATTGCAATGTTCATTTCTCAATGATCTTAGGGCCCTGGAAACATGTCGCTCCTCACTAGCGCAGAGTAGGTCATTCCAACACAAATGTGCCCTGACAATGATGTTTACCCATTTGAAGATCATATCCGACATCTATCAGGTTCGTACTGTGATTTACTCTGCGGTCAGAGATCTTATGGCTTTCTCAGGGGTACTTGCTTCGGAATATCTGCAGCTATCGGGAAGGTAGGAGCCGCAGTTGGTACAGAAGTCTTTACTCCCACACAAAAGGATCTTGGCCAAAAGTAACTTTTATCCTCTCCTCGGATACGTTCTGAGATCTGACCCGTTGTAGATGGACTTTTATCCTCGCAGGCATTTTCGGCGGTCTTGGCATGCTCGTCACGTACTTCTTTGTGCCTGACATGACGGGCGTGGATCTTGCGAATGAGGATGAGAAGTTCCTGAAGTATCTTGCAGACAACGGGTGGCACGGCGATGTTGGCGATGAAGATGCGGCCTCAGTCACTACGGAGTCTAATTTCCCCGATGGAATTAACTACGACGAGAAGGTTCAGTAGATGATTTGATTTTCATGAGGTCTTGCAGAAGGTCGGGATCCTTGAAAGCTCGAGTATCAGAGGCGACGTTCAACTGAAGGCAATGAATACTATGCTAGTCCTGTCCCGAAAGGACTCGTGTTCTTCGAGCATCTATTGGTTAATACATGAACAGAATCTTGACAACGGCGATGATGACTTTCACAGCGCGACCACATAGCGCGCCCACTCAGATTGTGTGTCCCGAGATTCTTTGTCGGTCAACGTCGGCCGATCATCAACATTGTCAGAAGTGGTATGTCAGCACTATCAAAATCTCCCGCAATGCCGTGACTACCTTCACAGTCTCAGCTCTCTGTGGGCTGAAAGTGTGCAAGTTAAGACATGTGGCATAGTCATAAAATTAGAAGAACATGAGCTGAGGTCTAAGCTCCTTGCCCTGGCTGAAACAGTAATAGCCAATGTCGCTGACGATGACAATCAAGATGCGGCACGAAAAGCCACGGCCAGCGGGCGCTCGGCCTCCGAGTGTAATCAACAGATTGACAACAGCGAATTACTAGGGTATTCGAGTCGTATGCATTTCGCATTCGACTGGCATGTGAATTGTTCGTATTCATATGCGATGGCTGCCATTAACACAGGTAAAAGACGGGCCGCGGTTCGCATGGCTCGAACTCCTTAAAGTTCGGCCATGAGACAGCCAAGCTTGCTCACCTCTCTTGTCCTCCTAACTAAAACTTCCGGAATGTCCACGGAAGCGATCACTAGTGCTGTTTGTGACGAAGTGCGAATAATTTCTCCGTAAGCTCATATTTATTATTTGAAGGATGTCCCAAGCTGGAATGACATCTCTGTGGTTACAGGCTTGGAATGCTGGGGTATGGCTACGATGCTGCGTTATTCTTAGAATTTTGCGAAACTCGTCGTCCTCATGCAATCATCTGTGACTCTGGTTCTACAGATTCCGGCCCTCAGAAACTTGCTCTAGGACTCACAACGTGTCCACGCGAAGCCTATGTCCGCGATCTAGGCCCCCTGCTTCTTGCGTCTGCAAAGTACAAAATCCCCGTCCTCATAGGCTCCTGCGGCGGTTCAGGAACCAACGCACAAGTAGACCTTTTAGCAGAGATAGTTCGTGAATTATCGGAGACTCATGGATACAGCTTCCACGTTGCCAAGATCTATGCCGAATTTGACAAGGAAACAGTACGGAAGAATCTGGACAATGTCAGCCCTTGTGGGCCTGTTCCGTCATTAACAACAGCCGACATTGAAGCTAGCACACTCATCGTTGGGCAAATGGGTGCCGAACCGTTTCTCGCTGCACTTTCTCACGAGGGGTCGGTTGATATAATTCTTGGTGGGCGAGCATACGACCCGGCACCTTTCGCTGCTGTGTGTATCAAAGAGGGCATCGATCCCGGAATTGCCTGGCACATGGGAAAGGTGTGAGAGCTTCTATCTTGTGCAGATCACGCACTAACCATTTCAATAGATCGTGGGTGTTCCCCTACGTTCCTTCCGTTGCATCAGCTAATTTTTACTATGCAGTTAGAATGCGGTGGAATGTGTGTGGAACCGAAGCAACCTCTCATTTTTGCAACAATTCGGAAGGACAGCTTCGACCTCGAACCTTTGGACGTTTATTCCAGGTGTACTGTGATATCCGTCGCCGCGCATACACTTTATGAGAAGACGCGCCCGGACCTCCTTCCCGGACCTGGGGGTGTATTGAACCTCGCACAGTCTACTTATGAACAATTGACACCTCGAGTGGTTCGCGTTCGAGGGGCTGTGTTCGAGCCACGTCCTTACCAGGTTAAGCTGGAGGGCGCAAAAGTGACTGGATTCCGCTCCATCTTTATTGGTGGTATACGGGACTCCACGCTGATTAAACAAATAGATGTGAGACGCCGTCGTTATATCTCTACGCGATGTGACTAAAGGTCGTTTGGATTTAGCGCATTTTGCCTCTTGTTGAAGGGTATGCGCGGTCAAGGAACTCCACATTCACAGGAGAGGACTGTCGCATTGCGTTCCACGTGTATGGCAAGAACGGAGTACTTCAATTTCTCTTCCTGCAGAAACAGTTTTCTGAAATCACCCCGTGCAGGTCATGGGGCCGTTGGAGCGCATCCAGAAGCCTGCGCATGAATTATGTGTACTAGGAGAGGTCCTTGCACCCACACAAGCACTTGCGCATAGTGTATGCAATGCCATGCGCGTGGCCCTTTTACACACACCGTATCCTCAACAGGTGCATAAGCTATGACCAAACATAAAGCTTTAGCTAATATCTTTGCAGATAGCCACTGGGGGTAATCTCGCCAGTCCACTGACCCCACTAGAAACGGACACGGGCGAAATGTCCGAGTTTTCGGTGTACCACCTCATCAATGTCGACGATCCACTTGCTCCTTTCCCGATCCAGTACGAATCTGTCGGAATCTCCGCGGATGAGTCGCGTTGGCCAATCTATCAGCGTGCTGGGCATTCGAAAGGCTCCGATGCCAGCGGCCCGCTTGCTAAGATAAAGCAGGAACTCGAGGCGGCGAGAGTTGATCCTGTCGCAAAGTGGCGCACTGCAAGCGAAAGTGGTGATAAGACTATTGCTCTACGCGATATTTCCACTGTGCTCCGCAGCAAGAATGTACGTGGTTGCCCTGCCAAACGGCCTCTGAGTGGGCTCTAACGATGTACTGAATGTAGAGTGGGCCGTACGAGCTAACGTTCGACGTCATATTTCCAAACGATGAGATTTATCGAGCTGTGAAGAATAGCGACGTGCTCACTGTCGATGCGCTTGCCCACGCCTACAGTGTCGAGCCCAAAAAGGTACTGGCGTGTCTGTTCTTCGACCAAGCACGAGCATTCAAGTTCACTATTCCAAGGTGTGACAAACCTGCACTTTAAAGTACGTCCAATGAGTCTGATAAGTAGTGTTTGGCAGGGTGCGACCGAATGGAAGTTTCGGCGAGACTGATATGCATGGATGTCAGCAACATATTCCCTTGGGCGACATAGAGGTTCCTGTTCTAGTCGCGTAGTAATACTAGGTACCCGTGTCTTTCAGTTGGCTATTGTACAAGTTTTCCTGTTGGTTCGAACGTCATCAATTACACATGTCTACAGCGCAATTCTAGTGGATAGCAACGTCTTTGGAAGATCGCATACCTACTGCATGGCATTAAGACGAACCATAACGTTCGAGATGTGCCACGAAGAACAGGTTGAACTAGTAGGGCCGTCAAACGTTACCTCTTCGCTTGTGGCTTCTCATACAGGAATTACAGAAATTGACATTTCACTGGATGATTTCAACACACTCGTCCAGAGACCTTCATACAAGACGCGTTCGCAAAGACACTCCTTAGCCAATGTCTGGACACTTCTGAACCCCGCTAGACACCAGCAACATTATTGCAAGTTCAGGGAGGTGTCAGACTTGAGACGAACATCAGTTACAGACATTTTGTTTCGCGTACTACAACAGCTGAGTTCCCCTCTCTTTCGCCAACAGCCATCTAGAAGTAAGTAGGAGGGATGATCCTACAACCATGAGAATCTATTGGAGCGCACCATCAAGAGGCGAAAAACGGCGTGTGAAGCAGATTGACTCACTCCGTTAAACAGCAGAGCTTTGTACCACTGATTATTTGGACCGAGTAATGCCCCGTCAATAGGGTTCCCGGTAAGAGTTGCAAAACTCATGATAAAGAAACAAAATCCAATGCGATTGCTGATGTCATGATGAGCATGGCTTCCAAACAATATACGAACTTGGTTCGTACCCAACTTCTGCTGGCGTCTTTGCCATGAGAGATAATGCCGCAGGAAGCAAGGAAAGGCCTGCGCCTAATAAGTGTGTATTCACACGTGAAGAATATTACTCACATGCTCCACTGAAGAAACCGTACAGGATGGCAAAGATCACGATCGCCCCAGGAGTGGTGGTACCAAACATAGCAAAAAGTAGAATAGCAGTGACACAAATCATTGGGCAGAAGGTGTTAAGCTGCCCCGCATAATCTGCGATGGCGTTAGGGATCATCCTCCCGAAAACGGCGCCTGTGTTCAGAATTGCAATCTAGTGAAAACGACGAGTGCGAACTGAGACCGTAGTAAATCGAAATGTTTCAGGCTAACGCACCATGTAAAACGCGAGAGTATCAGACAGGTTATAGTACCTTGACCAAGATTGTAGATAGAAATCTGACGAAAAAGTTAGCGAAATGATGCGCTGAGAACTTCAGATTGCGTACAAGGGAAGAAAATCCCGAGCTGAAGACAGATCATGCTAGGATGTAGGAAGTGAGACACGACTTGTATAATGAGTGCTTCAACACTTACGCCAAAACGGCAAGCACGTATGGTTTGTGTGTCATAATTGATTTTACCGAAGGTTTGGAGCCCTCGAGACGATTCTTTCCACCGGGCAGACGTGTTCTCATAATACAATTTGCAATTAAGAGCAGTCCCAATGACAAGAATGCCGATGCGCGTATGCCCCACGCGAATCCAGCTGAACCGTTGAACAGCCGGTTAAGCATTATAGGATAGACAACGCCGCCGAATGGTGATCCTATCACATTGATGAGCGTCACTACCACATAGCAGGACAATCGAAAAGGTACCTGACTGTACGATTCCAAGAGCCATGGCACGCCTCTTCTTCCAGTAATGAGATTGAATGGCGAGGGAGGGGGTGAGCAATAGGCCGCCAGCAAGTCCCATTCCGATGCCTTGCGAGAGAAGGAGCTGGTAGTAGCTGCTCGGATCGGCCAATGAGAGCATGAAGAGACTAGAATAGATCATGAGGACAATCTGATAAGAAAATGGTTCGCACTAACGAAAATACGAAGAGAAACGAGCCGAGGGTAACCACCGGGCGAAAATACCCTAGATCGAACAATCGGCCAGCGGGTAAACCAACAATAAAAGTAAGGAAGAGCTATATAACAGTACAATCAGCATTTATAGGAGGGAAACTGATTATAAAAAAGTCCATACCTGCAGCGAACCAATCCAACTAATGTTTGAATTGGTTGACGCTCCAGCAAGGACATAATAATCTTGGCATACACCGAAAGACGTTGAATATCCAACTGTGCAAAAGTTCATGGACCAGCTTGGGTAAGATGGACATAGTTGCGATCAGTACAACTTCGCTAGCAAAACTTCCTGGCATAAGAACATACCCTCCAAGAATAGCCAACCAAGCCCAAAGGCCGCCATCGGGTATAGGTATCGATCCATCCGACAATGTATCTGCGTCCGCCAAAACAGGAATGATTGCTTCGGTGTCAAGTAACTTGTCATCAATAACCACTGCGGTCTCCGAACCAGAACCGTCAGATTTAATTTCATTTTGGCTCATTGTGAAGCCGTGTTGACGATGAATAGAAGTTTGAGAGGGATACAAACGAAGTGGCTCGCGACTTTCGTTCTTCGAGCCTTTTACCAGATGCCGGAAGGGTTGCCGTCGGCAAGTGGATGCACAACGAACGCGATCATGAGGCCAGACTGGGGACATCACAAGGCCTGAAAACGGCTCTAGAATGGTTGTATACCAGTCATCTGGAGGATTAGGTTCAAAAAGAACCAAGATAAGCTGACTGCTCAGTTTGTCGCTCCGAATGAGGCACAGCAGTCACCTGCAGCGGCCTCTGTTCAGCGTATCAGTCACATATCAGGACATTCTTGAGAAATCGTACCTCATTTGTGGCACATCTGTGCATGAAATTCAATCTTCGAGAATCCCTGACCATGGCTAGCCGTAACACCAGTAGGTCGTTGCGACGAGTAGAACTTGTGTCACCGAACATCTGTGGAAAGATTGGGATATCTTTTGACATGCTACAGGAGTTGCGTTGCCTCTGGCTGGTGCTCGCCGTCCAGCCTTCTACTTCGGTGTACCTGAGCGAGTGACAGTACAGCTGGCAGCTCTGAAGGAATAATTGACGGCATCATTGTGTCGCACCAGAATACACTACCAGAGAAGGGTTGAGATTTTCTCGTATAAGAGGTCTCAGGGAAATCCAAACTCATAGTGCGGACGCGGATGGCCTGTGGCTCGTGCGTCGACATGGTTGCGGACAGCTTGAGCTTGTCACCTGAGGACTCGGGCGCGAACTTGAATCGGAAGCGACGTCCGACGGGAACCCGACACTAGGGTTACTACGTTTCCTTGTAAATGATTCGAGGTCGTGCGAGTCCCTCAAATCCGGCACGATGGCTATGAATCCCAAATACCACTCCAACATAACGAAAAGATACATCTTCGCATCCAAACTTCCGAAGGTTACTTTGAATACAAGTATAAAACATTGAACAGTGGCGCGTCCAGCCACTCGCACAGCGGCCATCTCTGCAATTCGATCTGACTGATACACCTTTACACTACACACTATAGAAAGGATGAAAACGAGAGGAAAAGCACGCACCCATGAAGATCAGGTAAGTGTCAGACTCATATACAAAATCTTCTGCTCAAAGACAAATGTATGCGTGGCTGATGCGCAATCACCCCCCGAGGGTCAACATTCATTGTGACAAACGTTTCCACCACCATGGCCAGGGACAAGTCTCGTTTAGGGCTTGCCAAATGCTTCTCCTTCGGTAGTAGTACAATAAGACAAAAGGTTTGTTTAGCGGTCGGCAGGGACATTCTGAAATACTATGGTCACGGTAATGATATACAAGTGATCGATCAATTCTGATCGCTTCAAACTCTCCATTTAGCTTCAGTTGATCAACATGGTTCCAACGAGCGATCCCTGCCGAATAGACCGTATGTTCCACAGTGCACGCATAAGAACATTTGACGACTCACCGCATCCGAATCAGAACCCATTCCCCCTGTCGAAGTTCCATCTTTCACCATCCTTCCCAAGCGAAGATCTATAGGTACATGGGATTCTGCACGTATGCCTTGGCTGTGGGCGGAAGTGATATTTTGCGGCAGCCCAATATCCTCCTGGACATAATTAGGCATGTTGTGATGGTTGCGAACAAATTTTCGCGCATTAAGCCTGATCCATAACAAGTACGTGAGCCCCTCGAATACAGTCAATAGAACCAGAACTCACATGGCCATGAATGAATTGGTGTGTACTATAAAAGCAGTTTCATGTGAGCCTACATTATACAATGACAGATATTGAGAATAAAATCATGTACATTTTACAAGTGAATATTCAACAGCCACAAAGACTAGCTCTTCAGGAAGTGCAGCTTTCTAAACCTTTGTCAGAATGTGAAAAGAAACAGCTGAAGACTGTCCACTTGCAGTTATGACAACTATAAGAGACAATACACTGAGAGACTTGTGAGTACTCCTGCAACAGCATAAAACAACATAAGAATTGTTGCACCTTGTAATAGCACCAGTGTTTAGCGTGAATAACATGAGAATCATGATTGTGGAATCTGTCCTGTAACAGATGAGATTGAGAGGACAAAGCCATCAATGTGCATTACCTTTGGAAGCCTGTGCGTGAGCAAGCTAGAAGATAGCACATAGATATGGCAATGGAAACATCTATAGCGCTCCATACAGACAGTGGTAAATAGGTTATCCACTATTGCAGCGACATATTGGTTTCTATGTCAACTCTTGGGGTTTACCATACCTGTAATGACACCAATCGGGCAATGGTATCATTATTGGGCTGGACACTAAATTGAAACTTGTGAAATGGCACGGTATAAGTTGATGGATCCCATGCTTACACCTCATAACAGAATGCTACATTGATTGTTAATCTAGGAACACAAGACTGTTAACAAAACCAAACTCACATAAACTGCCCACTGGAACAATCAACCATATGAGATAACACAAATATACATGGTGCTCAAGACTGACCATATCCTGCAAGCAGAAGTACAGTCTGTGTTGGGGATAAACAGGTCAATATAAGTGTAAGCTTGTATGCTTTAGATTGAAGTTTGTGTCTTACAATAGTGATAGGCAAAATGCGATAACTTCGTGAGTTTTTGTTAACTGCTGCATCCACTGAGACCAAAAGGAGTACAATGAATAGAAGTTCCCCCAAGTCCAACATGCATGCAACCTACATTTCCAAACACGAATCGCATATAAACTGTTTAAATGCCATCTTAGTCGCAACAGAAGAGGTTAGGATTCCTCACGTCTGTATTGAGGAGATGCATAGGGACTGATCACAGGAGTCAGTAGGTCCAACTGAAATGAACTGAATAACTGAGCAGGTGATGTGACCAACGTACGCTAACAATATTTTGTGCCTAGAATCTCAATGCATTGGCTTGAGATATGCAGGTATATACTATCCACATACCTTAAAGCTCCAGACTACATGCAAAAGGGCCAATGGATTGAAATAATTGAGTATCAGACAATAATACATGACGTGAAAGGCAAAGATGAGGTGAAGTGCATCCATAACCCTATATAGAGTTTAGTACTGATACCATCTGTGCATACAACCATGATCACCATAAATAGCAAACTACAAGCTTGGTCCATATTGAGTCGTAAGGATATTTTCGGTAGTAAATAAACGTCTGTAGGATTGTAATGCCAAACAGACTTAAAGGATTCTCAGTAAAATACAGCCATACATGAAACAGAATACAGCTTACATCGTTGCGACGAATGTCCCAATAAGCATAACACCAAATGTGCTGGCTAGATCCATTATGTAGCCGTCAGATAAAAGCAGAGATCAAAAGCACAGCCAGAGCATAAGTGATTCTTAGCACAGATATTCAGAACTTGCAAATAATCGTCTCAGCTTCAGTCTGGTGGAGAGAACCAACTAATTGAGGTCTCCCAACACCGACATTTTATACACCTTGCTTGAATGACCAATGTTTGGTCAAATGACCCTGTAGACACTGATTGATAGGAGTATTTTCTTCCGGTGAGAGTTGATTATCGATGAAACCTGAATTCAAACCGAGGTAAAAATATTCCCGATGGCATGAGTGACATATGAATGGATTCAGTGACAGCTAGGAACAAGAATGGACATATTTAGGATCGTGAATACCTACTGCACTGGATAACAGGTCAAGACTATATCCCTCCAACTCCTTGCAGCGTGCATTTCCGGCAGACTATTATCACATCAGGTCGCCGAAGTGTTCGAAACCAGTCAGTCATACGACTACAATACACTGGGAGCATCCCTAGTGTCTAGCCCAATGGCTTGGATGCGACATCAAATTATCGATGAGACTGTGAACACTAGCATTAGTTATTTGTCCATGACCGCTATCAAGACAGCTATTCAATACTCGCGATAGGAACACATCAGTAGTGTACGAATCTGATGAGGTCCTCACGGGCTGTCATGATGTGTATCCTTTAACCCGTTGTGAAACCGCGTTGAAGATTAAAAGAAATTTGAGAGGCGTATGAATGAATGTGGAGTGACTTGCAGTCTCCGTCTTTGATCTTTATACAGGAGGGCACTGTCAGCAAAGGCATCCAACCGCGAGGAGTATTGCAAAGTTTGAGAAGAGCTAGCACTCAATGCTCGTGAGGATTAAATCCCGATTCATCGCTCCAAGTGAGGCACAGCGGTCACCTGCAACTTGAGCAGCTTTCATTTAACACATCAGTCAGTTAGAGAACATTCTTGCGAGCGCATACCTCGTTCCTGGCACATTAGAGCAATCGAACGCGTATTCCGAGTCCAAGACCCTGTGACTAAGATCGACTAAATCCTATCGCTCCAAGTAGAGCAGCTGGACAGCAGCACAGAACTTGAAAGAGTGGTCTATCGTCCTACGACGTATAGTGGACTGAACGTGCCGAGATTAGTCACTGGAGGAAGGTCCACTTCCATTGAACGAGACTACGGACGGATGAACGTCACAGCAGGACCAGCTAATTATGAGACTCGAAGCTCCGGTAGGCGCGTTAGACGCTAGATACATCATGATTTGTGGCCGAAATCCGAGATCCGATAATTGACCACTATTCAATGCCCTCGACGCCATTCGTCACAATAGACCAATCGGTCCGTCCATAAATATGCGACAGACATCTCACGTCAAACTCACAGCACGAGCGGATATATCTAAATTTGATGATTTTTGCGGGGATCATTGGATGTGTGAACGCGACGAAGAATACATTTGATGCGCAGAATACGAAAAAGTCGGCCTGTCTGCTAATGCTCAGAGCCATGATCCAACATGTAGATGGTTTGAAATCCGCCACTGGAGGTGAGTTCGGTAATGAACAAGCCCCAAGGCAACCAAACGATTCGATCATCTCATGCAGATGGTATTTGGATGAGCTCTCTGAAGTTCAGTCCATCACTGAACCTCCATTCACGTTGATCGTCTGTCCTATAATGCTATTCAGCGAAATAAAACATCTTCGGTCGTCGACATCACGCTTACCTGTAATGAAATACGCCTCCGGCTTGACTAAGTAAGATACGATACTTGCTACGACATCCGGTTCTGCAAAAACCCGCGATGAGTCTGCCTTCTTGCAAACGATGAGGACTCTTAGCTAGCATACGGATCCAACAAGCTTATTCTGGGGTACGCACCCTTCTTTCCCCAGCACTTTCAAACCACTCATCGCCTAGGAATCTACGTGCTACAATAAGCATGAGTAGTATGTCCTGTGATATCAACAAAAGTGAAGGGGACCTACTCATGGGGGTATGAATGACTCCAGGAGCATACGCGTTTACTGTGATCTTGTGCTCCGTGAGCTCCAGTGCTGTTTCATAATGCTCGCGTATGAGGACGAGTGGAGTTGTTACTCAGGTGATACTATATTACCCAATGATTGCGTTAGCCCTCTTACTGCAAATTTCGTCGCGCAGTATGCAGATGTAGAAGGATGTCCTGCACTCGAATATCAATATCATCTATTTATACACATATTTGTCTTACCCTTTTTCCCCGCCACGGAGGAAGCGCCTAGGATTAAAACAGGGTCAGGTGTGTGTATGTGTGTCAATCTTGCTCTTCTGGGATTGACACGTACCAATGATTCTCCCGCCGCGTCCTTGTCTGATCATTTGCTCCGCGGCATGCTTATAACACAACATGACACCACGCAGATTGACCGATATCATACGATCCCACTCCTTCACCGGTACTAAGGAAATATTAATTAACATCGTATACAAAAGACCAAACTTACGTTCCGTGAGTGGCGCCTGTACTCCAATAATGCCAGCGTTTGCTACCATCTGCGCATCGCCCGTCAGACAACAACATATCGTTCACAGACGTAGACGTCTACGCACAATATCCAATCCTCCTAGATCTTGTACTACCTTGACTATCATTTCCTTGACACTGGCTTCCTCAGTGATATCTGCAAGGATCGGGATGGATCGTCGCCCCTTCGACTGCAGCTCTCCTACAAGCGACTCGAGAGCATTCGAATTACTTGGAAGATCGTTCACGGCGACGTCGAACCCATCTTCTGCAAGTCGTAATGCAATCGCCCTCCCGATTCCCTGTCCTGCACCAGTCACAACGGCAATACGACAGTGTTCGGACATTTGGGAGCGTTATGGCTGAAACGTGTAGATTGACATTCATCACTAGAAGGAAGGGTATATATATGAAGCAAAAGCCTTATACTCATAGGACCATGAGATGTGAGCTTCGCGAAGAACGGGCAGTGCAATAGAAGTACAAAGAGGTATCTGATTCACTCATGGTTCTGATATCGAGTCATTGTTATAAACGGAGCCACACACCATAGACAATAAGGAGCCCACGCAACGGAATGATTGAAAGCCTCGTTATGTTGACAGATGACACGAGGCTAGGCGTTCCTTTCGTCACGAGCGACATGAATTCGCTGTCTCGTCCAATAGGGCTTCTATATGTATATAGCGAATTGGCATTGCAAGCTCAAGCGAAGAACAGGCATGCTCACCAATAGTAGTACGTGATGGAACATGTTCGTAGTCTCCAATTGTTAGGCGCGAGACCAACTAGGTAGAGTACAAGGCCTCCATTTGATGCACCAGACACATATCATCATCATCGGCAATCAGATTTCAGCCACACTAGCAGCATGCTGATTACCGCTAACGAAGGAACCTCGACGTCTGAACTTCGTTTGCCATGAAGTAAACGCATTCCCATCATGTAACTCGAATACAGCTTATAATGTGACAGTGCTATTCAGTCCATCGTCGTACCACCACCCACGTTAATTGATTGCCCTGAAAAGAGCGGTTACATACCGAATATTCCCGGACGAACTATCCTCACCTGTGATGAAGTAAGCCTCTGGTTTGACTAGATACGACACTAAGCTGGCTACGACGACCGGCTCCGCAGCCCCTTCAAGCGGTCGTAAGCCTGGCACCCCCCCTGGCTCGCCACTCTCTGCCTGTGTGCTTCCCAAGAAATCTCGGGCTACAGTGGTATATAGAGGTGCGGGAAGAAATGAGACGTCAAAAGCTCACCCATTTGGGTATTGATGACGTTGGGGCAATAGGCGTTAACCGTAATCTTATGTTGTGCAAGTTCCAAAGCTAACGCGATGTCTTCAGCTGATGACGAGAGAGGGTATACAGTTGGTACCTAAGGATTGTGTCAGGCCTCTGACGGCGAACTTCGTAGCGGAATAGGCCGACGTTCGAAGTCCTCCTAGTTTCCAAGATCAGTATGCTGACATTGGCTTCCGGTGTGTCCTCCGATGAAGCCTCACCCATTTTTCCTAGCACTGAAGATGCTCCTGGCGCGCACAACAAATAGTGAATTCCAGCAGCCAATATTTCATATGCTACAGACCTATGATTCGGCCACCACGGCCTTGTTTGATCATCTGATCGGCGGCATATTTGTAGCACAACATGACCCCACGTAAGTTCACCGCGACAATACGGTCCCATTTTTCTACTTCGACTGAAATTGACGAAAATCAATTCATCGTCCTGCACTTAGTCAAGCGGGCATACGGTTCAAGAGCGGAGTCACTAGTCCAATTCCTGCATTTGCTATCATCTTCGGATACCGATCAGAATACAAGATGGCATGTCGTTGCATCATGATCACGTACTATATCCAGCGTTCCAAGCTCGCGCACTGTTTGCAATACCATGGCCTTGACGCTGTCTTCATCGGAAACGTCGGCAATGATTGGGACGGATCGCCGTCCTATTGCTTGAAGTTCCCTTACAAGTGACGATAGGGCGTCTACGTTACTTGAGAGATCGTTCACCGCGACATCTATTCCATCGTCCGCTAATCGCAACGCAATGGCCCTACCAATACCCTGCGCGGCACCAGTGACGATAGCTACACGGTGAATGTCGGACATGGCAGTATTTGGCGACAACGTAGATGAGAGGCTGAGGAACAGACCGTGGATGACTTTGGTCTTATACGCTTACTCACGACTGCCAATTGTAAGGTTTGCGATAGACTACGCCACGAGGTCGTGTAGGGATCTCATCCGGAAACCATGACTCCTGAATCGGTACGAAGACTTTGTCAGGTGCTTCAGGAAGAGGACAGTTAGAGGCTTCTGACGAACAAATCGCTGTAATGAAGACACCACCTTCCACATACAGCCCCATTGGATCGTTTCCCAGACCGTTTCCCAAATCAGGTCAGTCTCTATTGCAGCAAAGTCCGACATGATCTGATGCCCTACGCACATGAAGAGGTCATGATGTATACGAGACAGCGCTCAGGCGCAACGTAGCGTAGACTGAGGAAAGAACGCGAACACCACCCTGAACCGTGTCCGTGCACTCCTGGTAGGTGATGTAGCGAGCCAGGTGCGATCTGCTGCTGGCCACTGCAATCGAATATCCCACCTTCATTAACGATAATGTATCACCAGCAGCGCTCCAGCACATGTCTTCAGAGGCGTAGCATGCTGTTACGACGCCTTCAATAAAAATGATATATAATGAAAAATAGGGCTGATAATACACCGTTTTATACACCTTCTCATGGATCTTGGCTCCGTGTACAAGTATTCTGTATATTCTCTCAAGTCCAGTCAATATATTTGTGAAACATGAAAGAGGTAGTGAGAATCAAGTAACAAGCTGCTTCGAATTCCGGTGGCGCACTTTGTACAGCGCAAAGGTCAGCGCCGGCGTCTTCCGAGCGTCTGGCGAGCTTCAAATTGGTGGCTGCGCGGAGCTGCCCGTTGAACAGTACTTGCTGCAGCTCGAGATTGAAAACCACGATCACGCACCGCCAGGACCTGCACTCAGAATGGAGACAGCAGAATGGATGGGGCTCTTTGAGAATTCCAAAATGCTACCCGGCTCCGGCTCAGACAGACGTGAGGTATGTGAACGGCCAAGCCCTTCCTGGACCCACAAGAATATACTAGACAGGTGTAAGCTTCCACTTTCAAATACGATGCGCATTGCGCGGTACTGCGTAATTTTGGGATGTAACAACAATCAATGTCATACACAACCCCTGTTTCCCCAAATCCTCGGAGCGACTTCTCGACGCTAGCGTGGTTGCGGGAGGGGGAAGAGGAGGATGATGGGACACCAGGGCTACCTGCGTTGTGATAGTCGATGATCATGGGAGTGCGTATTGCATGCCCTCAATGCTAGCGACTTGCTTATATTCCGCTGGGCACGAGCTCGACTTCGCATGCGCTCTGTAAACTTGCTTAGAGGTACGACCGTGATACAATGACTCACTCCGCACGGGATACAATGGTACAATGGTGAGCAGTGCAGAAGATATGTCATCTCCTCACGAGCACCTAGAGTCCCACACCTAATGCTAGGTATCGCATTCCGCGGAGCTTGGCTCTTGGCATTCCACGCTGCTTGCAGACCCGGGCCTGTGTGCGAATATTGTGCCGCAGTGTTCCATTCTTCGCACCACTACCACCACCAGCCCCGATAGTCTGGAGAGACTGGAGGTTGCGCCCTAGAGCGCTGGCACTGCTTCCATTCTGCTGGATACATTCGTCAAATGTCGTTAGTGTGGCCGTCCAACGTTAAAATACCCGGGGCACGTTCCTTACCCGGACCTCATGGCAATCTCGACAGCGACAAGACACCTTGTCACGTCTCCAACTGATAGGAATGCAACCGTTTACAACTCACTTCGATCGTATATGTCTTCTTCACCGATGCGCTTGCGGCTCGCGAAACGAAGCGTGCTCCAGTGGGCAGCGCTTTAGGCAGAGGACATGCGGACAAAAATATGATTCAGGCCGCCGGCGGATCATACATCGTGAAAATCGTGCTTCAAACACGCGGTAGATGAACGGTGAGCTGCCAAAGCAAAAGCAAGCCATACGAGGGCCTCTTTCCACAAGAACGAGCTCAAGAAACTGGAAGACTCGCTGACACTCACTAACATTCCCACTATCTCTAAACTTTGCCCACAAACCAGATGAACCATCCTTTCATCAAAAAGAAAACAGGCAGGCCGTTCAGTCCATGTGAATGCCGCCGCCAACGTTGATCGACTGTCCTGCAGCGCGCGAGTGAGGTGTGAGATGCGGGCGCAGGCTCGCACACATACCCGTGATGAAATGCGCCTCGGGCTTGACCAGATACGCGACCGCGCTCGCTACGACCTCCGGCCCCGCATCAGGGGCATTAGGCGGTATGCCCAACATCTCGAAAACAAGACCGAATCATCAGCAAGACGCAAGCTGGTATCCCGTCCGCCGAGACACACCTTCTTGAGGCCTGCACAAGGACGTCCGCCAAGCTCCGCGTCCTTGGGGCTGAGGGCTGAAGGGTGGACAGTCTCAGGCCCAATTGGCTGAGGGTTGTCGGATATACATACTCATGGGAGTGAGGATCACTCCAGGGGCATATGCATTGACAGTGATCTTGTGTTCGGCAAGCTCAAGCGCTAGTGTGGAGAATGTTCGAAAATCGGGTTGAGTAGAGTGCGAAGGGTCTCACCCAGCGATTGCGTCAAACCTCTTACGGCAAACTTGGTGGCAACGTAAGCACTCTGATGAGCAAATCCTGCAAAGTGCTAAATGAGAATAAATCTGTAGACTCTGGTGTGGCTCCTATACCTTTCTTTCCCATTACCGACGCTGCGCCTGCGAAACGTAATTGCAGGCAGCGTAAATAACTCAGTCATCTAGTGCATACCAATTATCCGACCGCCGCGTCCCTGCTTGATCATTTGCTCAGCGGCATATTTGTAGCACAGCATCACACCACGCAGGTTAATTGCGACCACGCGATCCCACTGTTCTGTGCTCACTAAGTGCAACATCAGGCCATATACGGTCGACGAGTCCAACTCAGCTCACAATCTATGAGTGCGATCCGTCCCATAGCGATACCAGCATTCGCGATCATCTGTACATGTACGGTCAAACTGACAGACGCAGCGCAAAACGAGCCACGCACAATGTCTAGCCCTCCCATCTCCTTCACGGTCCTAGCAATCATCATTTGAACATTCTCCTCATCCGAGACATCCCCAATGACGGAGATGGACTGCCTCCCCTTTGCATGTATCTCTTCCACAAGCTTCACGAGCGCATCTGTGTTACTCGCGAGGTCGTTCACAGCGACATCTATCCCATCGTCCGCCAATCGCAGAGCGATAGCCCGCCCGATCCCTTGTCCAGCACCAGTCACGATGGCCACACGACGATCTTCCGACATCTTGCACTCGATCACGCAAAGGGCACAGCGATGTGCTCCACCGACGTTGGAGAGCAGGGAAAAGTGGCCACGAAACCACTGCATCTGCTTACTCAACGCTGTCAAGAAACAGCTTCTTGCCGAGGCCCGAAAGTGGCCGGCTAGACCCACCAAACCACCGGTGCATCGTGGACAGTTCTTGGATAAGTTGGCTGCAAGTGGTCGTGCGGTCAACACATCTGCCATCTTTGAAAGTCAGCTTACCTTGTACATCCCGTCGAGATGGCGTTTATGAGATGTAGAAACCCCGCCAGTAACTCAAGCGCAGAATTCGGGTCGTTCACCGTAGTGATCCGAATGCCGCAGCTGAGGAACAGTATACGTTCACTTCGCTTTGACGTCGGGATCCTGGCCAGCCCAGATGTCCAAGACGGCTACAATTGCGGACTACCACTGCATGCAAGCCACCCACAAGCCAGAGGGAGGACACACTAACTAGGCCATAGCCAAGACACACCGATCCTGTGAGCAAAGGATTCCAGCCAAGTCCAAGTCCAAGTTTGCAAAACGCTAAAACGTCTCGACACACACTCTCTCTCGCCTCGAGTTATCACCGTTGATCCGCAGATCCATCGCCATTCCCGACACCGACGCTTGATCTCAAACAAGCCAGATCGGCGGCCCAAACGCAGATGTGGCAGCCCAGCCTGGGCCACGCAGCCGGCAGACGGCACACACGCTAAGCATATCCACATGTCGGGCCAAGTCTGCACGGTCTAGACGGTGGACGGCACCGAGTACGGTGGCGCCAGCTAGCTCCTAAACTCTACTTTAGCTCGGACGGCTGCCGAAACATGACAACACGCCCGGCACATCGCTCCGCGGTCGTCGTGTGTGACGACTCGCGTCCGCGCACGCGGCAGGGAGCAGTTTGGGAATGGTGCCGCGTGCGCCTAGGCTTGCGCCGTCCGCAGGCATCGTCAGTGTAGGGGATCCACGCAGAGGCTGTGCTACATACCTCTGTTTCGGAATTGAGGGGAGAGCTTGGCGGATTGAGACAGGAATGCAAAAGCGAAAAGGCATCTACTTGATGTGTGCCGCGCGAGTTTGTGGTGAGCCCAGGACCAGCCCAGGAACAACACCAGTGCAGCGAGCGAGCCCCTCAACCGTCATTGTATCTTTCTGGTTCCTGGTTGGAGACGTCAGACTGGCCGTCATCGATCACGATTCAAGCACCTGGCGCTGTGCGGTTGCAATTGGAAATGGGTCTGCTGTCGAGTTGTTGACCCTGAGATTCCAGTACAGATATAGATGGACTGCCGGCTTGCATGTTGGACCTCATTTGTTTGAAATTTTTTTAAAAACCTGACAAGGGGAGGGCCGTCACCGACGCATCACGATGCAGTTGCAAATGAGTCTGCTGGCAAGCTGCTAGCCCTGAGATTGCAGCAACAGATGAATAGATGGATAGATCCGCGGATGAATGTCGCAGATATGGTGTGTTAGACAAAACTGCCCAGCGGAAGCAATGACCAGGATATATGCAGCATGTGCGTGGTGCAGTCGTAATTGGAAATAGGTTCGCTGGCAGCAGGTTACTGGCCCTAAGATTACAACACAGATGGCCTCTCTTATGCAATCTCTGGGCTAACCTGAGCTCCGAGGCTTCATGGGAGCAATGAGAATTCAGAGATGACATTAATAGGAAGAATGCTCGCGTATCTCAGGCGCGGGCAAGTTGCGAAATTACCATGCATGATGAAACGCTCCAGTGACACGTTCGACGGCGATGTTAAAATAAGGGTGTGAAATATACTTTCCGAGGACACCAGTCTGATAGACTATGTTCCTAGACGTGTGTTTCCGCTGCGTTCGCTGCTTGCGCGCTCCCGCTTTCTGCCACGACCAGTCGTCGTGCAGTCGTGCAGACCTGACAGTCGACTATGCCGACTAGTCTGTCAAGGGCCCGGCCATCGTTGAATAACCCAGCAGAAACGATGACCAAAATATATGCAGTACCTGATGCACTCCGATCATCATTCTACCCAGCTGAAGATGTCAGGCTGGCCGTCATCGGCCCCTTGCGATGCAGTTGCAGATGGGTCCGCTAGCAAGCCGCTCGCCCTGAGATTGCAGCAACAACTGCACAGGTGAACAGATCCAAGCGAAAACTGCCCGGCGGAGGCGATGACCAGGATATATGCGGCATGCAGTGCGCTTTGTCAAATATCAAGATGTCGGGAACAGATAGGGAAAACGCTGCACAGCTCCACGCGCAGTCCATCAGGGGCTCGGTCGTCGTTCGTAGATGTCAGTGTGGAGGGCAAGGGGGATGACGATAGCGGGAGCCAAGGTTCAGCGCCACAGGCGCGCCGGCGCGTGCAAATTTCACTCGTGAACCGTGGCTCGCCAACGCGTCGCGAACGTGGGACGCGACGGAGACGACGATCCTCAGAACACACACCGAGCTGAGGATAACGGAGAGTAAACGCCTATGATCATAATGGTAGATGTGGCCCGCGAGGGGGGCAAGTTATAGATACAAATAACCCAGGGTATGGAACTAGTATCGCCCGCAGCGCAGGGACATATGTAGGGTAGCAGCATGGCGTCATATCCGAGAATGCAGTGGTGGTGGTGGTGGGGGTGGTGGTACAAATGTGACGAACGGCCTTGCCTTTTTTGATTCATATCCGGTCATGAATGCATGACGCCCTCTCCTGCTCCCCAACGGGAGCCAGACACGGGAACGGTGCGGCGGGCAGTCAGTGCGAGACGGCGACGCGGGGGCGGCGGAAGGAGCGCTGGGCGTCGACGGTGAGCCTTTGGAGGCGGGCCATGAGGTCACGGGCGAGGAAGACGGTGCCCTTGTCCTCCTCGTAGAGCGTGTGCTGGGCGTCGATGGGCTCGAGGACGTGGAGGTCTGCGGGATGGACGGCGGCGGAGTGAGAGAAGCGGAACTGGGTGATGAACTCGTGGCGGAAGATGTGGACGTCCGAGGCTAGGAGAGCGGATGCGAGGCCGCCCTGGGTCGCGTACGCGGGTGGGACTGGGGGCAGGTCGTCAGCGGCGGTGTTGTGGATAAAAGGTGTGGTGGGACTTACGTTGTACGAGACAGATGGAGCCCTTGATGAGGGCAAAGGCAAACTGGCCGTCGTGCGAGGGAGGTGGTGGGGACGACATGGGCGACGGCGGGGGGAAGGCGAGGCAGGAAGGCGAGATGACTGCAGCCATGGGGGAGGATTTATAGGACGCGAGTGCGAACAATAAGGGGCGGTGTGGACGGGGAGGAGGCCATGGAGGAGGATTTATAGGAGGGCGGATGAGACATGCTCGGGCCACGAGGGAAGAAGCAAGCGGTCTGCGCGACAGGAAACGCCTCCAGATCCGACCTCCTCAGCCGCAGCCTCCCCGCGAGCGTTTCATCTCCCTCCAGACCGATTGGCTGCATCGCTTTCCGTCTTCGCACCTCCCACCAAGTCAACCGACTGACAAAACCGCACATCCCAGTCACGGCCACCACTTTGTCAACCCCTCGCCAGTCACGCCGTACCGCGGTCTCGCAGACTCGCTCCACGGCCTGGGGACCAGAACGCGATACGCCCGCGTTTTTAGCTTTAGGTGGGATCACACCCCATCAAGTGACTGCTCTCTGCCATCCATCATACGCAGCCATTTTCCACCCGAATTCCAGACGACTCATCCCACCTTCGGCTCGCGCAACCGCTCAGTCTTATCATAGCGCCGTGAGACCCATCGATCCTGGGCAAGGACGTTGTGCGGCTCGAGCGAGGACAGCTTGTCGCCCCCAGCCGCGCCCAGTGCGCGGAGTCCTCGCCCAACCCAAGCTAGAAGGTTGGGACCCGGGTGAGTGCGCGCTTTGCTATCATCACCTGCAGCGCCATGTCCTGTGCCCACACCCACACTTGCGGCCAGAGTGGCTACATCAATCCAGACAATAGCACATGGCCCACCATCCTCAAAGCGTCACAGGGCAGCGGCCGTGCCAGCACTCTGGCAATTCATACGGCTATTCTTGGAGGGTACCTGCTACCAGCGGATATAGCCCACACCCTGACGTGCCACCTTTCGGCACTCCCTGGCAATCCCCGCTCAATTCCTCTCGCGCTCGCTCTTCCAGAATCTCTCTAGCAGCAGAAGTCCGCCTCCCTCCCTTTGGCCCCCATGTCCCGCGCAGCCCGTCCCACGCCTGCTCCACTTGCCTCTCCCGGAGTTCCTCTTTAGGGCAGCATCACCTCCAGCGGGTCGGCCTCTAGCGGGACGGTGCACCCCGGTACAGTTCCGTCCTCCCCGCGCCTCGACCCCCCGGCGCCCCCTCCAGCAATCTGTCACCTGTTCGGAGCGCCCACGCCCTCTACAGCAATGCATCATCAACGTTGGGACGGCGCGCTCCGCTCGACTGAATACGTTCGGAGCCAGTCCTCCTCGCTATATCTCCCGCTCGTGGCTGGGCCCTCGAGTGCGTTCTCACCTGCCTGGGAGCCACCACGTCCGCGGGAGGCATCCAACTTCTGCTTTACTTTTAGCGCTACTGCTGCATCCGCTGATGTTCCGGCTCGTTCGAACGTCGACGTAGCCCACAGCGATGCGATCGCCCTCGTACGCCGGAATGTATGACACGACCACCTGGACGGCTGCTCGCGGGGCGGTCGCGCAGCCCGAGCTGGCCGCCACCGCGCTCGGGTGTGCGACTTTCGCCATTTTCGTGTCCGAGAACGCGGAGGCAGTGCCCGTCCCCGGTGCGGGTCTGGCACTTCTCGCTCGTCGGGATCAGTGGCTGCCGTTCACACCGCAGGCAGTCCGCTGGACGCCAAGGAGCCAAGCCTGCGGACCGAGCTACGGTGGGACCGTTTCCGACGCAGAGGTGCCCGCCAATGAAGAAGACGAGGATCGTGCGTCCTGCGCTGCTGACTGGCGCGTCCCGTGCAGGCCGCGTGCGTGAGTCAGTGCATCACGGCGCGCGGGGCGGCACACGAGCACCAGCGGCGGACGCTGACAGTGACAGGATCTGCCCGTCGCGCCCCCGCATCCGCCTGGACCGTCGCACGACCTCGCGGACGTCGACGGGGCGAGCTCGCCCGGTGCATGCGGCGCGGACCGCGAGAACCCAGCGTCGCGGGAGCGCTCGTGCGCCCACGGAGGGATGGCAATGGCAGGAAGCCGCGCGTGCGCGTGCGCGCCTGGGTCTGGGCGAGCGGGGCTGCTCGAGCCTTGGCTGGTTCCACGACGGCAGTATGGCCCTGTAGGTCCAGGAGGGGCGCGCCGCCCATGCGCCACACGCTCAGCGCAGATAACCCGACTCGAGCCTTACCATGGGCCGGGGTAGATAGCGAGCGGCCTGGCCCGTGGAGTTGGTCGTCGTCGCTGGTGGCCTGGTCCTCCAGGTCGGAGGGTGCGCAGATCGCATGCTTTTGTTGCGGTTGCGGTCGCATTTCACGGCGAGAACGTAGACACTATCAGGCTCGTCGTTGTGCCGCCCGGCGCTTGCCCGGAGAACGGAGGAGGGAGCGCAAAGCCCGCGCCACAAAGCCTCTCCGCGGCCGGCGCCTGCCGGTCCGCTCGGCCGCTGCCGGAAGCGACCCGGAGGCTTTCTGTGACGAGGAGACTGTTGCCACGGTTCCCAGGTGCCCCGTCGCAGGTACGGCCATGGAGACTCTCCAATCGTCCGCTGCGGTCTCCGGCGAGACTACTGCCTGCATGTGGGTCTCGCCGTCTTCATGTTCTTTTCTCCAGGAGAAGAGAACACCCTAGGATCTATTCTGTAGGCTCCAAATTATAGAACACACTGCGAAGCGCCCCTACGGCAAGCCCATTCAATACCAGCAGCGAACCACCTCACAAAGCTTCTTGACTATCAGGACGCACGAAGCATCGATGCAGCCGGCGATGAGCGTTCGTGCATCATGGCATCATGACTCGTAAGCTCCCGCTGCTCACGTCTTTGACATCAACACGTGTGCGGGGTTCGACTTCGCTTTCCGTATCTCCCCTGGACGCGGCGCCTCTCGCCTCCGGAGGGGCAATCGCAGGACCTACGCAGTTCTCACTCGTGTGCGCGGCGGGGCGCGCAATTAAATCACTTTTTTTTCTTTTTTTCTCGCACGTCCCGCAGGCTGCTGCCAACGGACAGGTGCGCGCGTGCGGCATCAGCACCTCGTCAGAACCCCCCCCAGCTCGGTGGTGCAGCCATTCAGTCGTGGGTCGGATGCGGACAGCGAATCCCCCTCTTCTGGGTTTGCGCCTGCGCCTTCCCCCCGCCGGTTGTGTGTCATATGCGACTTGTAGCCCTCGTACTGGCGTGCTCATGTCCGACATCGCGCGCAAATGCGGAGATAGAGTGTGCTGGACACGATGGAGCGACGGCCGCGGAGCCCCGCGCGCCCTGCGCCGTTTGGACCCTAATAGCGGTGGTCGGCGGGCTGCAGGCGAGCCTGTCGTATCATGCCACGAGCCCAGCGCAAGGTTCCAATCCCAGGAATAGCACGGATGGCCAGAAATACGCTGTACGTGGGTATCGCGTCGCTGGTAGGCTCCGTATCGTCGGTGCGCCCCCGCGCGAAGCATCTGTTCGTCCGTGATCATGCAGTTGGAGCCATTTGGGTCGTGTATAAATAACATGCTATCTTTACTTTACAACTTGGTTATTAGGACGACGCTACGACGAGCCGTTAGATAAAGTCCGACCGGCACAGAGGGCAGCTCGAGGAGTGGCTGCTGTCGAACCACTGCGGGTCGCGTGAGCACCGAGCCGCGACGTCGACGGAGGGGAACGCTGCACACCTTGAACAGACACCCCGCATGGAAGCGGTTCTTGCACGTCTTGCACGGCTTGCGCGGCAGACTGCTGTCGGTCGCGCTGATAATCCTGTGAAGCAGACGAGGTCACCACGGCTCCGCGTCACGGAATGGAGGCGGCGGGACGCACGAATAGCATATCGCGCACGCGGCGAGCCCCTCAAAGTGCGAAGAGACGTTCTTCTTGAAGAAGCTGAGCCCATCGGCGATGCTCCCGCTCTGGAGCGCCACGCGAGGTCAGCAGGTCAGACGGCTGCTGTGAGACAGGACGCACGCGGAAGAGAAGGATCTGCTGCACGCCCAGCACCCACGCGCGCCAGCGATCCTCTGGGACGCCAACGCGCTTGTCGTGCATCTCGATCCCGTGCAGGGGGTAGTCCGACGGGAGCTTGACGGTGAGCTCCAGCTGGTACTCGTCTACTGCGTACGACGCCGTGACGGCGTTGATCGCGGACGCGACTTTGATGGTGACATTTTCGTCCAGCAGCTCGACGGTCGCGACAGGGCTCTTGACTTGTGTGAGCTCGGTCTTGATAATCATCGGGGAGAAGTGGTTGGCTGTGTAGGCCGTCACTGCACCAGAGAGCTGGCGGTCCCTGCACTCTGACAGCCATCCTCGAACGAGGGAAGGCACGGTGAGCAACGCTCTGTAATACACATGCGCAGCCAGGAGACGGAGACTCATGCCCGAGTCGGCCGAGTACGCTGCATGGACGTGACTAAGCGTTCAGCCATCATCATTCGGCACCGACACGTACAGTCAAGATAGAAGGACTCAATGTCCCAAATATCCAGTTTGAATGCCTTTAGGATACCTTCATACAAACCCAAAGCGCTGAACAGGTTGGGCAGCAGATGCTCGCTAACAAGGCCGAGGTCCCTCAGCTGATCGGTGTAGCCGGACTTGACTTTCAGTGACTAAAATTAGCGCAAATGAGACTGAATTAGTTGGAGAGAGTTATGGAGAACATACCGCATTCGAGAACAGATCGAAAAGAAGCATCCAGACCAGGAAGTAACTGGACGGGTTCTACAATTTGTATAAATGGCCGCCCACAGCTTCCAAGAGGGTCGCTCACCTGACTCGCTAGTTCGAGCGGATCATCGAAATTTAAGTTTCGCTGGAGAATGTGGACCAATTCAATCGGCAGTTTTGGTGTCATTGGGACCTCTGACTCGACCGCGGCCTCAATGACCATGTTTTCGGTGTACTTTCTCGCAGCCTCATGGAGAAACTGATATGCCATTTTCTGCACGTCGAGGGAGGAATCTGTGATAATATGACACATCTTTGCCAACGTAGTTTCATTCATGAGCGTATCCGGAAGGTCCTGCACGATCTGCAGAACAAGCTCACGGCACACAGATAGCGGCTCAGACGCATCTCCCGAATCTACTCAGAATACGTCAGCGCGCGCACCGATGCCGTGACTCTGAAGACCCACCGAGCTGTATTGTGGCCAAGTCCCGAATTCGGGTCATGCACGCTGTCTCTCGCGGCTGCCAGGCTGCGCGGAGAGCCTTGTTGGTGGACGCCAGATCCTCAATTGCAATATACAAGCGTAGAGTCCTGCTCAGCGTAACGAATGTGGACGAGTCGGAGAGCGATGAGTTCTAGGCACCATGTAAGACACGTCGCACAAGCATTATAAAATAGCGATCTACCTCGAGATTGTTTTCCATCACATCAAATATGAAGTCCCAGTGGGCCCCGGGCACGTTCTGCAGGATCGGAGCGAGATGGAGAAAGACATGGGTCATCTCGCTCTCGACTTCTTCGTCCAAGTCCTCGTCGGAGGCAACCCACTGCTGGCAGATTTTCATCAAGTTCACGGCTCTGAGCTGTGGCAGAAACACGACGTCCGACTCGGGGTCTGGAGCAGATGCAGTCAACCTAAGCAAGAGCCAAAGCCCATCCTTATTCGCTTTATACGCGGGTACGCCGAGAAGGCCTGCTGCAAGTTCGTTCCTATACCGGTCCATCAAGGGCGGCTCTGGTGCGTAACGAGTCACAGAATAGATGATCGCGAGAGCCATGTGCGGAGCTGGTGAGAGCATTAAGTGTTGGTCATTTCTTGCGACACTCCTAGGCAATTACGCACCTGGTTTCTCCAATTTCCGGACAAGCCGCAGCCATTGTTCAGATTCACTCTTAGACGCACCGCTGAGAGTATGCTGTAGAATAATATGGAGTACACGGGACTCGCGGATGGTATCATTTTTCTTGCCCAAGGAAATCAAGTCAAAAATGAGCCTTCCCACGTCGTCCGGAGAGGAATCTGCCTTATCGGCTGATATAGCGCTGACAACCGCTGCATGCCAGGCTTCATCCTGAGCCGATGATAAGAGGTACGCCGTCATCTGTTGTACTTTGGTTACAATATCAACCAAAACAGGCTTCTGGATATAATGTGCGAAAAGGGGACTCCGCGATGTGGGTATTCGTATCAGTTCCTCGGCGTAGAGAGATAGTACGAGGAAATGCCGCAAGGTCCATGCATTTTCCTTGGCCGCGTGTCGTTCTTCAGAGAAGTACAACAAAAGTGCGTGAATGGCTCTTGCATAGCTGGACAAACCAAGGCGACAGTGAGGTTGGGGAGGGGGAGGGGACTGTTCGTACAAAGACGAGGGTGGAACCAAGGGATCGAGGACGGCCAAACATGCGTCCGAGGGATGGGACGGTAATTCGTCGAGCATGATGTCTAATGATCTCTTTGATGGAAGCACAGCGAGCGTATCAACGTCGAAACATGTGTATTTTCTAGATACCACCCGTATTATCTGCTCAGGTCTGAGAGAGATCGTGAGCGTGCAATGCACTAGTCAGTGGGAACAGCCGAAAACTTACGTAGGATAAGCGGAGCAATCGAGGACGAGCAAATCCAGCCGTTGCCTGAGCGTCAGCTGAATAGTGGTCTGCGTCCTCTGTGATAACTTCCCCATCCATGTCTCCCATAGACGCCTTGCCGTAGCCAACGGTCTGTCATCGATCGAACGGATCTCTGGCAGAAAATAGGCAAAGAAGAACATCTCAGGTAAGACAGACAATGAGATCGATGGAGACATCAGGTATAACGGTTGGTGTTCGAAAAGCATCTCAATGAGATCCAACCGAACTTCGAGAATGTCCAGGGGGAACGATTCGTTGTACAAAGCATCAGGGACCCGCGCGGCGAACCCAGAGCAGACGCCCTTGACCAAATTCTCATGGCATCCCTGAGAAATGAAGTGTTCTATTTAAGCGTCAATATTGTCCATCTCTTCTACAGCTATGCAGAACGAACCTGGAGAGCGCAACAATCTACGAATGATATTCACTTCTGCAGCCTGCTGCGGCTTCGACGAGGCATCTGCGAGGATATCGGCAGCCAGATCATCAAGGTCTGCATCTCTAGGAATGAGGTAGCTGGGGAGCAATTTTTGATCCGCAGCATCGAGCAATGCTACAAGCGTTGTACCAACTTCTGATGCCCGGATGGTGATCGCCCGGAGTACTTCCTGCCATAGTTTCAGACATAGAGCCGTATCCTGCCGGTTCCAGAAGTAGAGCAGAAGCAAACGAGGCGAGATGGAAAGTAACTGCTTGGTGTGCATGCGCATCGCCCCGTCAATCACCTTGGCTAACGTTAGAACATTGGAATGATGCAAGACGTGAAACTTCTACACACCTTAGCAACTCCGGGGTCACGGAAGAGCGAGGACCCAAATCTATCCAAGATGGCTACTAAACCAGATATACGTTCCGATGCAAAGGGCTGCTCAATATCCAGTACACCTTCACACTGCTGCACAGCAGCTTTGACAACTTCGCCGATCACTGCCTTTGCAAGGATTGCAGGCTGACTTCCCGGCTCAAAATGATCTTGGCAGGCTTTGAGGAGCACCGGAACCAGCGGAGGCATCGTTACATCTTCTCCAGTGGCCTTGTCTCTGATTCCAGACATTAAGGCAGCCCATGCACCCTCAAACAGCTCTAATTGTAGCAGTCAGTATCGAGACTTTAAAGCTGCCAGCTTTCAGCACAACTTACTCGACTCGAGCTGGTATAGCAGCGTCAGACTGCGCATAATGAGAGAAGAAGCAGTCTCATCGTTGACTTTGAGTCGTCGGGAGATTAATTCATCCCACACATGAGCGACCTGCTCATTGACAAGCGTCCGAACAATATCCATGTGCACGTTCAAGTCTGCGCCGTCCGTTCCTTCTGCTGTCGGGTGGGACAATAGCTGGGGTTCCCCTTCCGGAACAGTTTTCAGCACGCGCCGGGCGAGGAAGACGATACACTCCAGTAACGACGAAAGGAATGCAGCAGACGCTGCGTTCCGATCGAGAGAGCTCAAGGCGCGACCGTCTAAGGCAGCCCAAAACGATGTGAAGAAATCTGTGAATGGTAAAGTCCCTAGGATCTACGTCAACAATAGATCAGCAAAGTCTTCATATCATGAAATATATGCGCACCTTAGAGGGAATGGTAGAAATTATAACGAGGACAGCGGGATAACCCTGTAGAGGCGACCCCGAACAACCGAGTTGGAGGAATTGTAGAAATTCCAAATACGCTTGGGTCGGCCCTGATGACGGGCTGTGACCGGTAGCAATTCTCACATGAGAAATCCTGTCCTCATCCTCATCCTCATCGTCAGAATCTTCTTCCTCAATTTCGTTGTCAGATGTTGCCTCAATTTCCCACGCATTCGGAAATTCTGGTTGGCAAGGTGAGAGGATGAATAGAGAATTGATTCACGGATGACCAACCTTTGAGAAACATCAAGAGAGGCTGCCACATGCTGCCTCTGACGATCGAATCCGGTTCCACCCATGCTGAGCGCAAGATTGCTCTGCTAAGAACAGGCAGTAGGACATTAAGATGAGCTAAAGTAGAATCACTACCAGAATCGTTCAGAATGAGATCCAAAACCAATACCTTTGCACGTCTTGACAATCGTCTGAATCAGTGACCACGCTGCCTTCCGAACACCAGGCTGACTATGTCCGAAGCTGTCGACGGGAACAAAAGGTGGTGTATGCCCGTGGTACAGCGCCGACCAGAGCGCATGGTTCGAGAACAGCGCGAGGTGCTCGCCTATGCGATCCGCTAATGTTGACTCGGATTGTTTACCTGTAGGCAGTGTCATAAAGCCCGTAAATTATAATGTGGCACGGGGTAGATACATCCAAGGTACGCACTAAGTAACCACTCCGCCGACCCCAACGCGCCAATACGCAACCGAGCCCACCTATCCTGCTCGTCTTCCTCATCTTCCTCTGTCTTCGTACGCGTATTAGTCTCCTCCTCCTTCCGTCCTGGTGGAGGGCGAGCCGACTTCTTCTGTGAAAGTGGAGGCGCAGCCACAGGCTGGGGCGGGTTTACGTACAAGTAAATACCGTTAGGATCGAGGGCTGTCCTCTGCACAAATTCCCAGAGAGATGACAGAAGAGTGCGATCGAGAGCTATCTTTGACCCAGGAGAAAAGGCCACCGAATGTGTCCAAGATTCGCGTGCAATGGCGGCCACTGGTCGATCGATGTCATGGGCGGCGAGACACCACGCACCGATGATATATTCCGCTTGATCAGAAGTGGCTACTTCACGTAAAAAGTAGAATAACTGGTCGGTTACTGTATTTTGCAAACGCAGGAGGGACAAGTGGAGTCCCACTGCAAGCAATCGGATGCGACGAGACGGATGTAGAAACAAGGCCGGTACATGGTGAAGCTGTATTCACTTAAGCACGTCGATGAATCACAAAAACAAATTGCTACCCACCCACACGGGGACAGCATCGGCTAGATATGATAAAACTATGCTGTCTGAATTCTCACCTCGAGCCTTGTCCACCCATGCGGCCTGCAATTCCTCCAGAGCTCTTCTCTTCGTAATCGAGTCCTTCTTAGCGAGCCGCCTAAGTGCAATGAGAAGTTCTGGAGGAAGTCGTTGGGCGATTCCTAACGTGTCGAGAGGATCTGGTTGGACAGGAGCAGGCTTGACGGGCGGGATGTAGACCTTTTTCTTAGGCTCTTTGTTTCTCTTGTCTTTTCCCTTTAGTTTCTTCTCTTTGGGTACAGTTGGCTCATCAGGAAGGCTGGAAGCTGCAGCGGCCTTTTTTGCATGCTTTTTGCGCGTTCCTGACGATGCAGAAGACTTTCCTTTGACCATTCCCTACGTGAACCGGGTGAAGCGATGGTGGTGGTGGCTGTTGCGTGCTCCAAGTGTCACCTCGCCAGCATCCGAATGTTTATGTCACAGCCTTGTTTGAGACAAGTTCGTCGTTGTTGCCGTGGATGGGCTCCGAGAATGGGGTTGGAACAGAAACAGTTGTAGGACATACGGCTTTTATAATACAGTCGATTACAATCGGGAGGGAGCGTTGCATTGCCGCGGGGCCTCGGTCTGAGGGCAATTGGACCCCAGTCAGACGACTCGCCACTCTGCAGTCGAATTACTGCCGAACTACCACCTTCGACCTCCCCCACAAATGTCGGAGAAAGGTATGTTTATTTCTTCGTCCGTATGGGTCTTGCTCGACGCATAAATGCAGCACAGTTACAATACGCCGCTGCAGCACAAGTGCCTCTCATCAAATCCCCCTCTCTCAGAGTACCCCGCCCGGTGAGTCTCCGACGTTCTCGTAGTCGCGGACTGCTATCGACCCTCGATGCAGGTCGAGCGTCCACCCGATATTCATCCACTGCCGGATGATGTAACGCCATATGTACGTCGTGCACACCCTCATGGACCAACCTCTCCTGATTACAAGGGTGTCTTCCCTGTAAGTTTGTATATCCATTTACCCTAGAGCCTCATGTCGTCCTCCTCGAAAACTCGAGGAGGTCGACGCTTGCTGCTCATGCGGCGCGGCGCGAGGCGTATCTTCAGTCCCGAGAAGAGGAAAGGGAAAGACGGAAGCGTGAGGCATTGCGTAGAATCGCTCCTGGGTTTGAACCCCAGGGTGCGCCTCTCCTCCCGCAGAAGAGAGCATCGACGGTTCCAGCACCTCTGAATTCTCCTGGTACAGGTGATTTGTCCCACAGTCGAACGAAATCAGTCATGGAGGATCTCGTAGACCAACTTGCCGCACTTGATAGCAATACGTGAGTGTGCCTCGTCATAAGTCGTGCGTTGTAATACACCTCCATCTTCTCTGATATATGCGTGGCAAGTCCACGTCCTGATAACGAACGACCAGAAGAGCAGGTGGAGCGACCAACTCGATATAAAACATTCACAGATATAGATACATTCTACCAATTCAGACGTCTGCTTGACTAACCCAGCATCTCTGTCTTCCCTTGCGTGTCCGCGGCTACGTCAACCTCCGCGGCCTTCCATGGCAGAGCTGCTATCTCACTTGGAGACTTGAATATTGTCGACAACTCGAACCTTGCATCGCAAGCCACTTTGAACTCGTCCGTGCGGGGAGATCGTATCTCTTGCAGGAATGCGACTGCTTGAGAGGCAGTCTGGGTGGCATGTGCGTGAGCAATGGATGAGCAGGTAAATAACCCGTGTGAGACGCACCTTGATATCTGGTCTCACATCAGGATTCAAGATACCGAAAACCGTACTTTCAATTTCTTCTCGTGGGACAGGCAGGATGCGCGAAACCTTGGCAGCAGCAAGAATTGAAGCAGCATCGATAGAATGTCGCTGCAGGTACTGTGCATTGAACAATTCCAGGGAGAGTTCTACCGGAAGTAGCCTCGCCAATGCATTTGAGACGACTGATCCAACTGGCTCTGGTGGTGGCTGGGGGGCTGATGACACTGAGGAAACATTATGAGCCGTAATACAAGCATATATTCGGGGTGCTCACTCGTCTTCTGGAAGTGCGCCAATCGAACATGCAATTCAGGGTGTTCAGGGCTCAATGCCTTTGCGCTGTTTAGCGCCTTCACAGCTTGCAGGTATTTCTCTATGAAAAGTGCAAGTCAATGTCTGTGTTTTCTTGTGATGCGATATTAATGCACTGACTACGCCGCACAGCCACATCATAGGTGGCTATCCACGCATCGACGTTGTCTTTTGCCAACGTGCTCAACGGCGCCAGCATCTTGGCTGCTTTCTCAAGACCATCTTGGGCCTGCAGCAATTTAGTTCCATCCAGATCGTCGTCCTTAGCGGGACCCGGCTCTAGACCCTTGTCTTCATTCGCGGAAGTTGCTGTGGCGCCTGTGATGAGCCGGATGTCAACAAAGGATCACTAATACTCCCAGAATTCGGTCCAACACCAACCCTTTTTGGAGTCCTCTTGGACTTTTTGCGCAGCTTTCTTAGCCTTCTTCTTAGCCTTCTTCTCCGCGTCTGTGAGACCTGCTGCATGTGCATTGATATAGCGTCAGAAAGCTGAGTATTACCCAATGCGATGATTACACCAACCTGCGGTGACCGAAGAGGTTCCCAGCGAAGGATCATCATGCAAGCGAACGTATATCTGCGGATTGGACCTTTGTAGATGAACCGTATGATCGTACGGTTCATCGGGTACACACCTGTGACACAGAAATGGCAGCATGAATGTATACTGGATGTGATCTCAACTGGTCTTCCCATGTAATAAGGCTTCATGTATATGATAAGCTTAACTGAAATCTGCGGACGTAGCAGACATACTCTAAATAAACATTGAGGGTAAATTTGCGGAGCGAGTAGCCGTGGAAATCAAATTGGTCGTCTTCGAGTTCGTCGAATACCTGGCATGATCGTTGGCAACAGTGAACCTCCGTTGTATCATCGAGAATGCGAGTGGAGGGTAGCCCTACACAAGGTTTCATTGATTGCACGGACCTTTTGTACAGCAGTGTACCTCTTCAGTGCCAAACCCAAGTTCCCTCTTCGTAGCTGACCGTCGGCGTCTTCAGTGAGATATAGCAGTGATTGCATGTCCTCAAGATCAGCACTTGGGCTTGATGCATCTTTCTGAATGCGAAGGAATTGAGCAAAGGCATCGTGATGGGATTGCGACTCCTGAATTCACCTTTGTGAACAATCCGAGAATCTCGACAGCTTGATCAATATATCCTGCTCGCAGTCTATATTTTGCACATTTCGTGTTCAAAAAGCGATCCTGAAGATCCAAGACGCGTGCCTCGTCCATACATCGAGCCGCGCCGTATGGATCTCCACATCGTTTAAGAACACGACCTTTAAACATGTAGAGTTCAGGGAGTGTTGGAGTGTGCGTTACTGCGATGTCTATCAGTTCTAGTGATCGTGTATGTCGGGACAATGACGAGTGGTGCTGCGCGAGGAAATACAATGTCCAAAGATATGCCGTTGGATCCACTGAAATAGGATCTGCTGGCACTGGTGTCACAGCTGCGCATTTTTCCCGGTATGACTCTACGATATCCTCGATGATTCGTCGTTTGTGCTCATCTCGATAAAGCGCTTTGACATCGGCAAATAGGGATGGAACACCCTTCTCAAGACCCGCAAGAAGGTAAGGCTCGACGAGCTCTTTGAACTGTTCGCCTGAACCATGAGCTTAGAAAAGGGAAATTTTATGGTGTTGCCGCTAGATCGTACCTTGCGCAATGTTGAGGGCCAGCCGGAGAGGAGCACCTGCTTTGGGCATTTGTGCAGAAAAATCTCGCAAACACTGCAGAGCTTGACTACGGGTCTCATCCGTGACTGCATCTGATAAAACATACCGTCATGAGGAGTCCTGGTGAGATGTGGGATACACACCAAGATCGATACCCCGATTCAACAGGAAGCCTTTGTAGTAATCATGACAATCCGGATTTTGCTCAATAAGGGCCTGCCAGGTATGTTCGGCGTCGTCCAAATGAAGTTTTGACATAAGCCGTGCTGAGATTTATTCAGGATTTGCAACAATGTTATTCCTACAGACTCACCCCGAAATTCCATGATCGCTATACGGTCTAGGATAGCTCTTGATTTGGCATTCACGTCCAACAAGGTTAAGGCCTCATTAATTTGGCCCAGATCCTCAAGCAGCCGGATATGATATAGAAGAACTTCAGAGTGTTCTACGTCATAATCTGGAACATTCTGCGTATGCATGTAGAATTCCGCCCGGACGCGCGGCGATGGTTAACTCACCTTTAGGATTGCCTCGTATTGCTCCACCACCTTCAACGCCTCAGCGATATTTCCGTTCAGATGGTAGGCGATAGCCAAGCCGATCCAGTTTTGACGGAGCGCAGGTCGGAGTCTGAGAAGCGTATGGCGAGTTTCAACAAGGCCGTCGTATATTCTTAATTGCGTCTGCAAATGCGCTGCATCCCGCAAGATATTAAGATTCTCCTGGTAGTAACAAGTCGACGCGTGCGAGCCAGCACGAAACCATTAGAACGCTGACCTTATCAAACCTTAAGGCCTGAGTATAAGATTTTAGAGCTTCCTCATAGTTTTTCTCTCCCTTTTGGATCAGGCCAAAGACGTGCCAGCAGATATGCGAGGTGAGATCGAGCCGGATGCCCTTTTTGACGAGTTCGAGACCCTCTTCACGTTTTCCCAAATGCGTTTGAATAAGCCCTTTCATGCACAGGGTCTCTACAGAGTGCCCATGGGTTATACGAGACGTCGGTACAACCCGTCGACGCAGCGCGTACCTCCATGCTCAGGGAATTTTTTGAGTATCTGATCAGCCGTCTTACTTCCCTTCTTAAGCTGTCTGGTTTCATATAAATTCAGCAGTTCCTTGAATAGCGTTGCCTCTTTCGACGGTAGGGCTCTTTTCGATAGAGCTGTGGCGGGAGGCATAATTAGTGGCGGACGGGTCAGAACTCAGATCCAGAATGTGGCCGGGACCAAGCGCGAAAACGCGGAAAATACGAGACAACAACGCGCTACGCGCCCTCATTCCCTCCCACCACCCTCCGCCGCCATGGTGGCTCAGACTCGGACGGCTGCTCATCCAACTCCTCGCAAGTTAAAGTTCCATGACAAACTCGTCGGAAAGGGCCTTTCTACAGACACCCTGCAGAAAAAGCTCAAGGCTCTTCATGCCGAACTCGCGGAGATGGACCAAGAGAATGTGGATGTCAGCTCCCTTTCGGCCGTCCGCAAGGAGCTCATCAACACGTCCATCCTGTTGCATAAAGATCGCGGCGTGAAAGCCTACACCGCCTGCTGCCTCGCTGATCTACTACGACTGTACGCTCCGGACGCGCCCTATACCCACAACGAGCTGCGCGACATCTTTCAGTTCTTCTTCAGGCAGCTCTCCACTGGACTGAAAGGGCCCGATTCACCCTATTACAATGAATACTTCCACCTTCTCGAGTCTCTCTCGACTGTGAAAAGCGTCGTGCTCGTGTGCGACCTCCCAAACGCGGATGAACTCATGGTCGACGTCTTTCGTGATTTTTTTGGCATGGTCAGGCGCGATCTCGCAAAGAAGATTGAGCTCTTCATGGCGGACATCCTCATCGCGCTCATAGACGAATGTCAGAGTCTTCCTGGCGACGTTCTCGAGTCTATCATGGCGCAATTCATGGATAAGAATACGGTGCGCCCACTATCCTCACGCGGTTCTACCCCTAATGGTTCATCAGCGTATGGATCAGCCTGCATATCGTCTGGCCGTGCAAGTATGCAACGCCACGGCGGACAAACTACAGCGGCACGTGTGCCAATATTTCACAGACATTATTGTATCACATTCTCGGGACGAGGAGTTCGACGAAGTCCAAACAGCTCACGAGCTGATCAAACAGCTTAACCGGTCGTGCCCCTCCTTGTTGCACAATGTGGTTCCGCAGCTCGAGGAGGAGCTTCGAGTCGAAGAGAATCAGATTCGGATGATGGCGACACAAGTCCTGGGTGAGATGTTTGCGGACAAGGGCGGTACAGACTTTGTGAAGAAATATCCGACAACATGGAATATCTGGCTACTCAGGAGGAATGACAAGGCAGTTTCTGTGCGACTTACGTTTGTCGAGGCAATGAAGGGCGTTCTCATCAATCTCCCGGAGCAACGGGAGGCAATCGAAGGTGCACTTGACGCCAAACTCTATGACCCAGACGAGAAGGTCCGCGCTGCCGTATGCAAGCTATTCTCTCAGCTCGACTATGAAACAGCGTTACATCACGTTTCAGAAGATCAGCTACGGAGTGTCATAGGTCGTGGTCTTGATAAGAAAGTAGGTAAATCTTCATAATTTCTTTGACCACTCAACTCACACTCGCGAGCAGCATATTGTTCGCGCTGAAGCCATGGCTACCGCTGGTCGGTTGTACAGTCTGGCATATCCCGAAATGTAAGTGTTGCCTTTGTGCATACCGAATCAGATACTAATTTCAAACAGTGAAAACAATGATCCAGCCGCGGTCAAACAATTTGCATGGATACCTGAGGCTGTTTTGCGCATGGCGGTCGCTACCTCAGAGGTCAAGTAAGTAAGTGGATCTGGCGAGTTTGCCGTTGAGCTAACCTTCTACAATTGCTCGTATCAGGGCTGTAGTTGAGGAAGTGGTTGCTGAACACATCTTGCCACTGCCTCCACCAAGTTCAACCACGAAAGTCAGTGACCCCGATGAAGGAGCATGGACGGATCGACTATTGCATACGATGAAATACCTCGACGAACCTGCCACCAATGTACTCTTGGGTCTTTCCGGTGTGAAGGGAACGTAAGTGGATAGATCCGAGTGAGGCCCTTCAAGTTGACGACAAACATTTTAGTGTTCGACCAATATACGAGAAGTTTGTGCAATGTTGCATCGAGAATAATGTATGTATTGGGCAGACATTCATGTTGTATTGCTAATCTGCTCAATTACAGGGAGGTGTTATCGACGAAGATGAAGAAGCGGTCGTCGAAAACTTGAACGTCGCAGTCAAGCGAGTGGCTTGTACGTAATGAATCAAGTCATTGTGCCTCTTTCACTAACATAGGCATCTTAGCCCAATTTCCTGAACCGCAGAAAGTAGCAGAAGATCTTCACGCATTTGCCGATCTGAACGAGGGTAGACTTTACAAACTCCTGAAGACGTGTATGGATACTCAAGTCGACCTTAAAAGTCTCATCAAATCTACCGTGTGTGCATCTTTCGCTCGGTTTTCTCATGCGGCTCACGTGTTTTATTAGAATGAATTCCTTCGGAGACTTGAGCAAGCATCTTCACCAATCGTCCCCACAATGGCCACCTTCGTCCGCCGCGCGAGCTTGCGATTTGTGAACCAATCGTCAATACCTACACTTATCAAGCGGGTCCAAAAAGGCGATTCTTCCGGAGATGGGTATGGGTCCAGTCAAGCTGAGATGTCCGCGCATAACGCGCAGATCTGGATGAACTTCATCTCAAAACACTGCCCGGCCATCTATCAGTCTCATGTTGGCGAGTTGGCCAAAGCCATTGCGGATGATAAGAACGCACGATTGGTAGAAGTGTGCTTGCAAGCCCTCGCAGCAGTCGCAAGCTGGGACAATAAGCTGGCCCCCAACGATCGGTATGGCGTGTTGCCTTCGTTTGTGTTGCACCTCCCTGATATCTTGCGGTAGTCGCACGGCGGACAGAGTGATGCGCTTCGTTCTGCAGTCGAATATTCGGCATGCGAAGTTCTCCGCACGTCTCCTAACGTGCTTCAAGAATGCTGAGGAACTTTGCGGACAAGTGGTGGACGTAAGTGATGAGTATTTTGGATAGGAGTGAAATTCACACATTTTGATCAGACAATTGCTGAGGGGCTCCAGGAAGCTGATCCTGAACTTGTTGCGGCTCACGTGGCGGTACTTGCACAGCTGGCCTTAAAGTCTCCAGATGCCTTCGAGCAGAAAAGCGACGTTATTATGGCTTTTCTCCTGAAGCAGGTTTTGATGCAGAAGTTAGATCCCTCAGTGTGTATCCGCCTTCCCGCAACGAAGCCAAGCGTTTTAACGTACTTGCCTCGTATTCATAGGATGATATAGATATGGATCAGGAGTGGGTAGAAGACTCTGCCATGTCGCCGGAGCTTAGGGCACAAGTCCTTGCACTCAAGGTTTGCCGTAATAGGTGCCGCGCGCACGCATCTACGGAGACAGCACTCGACATTTCGAGACCGGTGCTTAAGATGTTCGTCACGTTGTTACAGCATAATGGATCCTTTACGGCGGATGCCCCTGATGAGTATGAGCATTTGCGTTGCTTTCGAAAGCGTTTATAGCTAATCATTCATCAGTCCTAGGACGAAAGGTCGTCTCAGACTACAGGCTGCAATATCCTTATTGCACTTGGCATGCTATTCTGCATATGCAGATGAGATTGGAACCAATTTTGTTTCATTGGCCATCACAGTGCAGGTAGGGATCAGTACACACATTCTTAACTGTCATGCTGATATTAGACTCCCAGGATCCCTGTTATCAAATCCGAATGACGTTTATGGACAAGCTGGTTACGCTGCTTACATCGCGCAAGATACCACCTCAGTACAGCGTGATTCCGTTTCTTTCAGTCCACGATCCTGAAGCTGATGTGAAGAATCGGGTAAGCAGTACTCGTATATGATATTGACTCGGAATGCTCACAAATCTCATGTCGTAGGCGAAGGCATACGTCGTCACTGCAATGCGTGGCATGCCCAAAGGTCAGCACACATCCAGTTTCACGCAGTATTGAACTCATGCGGGGATGTGCACAGCAATCAGGCTGAATTACTTCGAAACTGCGTTCATACGCTTCCTCCACCTCCTAGCTCACCATCCTGACTTTGCCGTAACAGAAGACAATCTGCCTGATATCGCAAAGTGCGTTCGATCGTTGCTAACTTATCTCGCGCATAGTAACACTCGGTCAGGTACATTGACTTTTACCTCGATCTTGTCTTATCTATGGAAAACATATCTTTGTTGTTCCATCTCTCTATGAAGGCAAAGACCGTCCGAGACGCAGTGTCACATGCATATAGCGAAGTAGTGTTTTATTACTCTCCCGTGTTCGCTGTAGTTGTCTGACTCACTATCAGAATTTATACGCAGTCAGCGAGCTGGCTCAGCATCTTATTAGAGCTCGCGCCAAAGTGCATTCATGGAGCTTAGAAAGCTATCCCGGGAAGGTCCGCTTGCCAGCTGATATCTTGCGTCCTCTACCTAATGCAGAGGCAGCAAATGAGGTGCGCAAGATCTGCCCGGCGAGATAATCCGTGCTAACGTCCTCCTCAGATTCTCAAGACAGTATACTTGCCTGAGAACACGCTATCGTGGCTTTCAGATCAACGGAAAGCCGCACAAGAGCCAAAGGTTTATACTGTCGTCAAGTTTTGTTTATGTTGGCTTATCCATGGTCTGTAGGAGAAAGCACGCACGGAACGGAAGACCACTGGAAAACGGAAAGCCGTCCCAAAGACAAACGGAAGCTCAAAGTGAGCATAATATTAAGTTGAGCGTGGTATGCTGATGCTTATGTCTTTTGCAGGCGACCTCGAACAAGCGCGAAACGTCGAAAAGTAGAGGACACTGATGAAGATGAGGAGTCATCACCATCCGAATCCAGTGATGAGGATGAACCAAAATCTGCGCCTCCTTCGGAGCGTTCTGGATCCGAAGCTCCTGCTGAGCAGTCAGAAACGGAAGAGAAAGAAGAGAAGTTGAGCCGGGGAGCCCGCACTAGGGCAAAGGTGAAGAACAGCGAGCACACTTTGTTACCCACTTTTCTGACGTTGTCCACAGGCACGAATAAAGCAGCAAATCAAAAAACCAGTGAAACGGAGAACTAAACATCAATCGTCGGACGATTAACGGAATTGTTCAGGGTTCATGCATGTTGTCTATGTCGATATCTGTCAGTTGCTATAGCCTTTTCTCTTCCTGACCGTCACTTGTAGCAATGCTGTCTACTCCTTGCTGTCTCCGCATTTAAGTTCCATCATATCCCGATATCTCCCGTCTGAATCACGGTTGTCATCTGTATCTCATCTTTAGTTTGCTACGTTCCGTCACTACGATACCAAGGGATTGTTTCTTTGTATCTTATTGCACTTTCTTATTAAAACAAATGAATAATTATTATGGTCTGGACATCTTCTCTGGTCTCGTATAGTATTACCCAGACGTGATGATCATCTTCTGTGAAATGTATCTAATTGGCAGTGGTTTGGACTGTTGTCCAAGCGAGGCACTCAAGGGCATCTTTGGCGCGACGCAGCGTCCCGGTGGCTTTTCGCCCACCGCCAATCTCCGAGCTGAGTTTGAACTTTATTGAGCAACTTGCTATTCTCCGGCTACTGCCGACAGTCCCACTAATCATCAAGACTATACTGTACGTACGCCAAAAGGTCATCGCCGCCGCCGACGCTTTCAAGATGGTGAACATTCCCAAGTAGGTCTTGATGCTGCCTGTTCAATGCATGTAACTGACTAGACTCGATGTCAGGACACGACGAACCTGTGAGTTTCCTGGTATCAGCCAGCCAATTGAGAGATCTTGATAAACCGATGTACAGACTGCAAGGGCAAGCAATGCAGGAAACACACGTGAGTACCAGAATTCCTGATCATTGTAAGCACCGATGTGAAGGGGCAAGCCGGGTATTGTAGTCCCCACAAAGTCACGCAGTACAAGAAAGGCAAGGATTCGTTGGCCGCACAGGGAAAGCGCCGCTATGACCGTAAGCAGTCGGGTTATGGTGGTCAGACCAAGCCTGTCTTCCACAAAAAGGTACGGAAACTTACCTCGTAATTTGATGCAATAGGACTGACCTGACCTCTGTCATTCAGGCGAAGACAACGAAGAAGGTCGTACTGCGACTAGAATGTACTGTCTGCAAGTACAAGATGCAGCTTTCACTCAAGCGTTGCAAGCAGTAAGTGCTCTAATGAAGCTGCGATTGAGTGCTGTATATCTAATCATACCCCCCAGCTTCGAGCTTGGCGGTGAGAAGAAGACGAAGGGTGCTGCTCTTCAATTCGTACGTCCTCTCGATTGTATCGTGGAGTGTGTTCTGAATTTTGATTTTGTGTTTAGTGATTGGTATCCCTGCCCTATCTTTTGACCTTGCCTTTCATATTGCTATTGCCATTGTCTACGCTTCGTCAAGCTCTATGTGATATGCAAGCGTACTATCCATATGCAACATCACAAAACTACTGTATTTTAACCACATGTGTGGGATGCCGTGCTCGTCTGGATTCTTCATGGTATGCTTTCTTGCAGATGCCCGACACCCAGCCGTCCTGAAATGGCCTATTGGACAATTCATCTAAAGCAATGAATGACGATGCCGCGCCTAGTTGTGTTTCTGGGCTGTAGGCGTGTCTTTCATGCGTCCGTTATTGGATATCATATGCCCGTTAGTTCTCCCTCTCTTCATAAGTGCAGCCTAGGAGCATGTATCAAGAATCGGGGTGGTGGCAATTGTGCAAAATGCGGGAGGTTGATCAACGGTATTCTCGGCGATTTTTCGGAGTCTGTCAAGGTAGCTCACTGGCCTCGCCTCGAGGGTGAAGTTGACTCGTCACATCTTTGACGTTCAAGATGTTGCTTTCATGCGTACTGTCGATAGTACGCATGAAATCAGTGTTGACTTGCCATGGGGGACAGCTAGTTGCAACTAGACAAAGCGTCCCGACTTGGTACAATGCCTGCTATAAACAGTTGATTTTAATTTGTTTGTATTACAAGGCAAGTTGTCAACGATTTGGAGAATAAAATCCGAACATATCGCCGACTACAAAGCCAGGTGGCATGCAACAGGTCGCGTTCTCCTTGCGTCTTGAGGTCCAAGTCAAGTTCTAGTCATTGAATATTGATTACGGCGGGGGGGGGGGGGGGGGGGGGGGGGGGGGGGG